ATCCACATGACAACCCCAGCAGGCCATATTTTTGGTAGTCCCACCAGGGCCAAATACGGACAGTCTGGAGACCATTTTTCATGCTCGACCCAGGGATTGTTATCTACTTCCCAGTTCTTGAGAACGAGACCACATTGAAAACACTTGGAAGTGTCCCTTCTGATTAAGTACACAAATCCTGCCTGGGCCATGCGACTAGGACTCTGTTTCATCTGCACTGGCCAGTCCTTAAACGAATCGAGTCTTTCTGGAATGAAGCCCATTCAGTACTGATTGCACAGCAATCGAGTGTCTTGTCTAGTGGGTAATGTCCACACACATCCATGATATCCCAGAGCAGTGGTAACACGTCAGCACAGTACAGTGTCTAAACCAAGAATGGCTTTACACCCAACGACTGTAGTCACTAGGGTTACAGAAGGAACCCATTCTTGACGTAAAAGGCGACTAACGGCATGTGAGTAACCTATGTGTCACATGATGTCAAATAAGTGTCATATATAGTACTCATGGATGGTGTTTTATGTTTGCAATTTGAGAGTAAAGTTTTAAAATGTTGAGTAAAAGTGAAAGTTTTACAGGAGGAGAGGTTTGTTTTCTTATTCAGTAATATATATGACAAATGCTTAATCGTTTCATCACTGTACAATCAAACTACTTTCGATATTCAGTGACCATCAGTCCTCAACTGCTTACTATTTCCTGTATTTAATTCCGGTCTTGTCTCCCTAATTAACGGAAGCTGACCATTTGTAAGCATACATTCAACATCACATTGACAAGTATCCATGCCATGTACTCATGATTACAGTGTGACCTTTAAACAACGGAAGCTGACCGTTTGTGACACTTCACCACGCTGAAAATTATCAACAACCATGTACACATGATTACAGTCTGACCTTTAAATTACAATAAAACAAATTCTGGTCAACTTGAACCTGCTAACTTTGCGAGCACAGGAAGCCACACATACCTTGAACACGTATGCTTAGTCTGTCTCACTGTCCCTGAACCACATTATTTTCCCTACTGCCACATGCCCTCTCTGCAGTGCTAAAGCCCTAAATAAAGCAAGTCTAGATTTCCTCAGGTTTTGAATCTCTGGTGTCCTTAGGGCTCCTTTGATTCAAACGGGCTTGTTTGTTATTATCAAAATTATATTCAGAGACTAAGCATTAGTCTAAGGTTTGCTGTGTGAACACTCGAGTCGGCAAACTCATAAAAAATACCACTAAGGTGAACCTGAAGGTCATACACCCACCGGAAGGGGACTCCTGAAGGAGGGTGGGGTTCAACAATTGATTAGGTCACACAAAGGTCACACCTATGTGTGATTAAAAAGGAAATGGCCGTCTTTTTGGGCCTCAACCCCTCCCCTTACAATAATTGATGTACCGTCCGGTCTCAATACTTAACTGATGATAAATACATCGAAATTGGGAGAGAGCAACCCTAATTTTCTTATATTTACATAACTGACGTATAGCACTGTACCAAAGGAGACTATATAAAAGGAGTAGGATAACATTTTGTTACCTTTTGACGTAGACTATGCCAGTCTTGTTCATGAATAAATTTCAAACGAGATTCGAATTCAGTTATGAAACATTTAGGTTGGCCTACGTACTGCTGTTCCCAGATATATCCAAAAACCTATACCAAAGAATAGAGACTTACATTTGGATGCCCAGTTAGATTTAACAAAACTAGCTACCTGCATTAACATATTGTAAGACCTCTTTTGGTAGCGATTGTCTGGCATGCATGATAATTTTAACCAATAGCTTACAACTCTCTTATATGCATAGATATACAAAGGGATGCGGCCACTCCACGACTCCAAGAAACTCTTGCATGCCAGCGTGTGTACTATTTCCATATCATCATTTTGATACGGCCCCTCTGCGCCATAAAATAGGATTGGGACTATTTTCATGTCAAATAGTTTAAAGTTTAAAGCCACGAACTAAACAATTAATCTTTGCCATGGATCTTAAGGGAGCAAACACACTCTTTTCACCTCGTAATGCGGCATTTGAAAAGTGTCTGGACCAGGATACACTTCTAGTGAAAGTGACTACTAAATATTTATAGAAAGACACACAGTCTAATTTCATACCTTTAAAAAAACACCTTTCCTTTTTTTGGATAAAGTTCCATCTTTCTTAGAGACCATTATCTAGATTAATAGTTAACCCATGCCCTATGCAAAACCTTTAAATTACACTGATACGTTTTTGTAGACCTCCAATACTATCTTAGATAGAGAATAATATCGTCTGCAAATAATAGAAGAAACAGTTGTGTGATATCTGGTTAAAGTTGTATTCCTGCACCAGAGTTCCATTCAATCTCAACAGCCACCCCATCTCAAGATCGCTATATAAATATTTTGATGTATGCATGTATGTATGTATTTTGATGTATGCATGTATGTATGTATGTATGTATGTATGTGTGTGTGTGTGTGTGTGTGTGTGTGTTCGCCTGCGTGCCTGCGTGCCTGCGTGTGAGAACAACATTTTGCATGATGGACAGAGAGCTGCAGACTTAAGTTTAATATCAAAGAAGTTAATTAATCTTAATTATCAGTATCCATGTCAAAGTTAATATCATCTGTGTTCTCTTAATCTGGAGAAAGTGTTTCCTATTAATTCATTGGCTGACATCCACTAACATGCTTTGAACGGTCAATCAGAAGTCCTTTTAAGCGTGTCCATTTTCCGACACATGCTTCAAACAGCTTAGAAACATGGCAGCATACGAAGCTTTAATGAGAAGTCAGCTGCGTATTCCAATGTTGAACTAAGGCATCGTGTCAAAACACTAGGGACAGATATCAGATTCCTTCCTGTAAACATCTTACAAATAATGTGAACCCAAACTGTAGGAGAACACTAAACGTGATGTCTTGGAAACAGTTATTTCACAGATGCTGAAAATGTCCTGAGAACAAAAGAATTACTTCTTCAACTGTTCTCATACAAGATGTTTCCACAACATGGAATTCAAGCTATTACATGTTGGAACGTTATCTTGAACAGCAAACATCTGCTGCACTAACAGTCAAGACGTCCGAAAATGCAGATCTATGTGTCGTCAAAAGTGTGAATACTGCTGTTTCCAAGGACCTGAAGAACAGATACACTGACTCAGATGTCAAACAGTCTCTGTAGGAAACAGCCAGGTTCAGATCTCAGGTTCAGGTTCCTACCTTACCATGATGGAACTGGATGAATTCAGGTTTTTGCTGGAATCAGAGGGAAAGCAGTAGCATGTCACAAAGTTAAAGGTATTAACATGTGATTTATATTCAGAAACAAACAATTTAAAATTTACGCAGAAGATGTTTCTGTTGTAAATTTTGAGTGAGTGAGTTTAGTTTTACGCCACACTCAGCAATATTCCAGCTATATGGCGGCGGTCTGTAAATAATCGAATCTGGACCAGACAATCCAGTGATCAACAGCACGAGCATCGATCTGCACACTTGGGAACCGATGACATGTCAACCAAGCCAGCGAGCCTGACCACCCGATCCCGTTAGTCGCCTCTTACGACAAGCATGGGTTACTGAAGGTTCATTCTAACCCGGACCTTCACGGGTCTGTAAAGTTTGAAAGTGAAGAATGAGGTCAGAGTGACAGAGGAACCTGCTGAACTGAAATCTAGCCACTACCATCACTACGATCTGAGTCTGACGCTGACAGGGAGGAAAAATCTGATTGTGTCAGAGTCACATACCCATGACGAATCGTGTAAAAAGAAAATCAAAACTCACATGGAGGAAATGTTTTGAGGGGTGTTTATCACACATGATCAGGCGGGAAAACCTTGTGTGGAAGATTAGGCACAGTGATATAAAACTGAAGTTTGTATTTTTTCAACTTCAAATCCCCTGAAGTGAATATCGTTTCAATAACTCTTTTGTTCAGCACAAACTTCAACCGCCAACCACACCACTTCCCACGAGAGTTTCCTAAACAGCTGAACCCGTTGTCAGTGCCCAAAGAGCATCACTGTCCTCTGACAAAGTTGATCTTTACATTTTTCTGAAAAAGAACCTGAAGCTGGAGTTTCATGGACATTTTTTTGTGCTTGCACACACCCTCACTCACACATATACTGACACAAAAAAATATGCTTATAGATATACAAACGTGTAATTATCAAATATATAAGATTAAAATACATGGAGTAGGAGGAACATGTACAGTTATCACACAGAGCTTAAAATACATTTAGAAGAAAAGTTCTGCTACAAAAGTAAAAGGAGTGGACATAAATCATCAATATTCTAAAACTGAATTTTGCAGATGAACGATTGCCAAGCTCGTTCTATATGTTTTGATTATCACACAAATTGATAATGTGAGGATAAACCATCTCTGCTACATCGACAGGTAGTTAGCCAGTTATTGTATGAGGGGTATTAATAATTCTTAATGTATTGTTTTTCTTTCGAGTCCCTTCCCAGCCAAGAAAGTTAAAAAATATAATGATTTGAATAAATGTTTGTATGTTTAAATGTTTGAGTTGTATCAATGTTAAAACATCTCAAGTGGCAAAGGAAATATTCACTGCTGATCCTGCTTTCAGATTAGATCAGTTTTTGTATTATAGGTAAATTTTGAACAGAGAATGCCAAGGCATGTAAGACCTTTACACATTTTTTCTGAATTTCCATAGCATTTATTGGTTATGTACGTTTACCTAAAAGTCAGTTATCATTTCCTTAGTATAGAGTTAATTCAAAAGCAAATACCACTTCTGACACAATAAGTACAACTGGTAATTTCTGTTCTATAACTGGTTTCTGAATCTCAGAGACCAGAGAGCTGCAGACTTAATTGTACACGAGTTGTCAGTGGTTTGGATACGGGATAAATACATTTCGAGAAATATTCTACAGAATTCATGGGGAAGCATCTTCAATATTTTTCGCATCTAAAACGTATGCTTTACCGTAATTGTCTGTTTTCTGTTCGGAACTTCAGATGGCGTCAAACAAGTTGGAGATGAAGACATGTTTTATCCAATTGGAAACACGAGATCTGTGGATGTCACCGCTGGATGTCAGGTTGCCGAGGAGTGTAACACTTTGCTGCTTGGATGTGGCGACATCCGGCACGTCCTTCACACCATGCACGTACTACACGAAGATGGCACGACAAAGGCAAAGAACCAGGCAATAAACTTTCACATCAATGACATCGAAGACGGCATCTTGGCGAGGGATTTAATCTTACTCTACCTTGCAAGAACCATTAATCCATCAGATACTGACGAACTGAAGACTCTATGGGCAGTTTGGTACGACGCGTTACTGTCAAAGGAAAACCTACAGAAGCTGAAAGAGGTGATGGAAAAATTATCAGATCTCAAATCAGGGACGAATGGTTTCTATTTTGGAAATGGAAAGACAGAACAGAAAATCAAACAAGCTCTCCAGTCATGGTTGGAATTTGAAATTTCAGGCAGACAGACTATCGATAAACGAACCAGTTATCTTACAGCGATGTACGTTGATCAGTTTCCCGAAAGATCAGTGCAGAGAGTTTCCTCTAGGATTGTCGCCCAAAGCGACCACTTGGATAACACAGAATGTTTGAAAAACAGGTATTGAACTTTCCAAAATCATCGGTCATAACTCTTGCAAAGTTTCTTTGAATGGCATTTTAGAATTTGGAAAGTACAATATAGAACAAACTTTATGGATAACAACTTCTTTTTATTTGTGAGTACGACATTTCGATAGAGATTATTGTACCGTTATCAAGAAAGGGTGTGTATATGTATACTGAATGTAACAAATAAAAACAACAACATAATTAACACAATTGGCTAGGCAGTATGCTGATGAAGCCAGTGAGTAGACAAAGGAAAGGCGTGGAAGCCAATGATGTACAAATAATAATGAGATGTTTAAACAGTAGGGTTATTTCCACAGTAATTGGGCTTTGTGGAGGAGTGCATCATAAGCGGATGGAATGAAATATCCTTGGTCTGGGTTGACGGTGGGCTTTTTGGCGTTTGATGTGGATGTCTTCATTGAGTTACCTTTAGTGAAGTCTGTTTGTTAGCGAGGATGGTGATGATTTGATAATTGGGGCTTGCTTTGATGTAGTGGGAGATGGCTTATTTGCTGCTGGAATTGGTAACAGAGGTCTGGTGTTCTTTTACTCGGGTGTTGATGGGTCGGGATGTAACTCCACAATCAGAGTTTATTTTGTAGATCACACATATTGGGTTGTTTGTCTTGACGGTGGCTGGTTTTCTTCAATTAGCATGATGTTAAGGCTGGAGGGTGCGGAGAACGTGGTATTTATGCCAGCTTGTTGTTTTAGGAGTCGGTTGATTTGATGTAATGGTTTCCTAATGTAGGGAATGGACATCTTGATGGGGACTGAATCTGGTTTGGGTCTTTTGGTAGGAGGTGACAGGGCAATGGTTCTGTTGCCTATTTGGAACGGATAGTGTTTAAGTTCTAAAAAGACTTTCTTCAAGTGTTCTATTTCATCTTGTAGTTTCGTTGAGCAGATGTTCTTGGCCCTTCTGGTTAATGTGGAGATGATGCCGGTCTTAACTTTAGGGGGATGATAGGAGTTGTATTGGATGTACTGATCCGTATGGGTAGGTTTTCTGTATACAGTGCTCTGGAGTTGGTTGCAGGAGGTACGGGACACAAGGACGTCAAGGATAAGTAGTTGTTCTGCTCGGTTTCCATGGTAAACTTGATGAGGATGTTGGTTGTTGAGATGGGCCAGAGGCTGAATGGGATCTTGCTGAGGCTGGAGGATGACGAAGGTACCACTTTGTGGTACCAACAAGTAGGTTTGAAGGGTGCAGTTTCTAGTGCTTTATCTTCCAGGTCCGTCATGTAAATTTTGGTTTGGATGGGGGATAAGGGAGGGCCCATGGGAAGTCCATGAATTTGTTCATAGAACTCGTCCCCCCAGGTGAAGTAAGTGGAGTTGATGCAGGCTGATGATAGAGTCGGTTGAGAGGCTGGCGTTGAGGGGTTGTTGAAGGTTGTCAATTTTGTGGCGTAAGGCTTGGAGTGCTTCTTCTCTGTTACATTGTTACATTCAGTATAAATATATATATGTATATATATATATACACACACACAAACACACATCCCCCTTCTTCATTTCCCACTCATGTTCCATGTTCAACGGTACATGAATCTGTATGGAAACATTGTACTCACGAGTAAAAAGAAGATGTTATCCATGAAGTTTGTTCTATATTGTACTCTTTCAAAGGTCTAAGAAAAGGAATTATGACTATCATTCAGGTATTTCCGGTTTTATGATCTGTTAATCATCCCTCCATGCCAATGGGTGTCAAGTGGTAAACGTTTAAGACCACAATGTCGGAATTTTACCACAACTATAGTCGTTACGGGATTGTAACCTGCATCTCCTTAGGCTTTCATCGTATATATAATAATCTATTTATATAGCGCCAAGTTCCAGATAGGCTGCTCACAGGCACTTAACATAGTCTTGTAATGTCAGTTTCCAAGAGAAAGGATATGTTTTAAGTTGGCGGCGGAAAGCCTGTACGGAGGGTGCAGACTTTAAAGTAAGAGGTAGTTTGTTGCAGAGAGTGGGGACTGCACACTTGAAAGATTGATTGCCTAATCTAGTCCCGGATCTATTGTTAACAAGGAGATTTTTATCCTATGATCTCAAAAGCCTAGATAGAGCATATTTGGTCAGAAGTGACAGCAGGTATTATGAGAAGTGGTCAGTCTTCTAAACCTTATAGACGATGGTCACTTTGTGATTATCTGGCAGCTGTATTCTGGATCACCTGAAGACGTTGAAGCTATGAGGATGGGATGCCGCACAGGAGGGAGTTGGCATAATTGTTACGAGAGTGTGTGTTTTCTAATTTGTATTATCATTATCATTTCCCAAAGAAAAATCGCATCATGAAAATAGCAATTTCATGTAGCAGTGAAATTAAACGTGATTCATTTTACAAAAGGTTTTGCTCTGTTTATGAGTCCTATCGTGTTTATTTTTTGAAACATCATAACAAAACATCGTCGACATCGAATCCGTAAAATGCCCGTATTTAACAGCATGATTTTCAATTTCGGCGTGTAGTGTCACAGAATACACAATTCACATGCAATGCACGTGAAAGTTGGGGATCAGATAGTCTCAATGATGGGTATAAAAGGTTGATCGCTCTCTGTCGATTATTCACTGTATTTGGAATATTGTTGACGAACGCAAAATGCCACGTCTAAGTGAAGCCAACCGTCATATCGCCATTGGTTTGCTTGAAGCTGGCCAGTCTCAACGTGCAGTTGCCCGACGCATGAATGTTCACCAAAGCACCATTTCACGGCTCTGGGAGACATATCGCCGGCAGAATTCGGTAGCAGATGCCCCTCGTAGTGGGCGACCTCGAGCGACCACTGCGGCACAGGATCGCTACATCCGGGTACATCACCTGCGTCACCGAACAGCTACGGCGACCAGTACCGCTCGACAAATACCCGGATTGAGGAGGCTTTCTGCACAGACCATCAGGAACAGGTTGAGAGAGGCTGGTTTACGTACCAGAAGTCCTTATTTTTGCCCTGTGCTTCGACAACAACATCGTCGACATCGAGTTCAATGGTGCACCAACGTTCAGGCCTGGAACCTACCGAATTGGCATAGAATCTGGTTCAGTGATGAATCACGATTTCTATTGGAACGACGCGATTGAAGAATGCGGGTGTAGAGACGTCGACGTGAACGTTTCGCCGACGCTTGTATTCTCCAGGTGGACAGATTCGGTCGGGACAATGTTATGATGTGGGGAGCGATCACCTGCCGTAGGAGAAGTGATTTGGTGATGATCCAGGGCAACCTGACAGCTCAACGGTACTGTGACGAAATCCTACGCCCACACCTCCTTCCAATCATTGATCGCAAGAGGGAATTGTTTCAACAGGACAATGCCAGGCCCCACACAGCACGTCACTAGAGACTACCTCCAGAACCACAACATCAATGTGCTCCCCTGACCCTCAAGATCACCGGACTTAAACCCAATCGAACATCTGTTGGATGCCCTGGACAGACAGGTGCGACGCCGTAACCCTCAGCCCCAGACACTCCAGCAACTCCCACAGGCACTACAGGCAGAGTGGGCTGCGATTGGGCAACACAAGATTCTGAGACTTATTCGTTTGATGCCGAGGCGATGCCATGCAGTTCTGGATGCCCACGGTGGTCACACGAGGTATTCACTTCAGCGCCACCACACGTCTCCATGTGACACTCAAACTGACTTTCCTCGAGTTGGTGCCAAAGACGGATAAGTCTGCATTCCCAGTGTGCAATTTCGCTATATTTCATTGACTCATAAAGCCTACATGATGTTTCAAAATAAACATAAAAATACAGTTGAAATTCCTATATGCGTTTCTTTTTGGGAGAGAGTATATTATTGAATATTTTAGACTTATCTGTGTTATATTTTGCTGGTTCAAAGGGGACTTTTAAAATCTTTAAAATCTTAAACAGCAATTTATTAACCGTAACACTCGATGCTGGAGATGTCCATGTCAGAATCAAAGTAGATTCCTAGATTCTTCACTGTGGCAGACGGAGTTACTTTCACATGTCCAGTCCATACTCACAGGCCTGATAGTGAAGTCTGAAAATGCTTTGGTCCAACAGCCAGACCTTCCGTTTTACTGTCATTTAGACTGAGGAAGGTTGTGTTCATCCAGCCTGATGTCAAGAATACAGTTTTCCAACTTGTGCGATCATTCAATGATATCAGTCTTGAAGCAATGGTACTCTGAGTATCATCAGCATAGCAGTGATACTATGTCTCCTAAAGATGTCGCCCAAGGGTAGCATGTAGATAGCGGGCAAGAGGGGACCTAATACAGATCCCTTGGGCACTCCATAAGTAAGCCTGCCCAGATGCACCATCACCCACTACTATTGACTGCGTTCTGTCTGTCAGCCATGCCAATAATGCTCCTGTGATGCCAACTCTTTTTCTCAAGCAGATAAAGAAGGATGGTATGGTCGACGGTATCAAATGCCACAGACAAATCAAACTTTTAACTAATGCTGTTTCAGTACCATGATGATCCCTATATGCTGAATGAAATTCCTTCATAAGGTTGTTGTTCTCAATATGGTTTCTGATTTGACATGCGACTATCTTCCCCAGGACCTTTGACAAAAGCAGCCAGTTTGAAACGGGTCTATGGTTGCCGATATTCTCAGGTTCCCCAAGGAGGACTTCTTAATGAGTGGCCAGATTTGTGCTATTTTAAACTCATTTTAGGTACCCGAGACGTGTGGAACGAAGTAGTGAAAAGGCTTACAAGCACAGACTATAACTGTTCTAGAAATCGCTTGAGAATCCAAGTGGGCAGAGGGTCTAAATCACAGGACATTGATTGAGTCTTTGCAAGAAGGTGCCAAACCTCAGTCTCCGATATCGGAGTGAAACTTTCAAGAGAAATACTAGTGAAAGGTTTGCTGTAGCTAGCAGTAGCAGTTTCTTGGGACTCCTGCAATTCAGCTCTCAGGTTCTCAATCTTCGCCATGAAGAAATCTCAGAAAGGTGTTACAAGGTTGACATTATCAGTATGTGTTGGGTGAATAACACATTCTTCCTTTCTTAGGAGACTGTTCACTACTTTGGCATTGTTGCTGCGTTCTTTAATACGTTCTTGGATGTGAGACATTTTGGAATAAATCAAGCAGGAAGTTGTGCCTGTCTCTTGCAGATTTGTACATTCGGAGATCTATCTCCAGCTTTGACTTGCGCCAACTTTTTTTCAGCCATCTCTTCCTAGAGAGACGAATGTCTTCAGTGTACCAACTTGCATCAGAACGGATGTAGCTCACTCTTTTCTGTACAGACGCATGTTTGTTGATCACACCGGAAGGCGTTGAGTTCAGAATATCAACCTGGCTATTGACGTTCTTTGAGGTACTTCTCAAAAACTTTGAAATTGATTTGTTTAGTTTTCAGATACTGGATAAGTTTCTTTGCATGTGGTGATGCTCTCTCAGGATTTAGCACACACATACGCTCTCTCAAGATTTAGTGCACAATAGACTGAAAAATGGTCTGAGATCATATGGTTTTCAACTGTCACACATTTTACGGAGTCCTGACATTACTAAATCAAGTATGCGTCCACTTCTGCGAACATGTTGTTGCAAGTCAAGATTAGTTCACAAAACTATTTGACTTCAGACGACTGTGTATTATCAATATGAATATTGAATTCACCAAGAAGTAAAAAAAAATGTGCAATAAAATAATATTTTTAGCTTCTTGTGAAAATTCGTTTCACAAGGTGGTCTATATATAACTGCGAGAGTCAGTTTTTTCAAGTCACTAGTTATAGTGACAATGATTATTTCCATGGAACTGTATTTCACCAAGTTATGAACACGAACATTAATCATTCTTTATAATAATAATAATGAATTTGTAGAGTGCCTACCTTCTAGCTGCAGCTGCTCAGCGGTGCTTGTCAAGAGTTAGAAAGCTTTTGTGAAGAGGTGGGGTTTTTTCAAATTTGCTTTAACATCTCGCTTGATGTTGCAGATTTTAGGTCAGGGGGCAGCAAGTGCAAAGGATCTTTATGCCGACTTTGTTTGTGTGTTTGGTAAAACCAGTCTTAGGTCGTGAGTAGACCTTAGAGCACAAGTAGGGTGTTAAACGTCTTTCAGGTAACCTTGTGATTTCTCATCATTCAGAGCGGAAGACATTATCTGCTTGACCAGAAGCCAGCGCAGCTGCTTCAATACAGGAGAGCTGTAGTCGAACTTTCCTGTGCTTGTGAATACTCTTGCAGGCATATTCTGCACCAGCTGAAGGTGTCACGACTCAATGAATTCGTTCAGGATAGAGTTGCAATAGTCTTATGGTGACATAACATATGACTGTACAAGTAACTTAGTGGTGTCGGTGTCTAGATATGTTCTTATTTTGCTGATGTTTCTAAGACGCATCGTGGCAGTGCGAGCTGATTTCAGGACATGGTGGGTCGCAGATAGAGTCTTGTTGATAGGAACACGAAGATTCCTTACTTGATCTGTTGGGTGTATCTTAACTCCACCAATGGAAAGTGGCTGTAGTGAAATTTTCTGTAAGTGATGTTTAGTTCCTAGTATCATAAACTCAGTTTTGTCTTTATTTAGTTTTAGAAAATCAGCGCACATCCACTGACTCAGGTCTTGTACGTGATGATTCCAATTTAGCTTGTCGTGGTAGGCACGTTGATTATAGACTATAGATTTGGTTGTCGTCGACAGCGTCCCTGTGACACACCGTACGTCAAGTCACATGATTGGAATGTAGTACCGTCGACCTGCACACACACATCTTGCGGACTGTGAGACAATACTTGAACCACGACAGTGCTAATCCTGTTATTCCTATTGTGTGTTCTAGCCGTGATATTAAAATGGAATGGTCCACAATGTCGAACACAGACGACAGGTCGAGTAAAGCTAGGAGAACTGGGTTCAGTCCATCCACAGATCTGAGGATGTCATTCTCAACTCTCAGGAGAGCAGTCGCGGTACAGTGTCAGATGTGTACGCAGAGTTAAACATATTGTTCAGGTCATGCTTCCTTAAGTGTTAAGTGTCCAGTATTTTAGAGAAAACGGCAAGTTTGATACGGGTCTAAGTTTTTCAGCAAGGACGAGTCCGAGGAGGGTTTCTTAAGGACTAATAATTGCTTCTTTAAAAGAGTTGGACACAGTTTTTAAATTGACTGAAGTGTTGATTATTATTATTTAGTACACTTGAGCACGGAGAAGCAGTTTCTAAGAAGCCAAGTGGGTGTCGGGTCCAGCCGACATGACTTGACAGGAAATTTATTCCGAACATCAGCTCACTGCTTGAAATCAATAGGCGATCTACCGTCATTCATCAACACAATGGTCTCCTCTGCTTCTCCTTTGCTTGGCAAGCTCATTTTGTTGCTTTGTCTGATTGATTCCCAAAATATACATTCCTGATGCAAATTCATATATGCACCAAATAAATATGGTTGGCTTGTGGACGGCCGTACCTGTGGCAAGTCAAAAGTGTACCCTGCTGTAGATAACGCCGCCAAAAACATTGGGTGAATTGTAATTAAAATCCTTCCACAATTGTTTTCAGATACCAACAAGAAGTTCGTGAATACATCACAAGTGGCGTTTCGAGGGCTAATTCAACAGCAATGGCCTCTGAAAGAATACTGGATCTATTCCATGGCAACGTATCATTTTTCAGACCAAGATGTGATAATTGGAACGTTCAAGACAACTGTTGTCCTTTCATGTGCTATGACGTGGAACTACAGCTGGACAGGTAGGATCAGTGAATTTAAAGATAACCATTAACCAGGGGCAACCCAATTAAAACGTACCAACGCACTTCGTAATATTGAGTATGCTTTGAAATTCATATTATTAAAATGGTAAGAGGAATAAAAGCCGAATTTGAAATTTGATAACAATTTACTTGCAATGTTTGAAGAATACACAAAAACACAAATAGTCACCACGACAATGCAACCAATCTGATCGCCACACAGTTCTCAAATAATGATAGTTGTCATTGTATGAACCCCCTAATGGCGACCACGTCAGTTCTTGATGTAGCCACCAATCGCACAGATGACAAATGTAAGTCGGCTCCTCATACGGACAATCGAGTGTCGAATTCTCAGCATCGGAATCCTCTGCCATTCCCCATGTACCCGAGTTACTTCCTGCAGATTTGGAACAGGAGGATCTCTAGCTCAAACTTTGTCTTACAGGATAGTCCCAAAGATGTGTGAAATCTTTGGGAATCTTTGTGGGTAATGGTATTGCTTTGATAGCGGTATTCTGCAAATGGGTGATGAGGGCTTGAGAACGGTAATTTCAAGCGTTGTCATCCATGGGCAACTAGCACAAGATGGTTCCCAACATTTCGCAAGACGGCGATATCCAGTACTTTTTGTTGATAATGTTGAGTGTCACGGGTACTGTGATGAGATCGAACTTGCAGTCACACAAAACCCTACTCCACACTATCACTGAGCCACATCGAAAAGGGTTCAGCTGCATGGATCATCTACAGGTGATATTCCTTGTTATGACGTTTCCATACGCGACAATGGCCTTCAATATCGACTTTCATTACGTTCGCAACCTCCTTCTGAAAGTACTCACACTCTCCATTACCAACATAGTTCTTCATTACGGGATTGTGTCTTGCCAGACGAATTTGGTCTCCGCCATCATGATCATGATGGTCCTCGGTCCTCCAGGTCTAACACTTGTCTACCTGTCGCCTCGTGCTTCCTCACAAGTCTTCTGAATAATCTTAGGCTATATTTAGGTTAGCACCCATGTTGCCACAGGACATCTCTGCATCATGCATGCCAATTAAGTTGCCATCGTGTATTGTCATAAAGTCTACGTCTTACCACCAGGAAAATCATATTTATTACAACTCCTCTCTAAAATCAGTTTACCAAACTGTAGCGTTATTGTGTAACCTTTGAAACGTTTACCCCTATGCGTTTGGAGCCTTCACATCTTGTGAGTATGAGCCCAACAGCTTTAGTATTATTGTGTGAAGCATGTACTCTACATGTGCATAAATGTATACTAGGGCATGATCGATTCTTTGGATCAGATTTTGAAACATTTCTCTTGGATTCAGGTGGCACTTTTTTAATGCTCATTTGTATAAAATGATTTTGCAATATTAATGTATTCACGGGTCAGCGCCAATTATATTTGCATGGACTTGAAAAATTATGAACTTTTTTTTCAAGATACAATGGTGGAGATATCACAATGTGCTCTCTATTTCTTGAAATATTGAAGAAATGGGTGAAAAGCTACCAAGCAGCAATAAAGACCGGATGTACTATCAGGGTAGGTATAGTGAGTGAGTGAATTAGCTTAGTTTAACGCCGCACTCAGCAATATTCCAGCTATATGGCGGCTGGGTAGGTATAGTACGTGGACGGGTTTTATATAAACAATATTCTGTGCAATACCCAGGAAAAGAAAGGGAAAAGAAAATACAGCTACAAACAGGTCAGCTAAACAACTTGGAGAATGATTGATCTTTTAAACTGCTCAGTTATCGGCGTAAAAGTACATTGTTTTATTTGAATGTTAAGGCACGGAAAATCAAACATCAAAATCACCTTTTCTTCAGTAATGTTATGAAAAAGTGTACGGAACATTGCAAAGCATAATTTCAGTTCTATCTGTGGCTGGGGGATGCAATAGAGGCTTGTGAAGCAGACCTTCCAAACAATCTCCTATTTGACTTCATCGACACATCGAACATTGCGGATCGAGTTGGCCTGATTCCATTACTGATCCGTTGCCAAGAGAGACTCCAACGGTAAGCAGTGTTGAGGGAGTGGTTTATTTTGTTTGCTAGTTATCATTCGAGTCTGGAAAAGATAATCCAATAATCAAAATCAGGAGCATCGATCTACGCAATTGGGAACCGATGACATGTGTCAACCACGTCAGCGAGCCTGACCACCCAATCCCGTTAGTCGCCTCTTGCGACAAGCATGGGTTGCTGAAGATCAATTCTAACCCGGATCTTCACGGGTACAGCGTTGAGGGAATTTTGTGTTCGTGCTACATGTTATATAACGTGAAGAATGTTGCATGCAAAATGTAACTGCTGCTCTTTGTGCCGCAAATGAGTATGTATTGGTTCAGGTAAGAGCCTCTTTTGTTTAGGCCAAATGGGTTTCTGAGGACAGAGACCTTTCATTGGGACAAAGGTGTTTCTTCTTCGCTGGAATCGTTTCTGCGCCAGTGTTTGGATATTCCTCAGTTGATTTATCCAACTTTGATTGGTCTCCATCTTGCTGAAGAGCTCACGCTTGGTCACGAGTAAGCACAAAGCTATTATATTTTACGCAAAGTTTGTCATGCATTTGATACCAGCAAGACATCATTTTACTGCCATCGATCTGTGTCTTTATGCTAAATGTCATCTGTTCTAGCAGATCGTCATGACTAACTTTTTCTTTAATTGTATGTTTACTTATTGCGATCATGAATCAATTTAATGGGTTTGCTAATGATAGTACAAGAATATGCTACTGATTGTGTGACCTTTTGTAATTCATTTCAGGAATATTCTTGAAGACGGATCATTTGTTGGAGTACGAAAGTTCGCCTTACGATGGAAGGCAGCTGGAGAACAAGAGATGTTGACATTGTCAGCAGATGGTAAGAGGGTGATGCGTACCAGCATACCTAAACATGTGCTTCTGGTTTTTGATAGATGGAAATTGATACTTTTTACAAATAAACAGGACGTGGAACTCGACTTCTTTAACTCCAAGATCACATTGCAGACAGTCATTTCAGCACATGTTCATTTTTGTTTGTACGTAGATTATTGATATTGAAAGATTTACTTTAAATTTTCACTGCAGCTCTTTGCAAGACCTATGCGAAAGAAATTGAAATTCTATTGATGCAGTAACAGCGACTTCATATTATTTTATTAACGACTATGATTTCCACAACAATGCCACTTTAGGAAATCAATATCTTTTAACTGTTAAACGTCAGATGCGTGTACGTCAATGCATAGTAGACTTTGACATTTCCCAGACACCATCAGTTTTACTATGTTAAGTCCTTATCCTCAACATTTTAGTCTGACCATCCTGGCCTGTTGCCAATACTGAGGTCAGTGTCTGTAGATTATAACGACTGGGCAAAAGAAAGTATTTGTATAAAAAACAATTGGTCCAGGTTTGAAAACATTCACCAAAACACAACATGGTCCCGATAACAACGCAGCTGTCCGAAAACTTCGTACGAATCGTGCATTTCTTGAAACGTGAAAAACGTAGTTGTGGTCCAAATGCACGTGCATAATTTCGGCATAAATACTGATGTTAGACAGAACAAGTATGCAGTAACCAAGAAACCACCACGAATATGCCAAGACTTACGCAAGCGCAACCATAGGCCCCCAAATCGTTAAACTAACCCCTGGTTAACTATCCATATTTCAGATGGGTGTAGGAGTCATATACACGTTTTCCGTTGGGATGCATTTGTTTGGGTTTTTTCTAACTCACCAACGACTGAGTTGCTGTGCCGAGTTACCCCTGCGATCTGATTGGCTGCGACACGCTGTCAGCAGGCGAACAGTCCTTCGATTTGGTATGGCTGGTATACGGACCTACCGCCCCCTTCCGTGAAATGGCCTTGACCCGTCTACACCAATGCAGACTGATATGGATACGAACTGTAAGTCGGTGGTAGCGACGTGACTGGGAGAGAATGCACTTTACAGATGAAAGTCGGTTCATTCTATTCAGAAACTCAGAAACGATGGCAGGATGAGCGCCTCCGCCAAGCTGCGTTCAGGAAGTTCGTCAGTTCGATGGAGGGGGGCGACATTTGTTGCCACAGAACAGCAAGACTGGCAGGAAATCTGGATGCCTACAGATACAGACATGAAGTGTTAACACTTTTTGTGGTGTCCTTCATTCCAAAACAGCCAAGAGGAGTCATTTTGCAGCACGACAACGCAAGTCACCACAACACATTGCGTGTTTTTTCAGACATGAACCCCATTGAACATCTTTGGGATCATCTGTCAGCTGAGACAGGCGAACCAACAGGAACTTGAACACACGCTCATTTTTATGGAACAAGATTCCTGCTGACATTCATCCTCAGTGAGAAGACGTGTGTTGGCGTGTCTCCTGGCTCCTGCCTCACGTGTGACTCTTTATGCACATGTTTCCCTTGGCAACTGGTGAGGCCACAGGTTGACCTAACACTAACAGTGTTTAAAAAAAATCCAAAACTAATTAATTACAAAATAGACAAGAATATAATCAATTAAAAACTCAATTCAATACATACAAATCCTTATTTACAGATGGGTCCAAGGATGGTGGCGCAGTTGCTTGTGCCACTGTCATTGGATCCAGAACAATATCTTCTCGATTTCCAAATGACAGCTCTAATTTCACAGCAGAAGCTAACGCCATATTAACAGCTCTTAAATATATTAATAAACACCCTAAATATACACAATACATAATCTTTTCCGATTCTCTTTCGTGCCTTCGGGCCATTAAAAAATCTTGCTTGTAAACATACATTTTTAATAGAAATTATTGAATTGTAGAATGATCTTGCTAGTGGCCAATAAAAGACGATGTTGGCATATTTGGCAACAATGGCCCATCTTGCTGCCAAGGCAGCACTCAACAAATCTGTGACACCACTTCTTATCCCATACTCTGATTACAAAGCTAGCATCAGAACCTACATCCGTGATCTGATGCAGAAGAAGTGGGACACCCAAGTTGGTATTAATAAACTATATGAAATGAAACCCTATATTGGTTACACCTACTAGGGTTGTCAGTCCAGATTTGAGGAGGTCAACATACGACGATGTCGTATTGGCCACACAAGTTATACAGATAAATATTTGCTTAAAGGTGAAGATCCTCCGTTTTGCATCCCTTGTGATGGAAGAATCACGGTCAAGCATGTCGTGTTTGACTGTATTCATTTTACTATCACTAGGCATAAATATTTCAATGTCAAAACAGTTAAAAATCTATTTTATGTTAATTATCATTTAATAATCGATTTTTTAAAGGAAATAGAATTATTAGATAATTTTTGAATATGGTTTGTAAATAGATAAATGGCGTTTTAAACATGGTAGTATTAATTAATAACTTAGATTGTTAGTGGCTGTACTCTTAAAGGGGGTTGAAGTATTGTAAAATTATTGTCCGCCTAAGAGGGTACGTAAGTCCCGAAACATTGAAAGTAAATTTAAACTCTCCACTTTTTTAATCGTCACATATGTGTATTTTTAATGTATGGCTAATTACATCTAAGTTGCTAATAGCTGAAGGGATGATGTAAATCCAGCTAGGGCCCATGCAGGAGGCAAATGTACTGTAAGTCCCCATGGTCCCTGGTATGGTGATCTACCTTCAGTTGCTGGTGATCTATAGCCAACTTTTATATTGTATTGTTCTAAATAGTAAATGATTTTAAGTTCAATGCTAGTTTTAAAGCTCTTATTGTGATATGCTAGTTGTTTAACTGTCCTTTGGGGACATATTTTATATTATAACATTATAAAGTAGTACATGTGAACTGTTTTAGTCACGATATGGCTGAAATATTCCCAAAGTGACTTTAAATTTTAACTCACTCGCTGACTTATGCACATATTGATTTCTGTAATTTTTAATTCTGACCCCGGACTCAATGAATTGCGGCAAATGCAAGACCAAGAATATTTTGGTCAATTGAAGTCTGTGATAACTTTAAATAGACATGCTATGTACATTGTTGTTCTCGTCAGAATTGGTCCTCGGCAACCAATTTCTTTCGTAAGAGATGGTATCCATATGTCTAATGCTTGTATAAATTGTATTTCCAGTTGAAAGTAACAGATCCAGATCAATCGATATATCTATATATCAGTTTATCTGTCAAAGACTAATACCTCACTTCACGCTCATGTTCCAGGAAGAGATGCCCTGTCGAAATGTCTTGCCCAACTCGAAAGTAGAATTGGGGTGATGTACGTCTCCGATACACGCAGTAAGAACACCGATAAAATAGACAGAAACTCAAAGGAGAGGTTGATGCACAGACTCAGCAGGATCACCACACGTGTGTATTGCAATAATTGCCCAACTCTCTCTCTCTACTCGCATAGCAGACGAACACAAAAGCAAACATCGTGTCTGTTTTGAAATGTCACCATCATATCCCTTTTAAAGTGGGAGTTGTGTCATCTCTCTCTCTCTCTCTCTCTCTCTCTCTCTCTCTCTCTCTCTCTCTCTCTCTCTCTCTCTCTCTCTCTCTCTCTCTCTCTCTCTCTCTCTCTCTCTCTCTCTCTCTCTGTTGCTACTTGCTCTTTCATGGACATCGACTACTTACATTTTCAGGCGAAGCACCTGCAGATTTAGACATTTCTTCAGGAGACACGCTTGTAAGTGCAAATTTTAGCACAATGATTCCAGTTCCCTGTTCCCATTGCATGACGTATATATTGATTTAACTGAGGGTCATAAGTCAATTTCTCTTGGTAAGGTGTAGCTTGAGTGTGTTCAAGAAACCCATGTGCGCGAACAGAAGACAAATCGTTTGGACAAGCAGTTATCCCTCGGTTTTGTTGCTATTATTTAACTTATTGTAATTCAATTTTTATCTCTGTAAAGGAAAACTACTAAATTTATAAAATCCTGCCAAGACATTAGTATTGTTGAATTTCCTTATTTGCTGCAAGGTAAACGTTCCCTACTTTTGTTATAATGCGGTATTTGTGAATGCAGAGAGGGTGTTATTTATGCCTGTATACTATTGACACACTGTTGCAATGGAAACTGTTATTTTGCTTTACATTTTTTTACTGTTATTATGCTTTAATTTTTCATGCTCCTTTAAAGACTGTAATCGAGGACGTGGATCACTACCAGGTGAGGATTAAAACGGATTCAGAATTCCCGGAGGATGGAATCTTCACAGCTGACATGGAGACGGGAGATCATTACGTTGTGGTGCTGAAGAACTGCCGTATTGGGTAAGACCAGTTGTTTGCTTTCCCTTGATCCATCTGTAAAATGAATATTAAATAAAATTGATTTCAGTGACAACTTGTGATGACTTGCATCCCTTGCCAACGTTAAATGGTCCCATCATGTTTTCCTGAAACGGGTATTGATGTTTACGTACTGCATTCAGTTACAAAAGATCAAGTTGTTTTCTAAATTTCAATATGTAGCCGATGAGTGTCAGAAAACCTAAAACCTGTGTTTGCTTGAAATTATCATATCATACGTGTCTGTTTCACACCATCAGGTCTACAGGCTTTAGTAAGACAATTCGATTTGCATGCGGTATCAACATCAACTCCTTCAACATCATACCATCCAGAAAGAGCGGAACCATTGAAGCTCGCTTCAAAAAGGATCCCAGTTTCACTCAAGGCGACCGACTTTTACCCTGGAAGAAACTTGATGCAGGCTTCATTGTGAATCTTCCAGACTTTCCGCGGTCACAGTTTGGAGAGGACTTAATTAGATGTCATGTTCAACGTATGTACCTAAAGTCTACTCCCGAGTTGAAGACTGCCACACCATTGCAACAGTTCCAGACCATAGTATTATACCTGATGAACACTGATCCATTTTCATTTGGCGTAAGTACATATTCAAGAAATAAAGCATGCTAAATATGTTGACCTCGCCTTTGAAATGTCTCGCTTGCATCTCACATGCACTGTCGTCAGGCTGCCCTTTGTTCTCGGTGCCCTTGGTTTGGTACCTCCTGATCTCTTGGCACAGGTCAGGAGAGTGCCAGGGAGCACAGCCATTCTGACACTCTGGGTAATGCAGAAGGCTGCAGTGTTGGGGAGTCTACATATTCTCCGGAAAATTGTTGGTGGGTTCGTTTCCTGGGAGAAGTACCATTCGCCGTCTGGGATGCGTGTAGAGGGGGCAAGGGCCCTGAGCTGATGATAAAGATCCCAGGATCACCCGAACCCTCTCTGCTGCATTTTTCATCTTAATCTGTAAAACATAATTAATTATTATATAAGCAATCATAACATCGAAGTTCAGTTCGTTGCAGAGGTCCTGGCCAGTGAGATTTATAGAAAGAATTCCTTACAGTTGTGATATGAGCATCCGACTTGAAAAGATCATTTAGTGAAAATATATATATGCCGAGTCCATTCCCAGAATGATACATATACTCACCGCCAAAAGAAACGCGAAATTCATCAATATCTACTGTGACGTAAATCGACAGTGTTGAAGGGGTTTCTGATATGTAATTGATTATGTGAATACTGTTTTTCACGGCAAAAGAAAAACGTTTACCACAAACGCAGCATACGTGACGTCACACATCATTAAAATGTGAACTCAATGGTTGTCATTTTGCCCGTGCAGAGATAGGTCGTGAAGTTAGAATTGCATTCTTTGCATGATGTACTTGCTCTTAAGATGCTACTTAAGGAACGGGTACTGCTAAACGTCTGCATTCGCATTTTCATGCAACTGTGAGCATGCCTAGTTTAACTGCAAACGAACGTCAGAGAGCAATAGGGAATATTGAGGCAGGTTGGAGCATCCAACGTGTCCCCAGGCATTATGGAACACATCAGTCCACCATTTACAGTCAGCTTGACCGCTACCAGCAGACAAACACCGTTGCCTGCCCCCTCGTAGCGGACGTCCACGTAACGTCATCATACTGACGAGACCGCTACATTGTTACCTCTCATTTGCGAAATCGCTTCATACCAACTACCACAACAGCTCGTAACACCATAGGAAGACACAACAGACCCATCAGCGACATTACTGCACGTCGCCGTCTCACTCAGGTTGGTTTACGTTGCCGTCGACCATACGTTGGTTCACGTTTGACGCCACGACATAGACGTGCTCGACTGAACGGGGCAGCAGTCCATGGCAACTGGCGCAATGGACAGTAGCAGAACATCGGCTTCTCAGATGAAAGTCGCTTTTGTGTCGATACCGCAGATGGCAGAGTAAGGATATGTCGTCGTCAAGGTGAAAGATTCTCAGAACCCCGTGTTTGGAGAGAGATCGAGGTCCTTCCCTCATGTTTTGGGGGGCCATGAGCTGGGGGCGTCATGTTCAACATGTAATCTTCAGAACAATGGGCAAGGTCGTGGTAGGGGTGTTTCAGCGCAGCGCTACATCGACGAAGTGTTGAGACTAGTAATTCGTCCATTTTTTGCTCAAAGGCGTCATCTTGTTTTGCAGCACGATAACGCGAGAGCGCACACAGCAAGACTGACACAGACATTCTTCCAGAACAACAACATCCAGACCATGGAGTGGCCAGCTCTAAGCCCGGATTTGAATCCCATCGAACACCTCTGGGATGAGATGGAAAGATTATTTCACCAACAGCGAGTACGTCCACTTGCAACAACTGCAACGGAGTGTTGTTGCCGCTTACAACAACATTCCCAGGAGGTTTATTCGACGTCTCTTCAACAGTATGGCGAGGAGATGTGCAGCTGTTGTTGAAGCCAATGGAGGTCACATCCGTTGTTGACACATCCTTGTGAAGGACAATTCCTAACAGCATGCGTTATGTGGTTTCAATATTGACTTATTGGATTTTCATGTCATGTGGAGAATAAACACACTAAGAGCTTTCTTTCGAGTTCTCTTTGTCTTTTGTTAAAGTAAAGTTAGTTGAAAAGACGCCATGTTTTCACTCATTGTCAGTATCATCATTTCACACAATTCGCGTTTCATTTGGCGGTGAGTATATGAATAAAACTAAGTATGGCACACTTTTGAAAATGCGTGTGATACATTTTAGCTTATGATTTTTGTTCCATATGTATGAAAAGTACAAAGCACGATCGAAAGCAATACCACTAGCAGCTTGTTAGTGTTGCTCCTTTTCTTCCCAGGCTTGTTTAATGGGTGACAAATCAGGGCATTTAGCAGACCAGGGTAACACTTTAACTTTTTTTCTGATAAAGATACTGCTGTACTACTCGAGAAATATGTGGTCTGGTGTGGTTGTCGTGTTACCATTCCTCTGTTTTAAAAATGGCGAAGAGGTCATTTGCAAAATCTTATCTCGGTACCTCCAAGGACATTAGACAAAAAAGGTCACAACAACTGATATATAAAATGACATAAAATAATTTCACATTTATAACCAGCATGTCAACTGAGGGATGCACGTACTAAATCCTTTCTTCAGGATTATTAACTTTTACTTTCGACCAGACTTTAAAATTTGAAGACATGTCCACTCCTCCTTTGTTCTGTGTTCTGAATCTCAGGAATATAATGTACAAAGAGACATATCAGCAATGAAGGCAGGCAGCTCCTTCCCTTCCTCTGACTAGACATAAAGGAAACCAATAAGACCGTTCCATTTAGACATATTCATACAGATTCAGAGTGACTAACTTTCCACACAACAGTATGACAAGAGGGTGACTTTATTTTTTTAACATCAATACAACTCCCTATTTTGACTTGAACTATAAGATTCAAGGGAAAAGTGGACTTTTTGTGATGTTTTTAAACGCAACTCCGTTTGTAGGGTTTTTCACAGAATGTTATGTGACGTTTTTATTACCATAATGAATTTGGGATCATAATTGAAGTCCCTATTGACTCAGATTCAGAATTGGTCAAGGTGTGTTTTGACAGATATCTATCACGTTTGTGTTTATTGTATATATACACTTTGATGCCACTGCACATATAATATAGCATTAATATGTTGTTGTCTTTTAACAACAGGTACCAACAACCGTGTCCATCAGAGTTCCAAGTCAAGCAGATCCGTCTATCAGAGTCGACAACAGATTTTATCTGGAGGGTCTGAAGATATATGAGAATAAACCAACACTGTTTTTGACTTTCTTAGATGTTGACAAAATGTCGCAGCTCCTAATGGAAGACAAAATCAACCAAGAAGAAATCTCACCCTTCCTTCACCTGCCCTTGGGGGCTATGGAATTGGATCCAGATTCTGCCAAATATTTGGCTCCGGTAACTATGTTCATCTATTAAATTCATTACAATTATAAATTTGATTATATGTTTGTGGTACATGTATTCGATTGAAGTACGAATCCATAACAGGGGCTATGTTTTATAGAGGTAATCACGCTTGAAAGGAGTTTTAGATTTTGTAAATATCCTATATTAGGAATAAACATTGCATTTAGCGAGCCTTGACGAATTACATAAACAGTGACTATTCCGAATACATGATATTGGCCATCGCTAGATACAATATACATTCCTAATACAGCAAGTTTTCGCACAGGGGTTTTCAATGCTGATGCAAATTCTGGAACTGAACTCTTACCGGAGAGCCCAAGACTACTGCCAGGAACCAGACAAGAGATGTGTGATGAGAACATACTTGAGAGCAAGATACCCGTACATGGATTATAAGACGTACAGCATGCATCTGTCGGGATATGTCAGAAAATTACATAAGTATGTCTGTCAAACTGTTCTTAATATTTTTAGAAACACCTACTAATGTATATTTGTGATACTCAATCATAGTGTATGTTATATGGTGTTATATGTGATATATGAATCATGTGTAATGTTTTCAATCATGATATATACATCAGTTATGTTAGTAAGTCGTCATGACTTTCAATAATTTTTTCAGATCAGTACAGTGTGTTCATCGCGCCCCACTTTTTTCTTATTCTCCCCGATGTTTCAGAACTGATTTCCATTCTTCAAAGTCAGCTCCCCGCCAAGTTCGAGGATCTAACACCCCGGCCTTCCACCCATTCTTGTGACAGTTGTGGCAGGACATCAGCAGAGTGCAAGAAATGCACAGGATGTCGCCTTGTGTTCTACTGTGACCGGGTATGTCAGAGGAAGGCATGGCCTGTGCACAAACATATCTGCAGGCGTACTTGAAGTCATTAGGACAAATATGAAACGGCCTATAGAGCTATAGGGATTATGTGTGAGTTGCCACACTCAGCAATATTCCAGCTATATATTGCGGCGGCCTGTAGATAATCGAGCCTGGACCAGACAATCCAGGGATCTACGCAATTGGTATACGATGACATGTGTCAACCCAGTCAGCGAGCCTGACCACCCGATCCCGTTAGTCGCCTCTTACGACAAACATGGGTTACTGAAGATCAATTCTAACCCTGACCTTCACGGGTTTGGGATTATGAGAAACAACAATATTCCATGTCATCAAACAAAGCAAGTTTTGTTAACTGGCACATGATGTTATCAACAGAATTCAAGCCACATGTTCCTTGTATAAATTCTGAGTAATTAGAGAACAATGCTTGTTATCTTACCACACACATAAATGTCGTTTCCTGATTGGCTGAGCGCTCTTCTACTATTTTCAATGTATCCCGCTTACATTTTCTTTGTACTCCGTTAATCTCATTTGATACTTCGTGGTAATTCTTTATCTCGAATAACATTGAATCACGTGTATGATGTACGGTATTACCGATGTTTGCGAAAGCAAATCGATGGAAGGAGATAACTCTAAATTTGTTTTCTTGTCTTGTCGTCTGGTACCCCATACTATGATCCGATACCCGTGTTTCAAACAGTTCAAAATTAGCATTGAGGTGTTTGGTAAGATAAGTACGTTGTTCTCTGGTCCCTCGGGACCCGTGGGTTGATGTACCCTCGATGTTTCTTTATGTTCCCTAAGCCCGAGGGTACATAAGCCCATGTCAACCTCGTGACCAGTGAACAACTTATATTGTCTTCGGTAAAATTAAACCTTCCTTACATCGTTGTAAAAACTAACATATGGTATATATTGTAAATTATTCTGCACAAATCCGAATGATCAAACACATATTTGAAAACCGAAAAATCAAACACGTGAATGTTTGGATGTATTTTTATACTACGATTTTCAATTTGTGTCTTATTGCAACCATTCTGTAGACAACTTTGTAATTGCGATTTGTTCAGGTAAATGGCATACTTTTCATAGTGTAAATAGAGGCCTTTATGAAAACTCTTAAAAGAAATATCATATGAGTACAGAGTACACTGAATGATTCCGACATTCCCATAAGCATCTTTTGATTAATCCCTGTCAACAATACCAGGGCTACCAGAGCTCTAAGATCATCGCATCTACTATACTTTAACATAGTATTGCCATAGTACAGTAGTCATAGCGCTCAGATAGCATTGTGCAACAGTGTCAGGTAGTGGCTTCAATTCATGAAAGGCAAATGTTTACCCCGAACAAATACAGTGGGAATACACTATGAAAGCTGTTAACTACAGCGCTATAAACACTGATTGTGTTGTGAAACTACTACATTTGACCTCAATAACACTTCAGTGTATCACCAACTATGTTTTCATTTTGTTAAACTATTAACAATTTACATCTGATAGTGATATGATCATAATCATTTCATTTCGTAAATTTAATGTAAACTGAAGGGCTAAAGAAACGTTACCACTTTAAAATTGAACTTGCCAAAAACTCCATCACATCACATGAAAACACATCGCCCAAACGCAACAGTGAGTTTTCCACGTGGAAATTAGCCATGCAATACATGCTTTTCACCATTTTGTCCAAATGTGGTGTGTATGTCTTTCACGAAAAGCGAAAATATTAAATGCCAAACGGGTATAACACCAATGGAAACAGGTTGTCATTCTATTTAAAACCATCACAAGAATGGCTCGATTAACTTTATGAGAACGAAAACGGGCGATCGAGAGCAGGGAGCCTCCGCACCCGCGTTGCAAGAACGCTTGGTTGTCATCGCGTCACCGTCACCAAACTCATACAGTGATACCGTCAGACAGGACTGACCTCAGACAGGCCACCATCAGGCAGACCCCAGGGGGTCACAACAACGCTCCAGGGGGACCAGTATCTGTGCACGCTGCATCTCAGAAAACGCTTTCTGACGGTGACGTCATCAGCGGCGCATGGCTTGGGTTACCGTGTAAGCCGATACACAGTAGCCTAACAACTGTTCCTGGCTTACAGACCTTTCCGGGGACAGTCGTTGACAACGGAGATAAGATGGGCCCCGAACGGTTTGACGTTGGCAGCGGCATGAGTGGTAGACTAACAACTAGTCTCTGAAATGAACATATTTTACAGAAAAAAGGCTCATCGTGAAAAAAATAACATGAAAAATTAAAAAAGATTCTTGAGACTTTCTTCATATTGAAGCTGTGGAAATCTATACTTGCCACATTTTCTAGATTTGCGTGGAACTTTCTTGGATATATTTGCTTCAGGATCTGTATGACAGACTACATGAGTGGCAGAGTGTGCTATTCTCGAATGAAAGCCGATTCTATCTGTTTATTTTGTGATATGGATATATCTGTTGTGGCTATTTCACAATAGTTTTTTTTATCTATGGTAGCGTTTCTTTAGCCCGTCAGTGTATTTCTTGCGACAATTCTGGAAGTGATCAATTAATCCATATATGAGTATTGTATGTTTGTATCAAGCTGATGAACATGGACGAACACCTGTATATTCGTGCTCCTTTTACCAACGTTTCAAAGACTCCCGCTCTTTAGCTGTTCAAGGCTACAACATTCGAGGCTTTATGCTAGACACGTGGAGGAAAATTCCAAATTTAACGCATCAGTGACAAAAATTGTGTGTGATGCAATTCGATATTTGGTCTTGTACCGTATGCCGTAATACGATTTTCAGGTGAACAATAGACTAGCCTTTGCATGTGTTTATGACGGCTGCCACCAGTGGGACGGGATACAGTCACAATTTCGCGAACACCTGGTATCATTGCCAACTGATAATGATTCCTTGAACATACGCTATTAAGAGCAATTTCTTATGTAGCGAGTGTTTTGTCGCTTTACAGGAGATATTCAGTGAAATGTAATTATGTTTTAAATCATTTATAAAACATATTAAAACAAATATTTTGAGTGGGAAATTATCAATATTATTAGTAAAATATCCAAACCCTACTCATATTCGTGAAAATCATTCCTGAACAGGTCTTTGTACTTAGAAATCAGAAGAAATGCTACTTGGTACTTTGTGTATCCATTTGATGAATAAGTACACTCATACAAATTCAGGAATATAAGTAAGTTGCAGAAGTGAGTATTAACAGAAGCGACAAAAATCTTTCCACATCCATAAGAAATGTCCGCCAAAAGCAGAGAGTCGATTGTACAATTGTGACTATATCATGTGCAGATTTTTGTTTCAACAGCATTACAGCTGTATGGTGTCTGTAAACAAATGTCGTCTGAACCAGACAATCCAGTGATTGTCACCATGAGATGTCTACCATAAAATTCTAAAACTAAAACATTTTAACTATACTCGACAATACAATATCTTACAGTATCAATACAGTATCTTAATACTGTTACAGTGACTAATTCAGGACAGCCATCGTCCAAATATTTAAAAAGACCAAAAACTATGTAGCCAAGCCATGTGGGACTTAATTGTAATTATTCAATCTGCAATCTTAATTCTTATCACTACCACAGTGTACATTGTCTTGTCGGTCACCCTGAACCGCTCTGTCTTTGTCATTAATTATTTTATATGACATTTATTGCCTTAATTGGTCATCCCCCTTGGCCGTGTCTGTGATGAATTTTGTTGCACTGTAAATTGTCATACTGTAGGTTTGTTTACTGCTATGAGTACTATCAAACTGTATATAAATATTTATACTATGTAATGGATTTTGTTGGACTGTAAGTTGTTTTACTGTATGTTTAGTGCTATGAGTATCACCTTACTATCAAACTGTATATAAATATTTATACTATCAAATATCTTACCAAGTGTTACCTTGTTTGTTGCTACAGATTATACCTTAATCCCCCTTTGTTAACTAATTGGTCATGGCCTGGTGGAGCCAGACTCTAAACAATAGATGTGGGGAATGTGAGGTGTCCCCCTGCCATCACATCAACTGGTCAAGGAAGTGCCCTTGCTTTTCTACCTGTCCATTGTTGAGTCGTCGCCTGTCCATTGTTGTCAAAATATATATATATATGCTCACATCTATATTGTGAAGGGGTACGAGTCCGGTATTCCGACTGCTTGTGTAGGGACGACCGCGAGCAGGATAATGCCGCTTGTAGGAAATGCTTTGGGGCTGAGCTGGAACTCCGCTCACCTCGGTCTCAAATAATAGTAACACGTGTACTCCAGAAGAGTCATCATTATCGTTATCTAAGACCCACTTAATCAGAAAAATCCTTAGACAACCTCATGAGGCACACATTTTGTGTATTCACCATGGTCTTTACCAGGTTATAGAATAACTCTGGACCTATTATGTTCACTTTGTATCCAAAGTATATGTTGAGACCATACCTTTTTTAAACACCTATTATGTATTAATATGTTTATTTCAGGTCTAATTTCATGCAGTGCTATTCGTCATGACCATGTAATTAAATTTCTTTTGGGACAAACGTCTTAAGGTCCCGGGGAAATTGTTAACGAGCTAAAATTAAGCAAATATATAAAAAATATAATTGACTATTTCAGCTTTATTGTAAATACTTAGTTTTTGATCGTATAAATATAATATTAAATTCTTTTGGGTACAAACATTTACTCACTCTATACATTTGGTGTATCATACGCAGTGATCGCATTTAAGCGAACATGTCACTGTATAGAAAATCTATGACTGCACTGCGGTGCAATAAAATGTGAAAAGTCAGTTACGCTATTGTGCATAGGTAACTCTTACCTCCGGTCGTCGCTGTTCATACAATGGACATAGCTAGGCCTTTAAAACACAGATGTTTTTTTGTGTGTTATGCTAGCTGATCATTTTGAATTGAAACAGTGAGCGTGGCAAATCACTGTGTTCCGGGTAGTATAAAGGAGGGCAGGTGGTTCAGGGCTTCATAACGCCGACCTTTCCACCAAACTTTACGGTTGAGTGAAATATAAAGGTCGACGTCCTGAGACTAGATTCGTTTTGCCAATTAATAATGGTTTACGAGGACAATGCAGGATCAAAGAGTTGTTAGAGGAGGATAATCCGGATTATGCGGATGAGAGCGCACCTAATGAGTAGATGACATCAGTTGACAGATTTTAGCATTTTTAATAAATACAAGTACATCGTAAATTCCTATAGCATACATTTTTTCACAACTTTTAACCTAAATGCAATAAGTGGGATGCTGAATCAGCAAACTGCCTCACGGACAGTGTTCCTTGTTCAAGCTGGGGACAAATGTCATCCAGTCGTTGCTGCAAATCCCTGTATCTCCTCTTCTTGGACGGACGCTTCTGGCCAGCCGCATACCGAACCAACTTGTTTTCGGTGTTGGTCTGTTCTCGTGACAGCAACGACACAATCTCTAAAATGTTTGGATGAGCCTTGCCGACGTATTTCTTCAGGCGTGAATGCCACCCTTCTAGGTGGTTGTTTGTTCTTGGCCCATCTGTGTTGTGGTGGTTCCATTGCGTCATGTGCAGATCTCCCTCCACCCAGAAGTTGGTCATGTTGTCTCCGAGTTGTCGGCAGCGGTCTTCTTCAGTCTTTTGCAGTACATATCCAAGATATCCAGTCTCGTTTTCTCTTGCTGACTATGTACATGAACCCGCCAACAACCAGGTAACGACTGCAGCGAGCTGTAGGCATGAATTTCTGATCGAGCTGTGCATTTGCATTTTCGAAATCGAATGTGAATCCATTGGCCATTCCATAGATATTTATACCAAAGATATGAACAGTGTTCAATATTGGCACTCTGCTAAGTGTTATTGTAAACTTTTCAATCAGTTGGAGGTGATATGCGACGAGTTCACCTCATCAAAACATCTAGAGTAGATTATCTGCAACGCTAATTAAGCCTAATCAGAACCCAACCTTCAAAGGAAACCGCAGGTCGACGTCCTGAGACTAGTGAAAAATCGAAAGGTCGGCGTCCTGAGACGACACCGGGCAGGTGTAGGTCATAACCATCACTTGCACTCCAGAAATAAACGGATCACGTCACAATTCTGTGCTCACAGTTTCCTTCTCTATTCAAGGTAAGCAGCTCACTTATCGATGTATACGCAGTGTTTTGTTATATGCAACAGACCCGTGAAGATCCGGGGTAGAATAGGTCTTCAGCAACCCATGTGCTTGCCATAAAAAGGCGACTATCTTGTCGTAAGAGGCGACTAACGGGATCGGGTGGTCAGTTTCGCTGACTTGGTTGACACATGTCATCGGTTCCCAATTGCGCAGATCGATGCTCATGCTGTTGATCACTGGATTGTCTGGTCCAGACTCGATTATTTACAGACCGCCGCCATATAGCTGGAATATTGCTGAGTGCGGCGTAAAACTAAACTCACTCACTCACTTATATGCAACACTGCTGTTGTTATTGATTTTATTATAATGTAACATGAGCTTTACTTTAAACAGTGTGTACACGGTGTATTTCCACTACTTAAATCAGTATATACAATGTTTATATGAGTTATGTAAAACTGTTAAACTATATAATTTCAGAGACAAATAGTACTTTTAAGAAAGTAATTATTATTGCTCCCTTTGCGACTGGAATGTTAAGACATGGAGTTGTCTCCTTCGTTACTAGCGACGCATCTAAAAATGATTACCACCCTTTAGAATAAATGTAATGCGTCATATTTGTAGTGTACATATTGTAATGTAGATATTGTAATGTGTTGTTTTATCACGTCGTTAATAGGCAATGTTAAACTATACACTAGGTGCAGCGTATCAAGCAAATTACCTTTTGCATTTGTAAACCTAGAGTTAATTGAGATATTTTGTGGATCATTGCTTTAAGTAGCCCTCGGCCACATTCATAATCTCTTTCCACTACCTGCCCCTTTGTCTACATTGTAGCATTATTTTTCTGTTCTCATGTATAATTAATTTATTGCACATGTGTTTTCATTGTGTCAGTTTATTGTCAATAAGAAAACACGTGACACCGTACTTATTGTAAAATATATTTAAGCCATTACCGTAATAATTCTAAAACATTGAATGTTTAAAATTATTTACTTTGTATGAATATCTTAGATTATCAAACTTCCGTTTCATTTATGTTATATCTTGCAAGAATATTTTATAGAATCTTATCTATTGTTCTGTAACAACCATCACTTGCACTCCAGAAATAAACGGATCGTCACAATTCTGTGCTCACGGTTTCCTTTCTATTCAAGGTTCCCAACAATACCATTCCCATTTTAAAGTGAGGTCTCTACTTCTTAACAAGGAAGAGGCCTCACAAAATTATCAACCAGACGAAAGTCGTGTATTAAGACCAGTAACGTCACGATTTCAATACCTCTCGCCGTGATCAATCAATCCACCCATTGTGCTCATTGTGCTGTTCTACTCATTATTCCTTGCTCATCCTCCTGGCTTCGTATATGTAGATCAATCAGGCTTCATTGTTTAACCTTATCTGTAAACATCCATCCGTCATCAAATTAACCCAGTGTATGAAATAAGCCAAAACCCAGTCAGACATTAGGGCTAGTAACTCTGAAATGTTACCCTCCCAAATGAATTTAACCAGAACAGACACCAAGATACGGTAAATTTATTCAGATGTATGGAACATGTAAAACAAATTACCGGACCATCGGCTAGCTGTAAATGTAGACCGTTCGTCAGAACTCTAGCCCGTGTAGGGGCCGTCGGACGGGCCTTATTTCATACACTGATTAACCTTGTATAAACATCCATTATCCACATGTATATAACCTTCCTAGTTCACATTTCTGCACATCATAATATTATCAACATTGAAAAATAAACGTTTCCAAATACATAGAATGAGCTCTCTTGTTTCCTTTATCAACTCTGTAATACTAACTGAGAAGCTGACACGTTAGTCGCTCTATCAATTCCTAGGTTGATGTCAATTTGCGGCAAAACAGTAGGCAGCCCGTTGAGGGAGCACAACTTGAGGACCAAACGTCCAGCGATGTGTCCATGTGTCAGTCACGCCTTGCGTGGTGTGGACAGCATTTGAGGTTCCCAACATGAGCTTCGGACAACAGACTGTTGTCGTATATCAGTCCATGTTGGACGTTCACTGCTATGATGGACGTACACGAGTCTACAGGCGCCCAGGACAACGTCTTCTGTTTGAGGATGGAAGTGAAATGGAAGTGAAATGGTACACTCAAGGGAGAACACAACACATCTTGGCAGTTTGAATGGCGTACACTACCATTATGTTTACCGTTTGTGCAAATGCAGGATAATATCCGCCCAAATATGGCATGGGTCTTCTACTGACGCCATAATTCCATGTGAAGAGTCGCGTCCCTTGACTCCCTTCTAGGTTTTGCAAAACTGAATTATCTCGAGCTTGAAACTTATCATTTACTGGTTAGCATGAGTACTATAGCATGTTTCTCTTGAGGTTGATTTTTGGCTCTATAATTATACACCAGTTATTATCGTCAATTACTGTAACTAATAGCATCTATGCCTGTGTTGAAACACCCGAGTGAGTACTAATCACAGCTTCGTTCACCTTGAATGTTTGATTAGCTAAGATGGCTACTCCACGGATTTGTGTCCAATGAAACTTTTCTTAAAGGCAACATTTAAAAATCCTTGTTTAAGGACGGACTAAGGAATCGGAGGAGTTCCATTTTCATTAAAAAGTATGTAAAGCACATGAAATAGTATTGGCTTACTGACTTATAACGATAATTGCATTGTAAAAATCTCCCTCCTATCACCCTACTCACTGTACTACTAGCAGGTATTATTTAGACAGGATTTAGCATTATTTATGGTTTGTTCATTTAATTCAATTATATTTGATTCATTAAAAATTTAGTTATCGTCAATTAATATAATTATTAAAGCAACATACTGGTGAGTTTAAATCACATTTGGTTATGAATATTAAAAGTAGTACGTATGTTCACATATTTGTTTGTAAAGCCGATATGTTATCAAATATTTGGCTCCGGTAACTATGTTCATCTATTAAATTCATTACAATTATAAATTTGATTATATGTTTGTGGTACATGTATTCGATTGAAGTACGAATCCATAACAGGGGCTATGTTTTATAGAGGTAATCACGCTTGAAAGGAGTTTTAGATTTTGTAAATATCCTATATTAGGAATAAACATTGCATTTAGCGAGCCTTGACGAATTACATAAACAGTGACTATTCCGAATACATGATATTGGCCATCGCTAGATACAATATACATTCCTAATACAGCAAGTTTTCGCACAGGGGTTTTCAATGCTGATGCAAATTCTGGAACTGAACTCTTACCGGAGAGCCCAAGACTACTGCCAGGAACCAGACAAGAGATGTGTGATGAGAACATACTTGAGAGCAAGATACCCGTACATGGATTATAAGACGTACAGCATGCATCTGTCGGGGATGTCAGAAAATTACATAAGTATGTCTGTCAAACTGTTCTTAATATTTTTAGAAACACCTACTAATGTATATTTGTGATACTCAATCATAGTGTATGTTATATGGTGTTATATGTGATATATGAATCATGTGTAATGTTTTCAATCATGATATATACATCAGTTATGTTAGTAAGTCGTCATGACTTTCAATAATTTTTTCAGATCAGTACAGTGTGTTCATCGCGCCCCACTTTTTTCTTATTCTCCCCGATGTTTCAGAACTGATTTCCATTCTTCAAAGTCAGCTCCCCGCCAAGTTCGAGGATCTAACACCCCGGCCTTCCACCCATTCTTGTGACAGTTGTGGCAGGACATCAGCAGAGTGCAAGAAATGCACAGGATGTCGCCTTGTGTTCTACTGTGACCGGGTATGTCAGAGGAAGGCATGGCCTGTGCACAAACATATCTGCAGGCGTACTTGAAGTCATTAGGACAAATATGAAACGGCCTATAGAGCTATAGGGATTATGTGTGAGTTGCCACACTCAGCAATATTCCAGCTATATATTGCGGCGGCCTGTAGATAATCGAGCCTGGACCAGACAATCCAGGGATCTACGCAATTGGTATACGATGACATGTGTCAACCCAGTCAGCGAGCCTGACCACCCGATCCCGTTAGTCGCCTCTTACGACAAACATGGGTTACTGAAGATCAATTCTAACCCTGACCTTCACGGGTTTGGGATTATGAGAAACAACAATATTTCATGTCATCAAACAAAGCAAGTTTTGTTAACTGGCACATGATGTTATCAACAGAATTCAAGCCACATGTTCCTTGTATAAATTCTGAGTAATTAGAGAACAATGCTTGTTATCTTACCACACACATAAATGTCGTTTCCTGATTGGCTGAGCGCTCTTCTACTATTTTCAATGTATCCCGCTTACATTTTCTTTGTACTCCGTTAATCTCATTTGATACTTCGTGGTAGTAATTCTTTATCTCGAATAACATTGAATCACGTGTATGATGTACGGTAATTACCGATGTTTTGCGAAAGCAAATCGATGGAAGGGAGATAACTCTAAATTTGTTTTTCTTGTCTTGTCGTCTGGTACCCCATACTATGATCCGATACCCGTGTTTCAAACAGTTCAAAATTAGCATTGAGGTGTTTGGTAAGATAAGTACGTTGTTCTCTGGTCCCTCGGGACCCGTGGGTTGATGTACCCTCGATGTTTCTTTATGTTCCCTAAGCCCGAGGGTACATAAGCCCATGTCAACCTCGTGACCAGTGAACAACTTATATTGTCTTCGGTAAAATTAAACCTTCCTTACATCGTTGTAAAAACTAACATATGGTATATATTGTAAATTATTCTGCACAAATCCGAATGATCAAACACATATTTGAAAACCGAAAAATCAAACACGTGAATGTTTGGATGTATTTTTATACTACGATTTTCAATTTGTGTCTTATTGCAACCATTCTGTAGACAACTTTGTAATTGCGATTTGTTCAGGTAAATGGCATACTTTTCATAGTGTAAATAGAGGCCTTTATGAAAACTCTTAAAAGAAATATCATATGAGTACAGAGTACACTGAATGATTCCGACATTCCCATAAGCATCTTTTGATTAATCCCTGTCAACAATACCAGGGCTACCAGAGCTCTAAGATCATCGCATCTACTATACTTTAACATAGTATTGCCATAGTACAGTAGTCATAGCGCTCAGATAGCATTGTGCAACAGTGTCAGGTAGTGGCTTCAATTCATGAAAGGCAAATGTTTACCCCGAACAAATACAGTGGGAATACACTATGAAAGCTGTTAACTACAGCGCTATAAACACTGATTGTGTTGTGAAACTACTACATTTGACCTCAATAACACTTCAGTGTATCACCAACTATGTTTTCATTTTGTTAAACTATTAACAATTTACATCTGATAGTGATATGATCATAATCATTTCATTTCGTAAATTTAATGTAAACTGAAGGGCTAAAGAAACGTTACCACTTTAAAATTGAACTTGCCAAAAAACTCCATCACATCACATGAAAACACATCGCCCAAACGCAACAGTGAGTTTTCCACGTGGAAATTAGCCATGCAATACATGCTTTTCACCATTTTGTCCAAATGTGGTGTGTATGTCTTTCACGAAAAGCGAAAATATTAAATGCCAAACGGGTATAACACCAATGGAAACAGGTTGTCATTCTATTTAAAAACCATCACAAGAATGGCTCGATTAACTTTGCGAGAACGAAAACGGGCGATCGAAACGGGGAGCCTCCCGCACCCGCGTTGCAAGAACGCTTGGTTGTCATCGCGTCACCGTCACCAAACTCATACAGTGATACCGTCAGACAGGACTGACCTCAGACAGGCCACCATCAGGCAGACCCCAGGGGGTCACAACAACGCTCCAGGGGGGACCAGTATCTGTGCACGCTGCATCTCAGAAAACGCTTTCTGACGGTGACGTCATCAGCGGCGCATGGCTTGGGTTACCGTGTAAGCCGATACACAGTAGCCTAACAACTGTTCCTGGCTTACAGACCTTTCCGGGGACAGTCGTTGACAACGGAGATAAGATGGGCCCCGAACGGTTTGACGTTGGCAGCGGCATGAGTGGTAGACTAACAACTAGTCTCTGAAATGAACATATTTTACAGAAAAAAGGCTCATCGTGAAAAAAATAACATGAAAAAATAAAAAAGATTCTTGAGACTTTCTTCATATTGAAGCTGTGGAAATCTATACTTGCCACATTTTCTAGATTTGCGTGGAACTTTCTTGGATATATTTGCTTCAGGATCTGTATGACAGACTACATGAGTGGCAGAGTGTGCTATTCTCGAATGAAAGCCGATTCTATCTGTTTATTTTGTGATATGGATATATCTGTTGTGGCTATTTCACAATAGTTTTTTTTTATCTATGGTAGCGTTTCTTTAGCCCGTCAGTGTATTTCTTGCGACAATTCTGGAAGTGATCAATTAATCCATATATGAGTATTGTATGTTTGTATCAAGCTGATGAACATGGACGAACACCTGTATATTCGTGCTCCTTTTACCAACGTTTCAAAGACTCCCGCTCTTTAGCTGTTCAAGGCTACAACATTCGAGGCTTTATGCTAGACACGTGGAGGAAAATTCCAAATTTAACGCATCAGTGACAAAAATTGTGTGTGATGCAATTCGATATTTGGTCTTGTACCGTATGCCGTAATACGATTTTCAGGTGAACAATAGACTAGCCTTTGCATGTGTTTATGACGGCTGCCACCAGTGGGACGGGATACAGTCACAATTTCGCGAACACCTGGTATCATTGCCAACTGATAATGATTCTTGAACATACGCTATTAAGAGCAATTTCTTATGTAGCGAGTGTTTTGTCGCTTTACAGGAGATATTCAGTGAAATGTAATTATGTTTTTAAATCATTTATAAAACATATTAAAACAAATATTTTGAGTGGGAAATTATCAATATTATTAGTAAAATATCCAAAACCCCTACTCATATTCGTGAAAATCATTCCTGAACAGGTCTTTGTACTTAGAAATCAGAAGAAATGCTACTTGGTACTTTGTGTATCCATTTGATGAATAAGTACACTCATACAAATTCAGGAATATAAGTAAGTTGCAGAAGTGAGTATTAACAGAAGCGACAAAAATCTTTCCACATCCATAAGAAATGTCCGCCAAAAGCAGAGTCGATTGTACAATTGTGACTATATCATGTGCAGATTTTTGTTTCAACAGCATTACAGCTGTATGGTGTCTGTAAACAAATGTCGTCTGAACCAGACAATCCAGTGATTGTCACCATGAGATGTCTACCATAAAATTCTAAAACTAAAACATTTTAACTATACTCGACAATACAATATCTTACAGTATCAATACAGTATCTTAATACTGTTACAGTGACTAATTCAGGACAGCCATCGTCCAAATATTTAAAAAGACCAAAAACTATGTAGCCAAGCCATGTGGGACTTAATTGTAATTATTCAATCTGCAATCTTAATTCTTATCACTACCACAGTGTACATTGTCTTGTCGGTCACCCTGAACCGCTCTGTCTTTGTCATTAATTATTTTATATGACATTTATTGCCTTAATTGGTCATCCCCCTTGGCCGTGTCTGTGATGAATTTTGTTGCACTGTAAATTGTCATACTGTAGGTTTGTTTACTGCTATGAGTACTATCAAACTGTATATAAATATTTATACTATGTAATGGATTTTGTTGGACTGTAAGTTGTTTTACTGTATGTTTAGTGCTATGAGTATCACCTTACTATCAAACTGTATATAAATATTTATACTATCAAATATCTTACCAAGTGTTACCTTGTTTGTTGCTACAGATTATACCTTAATCCCCCTTTGTTAACTAATTGGTCATGGCCTGGTGGAGCCAGACTCTAAACAATAGATGTGGGGAATGTGAGGTGTCCCCCTGCCATCACATCAACTGGTCAAGGAAGTGCCCTTGCTTTTCTACCTGTCCATTGTTGAGTCGTCGCCTGTCCATTGTTGTCAAAAATATATATATATATGCTCACATCTATATTGTGAAGGGGTACGAGTCCGGTATTCCGACTGCTTGTGTAGGGACGACCGCGAGCAGGATAATGCCGCTTGTAGGAAATGCTTTGGGGCTGAGCTGGAACTCCGCTCACCTCGGTCTCAAATAATAGTAACACGTGTACTCCAGAAGAGTCATCATTATCGTTATCTAAGACCCACTTAATCAGAAAAATCCTTAGACAACCTCATGAGGCACACATTTTGTGTATTCACCATGGTCTTTACCAGGTTATAGAATAACTCTGGACCTATTATGTTCACTTTGTATCCAAAGTATATGTTGAGACCATACCTTTTTTAAACACCTATTATGTATTAATATGTTTATTTCAGGTCTAATTTCATGCAGTGCTATTCGTCATGACCATGTAATTAAATTTCTTTTGGGACAAACGTCTTAAGGTCCCGGGGAAATTGTTAACGAGCTAAAATTAAGCAAATATATAAAAAATATAATTGACTATTTCAGCTTTATTGTAAATACTTAGTTTTTGATCGTATAAATATAATATTAAATTCTTTTGGGTACAAACATTTACTCACTCTATACATTTGGTGTATCATACGCAGTGATCGCATTTAAGCGAACATGTCACTGTATAGAAAATCTATGACTGCACTGCGGTGCAATAAAATGTGAAAAGTCAGTTACGCTATTGTGCATAGGTAACTCTTACCTCCGGTCGTCGCTGTCTATACAATGGACATAGCTAGGCCTTTAAAACACAGATGTTTTATGTGTGTTATGCTAGCTGATCATTTTGAATTGAAACAGTGAGCGTGGCAAATCACTGTGTTCCGGGTAGTATAAAGGGAGGGCAGGTGGTTCAGGCTCATAACGCCGACCTTTCCACCAAACTTTACGGTTGAGTGAAATATAAAGGTCGACGTCCTGAGACTAGATTCGTTTTGCCAATTAATAATGGATTACGAGGACAATGCAGGATCAAAGAGTTGTTAGAGGAGGATAATCCGGATTATGCGGATGAGAGCGCACCTAATGAGTAGATGACATCAGTTGACAGATTTTAGCATTTTTAATAAATACAAGTACATCGTAAATTCCTATAGCATACATTTTTTCACAACTTTTAACCTAAATGCAATAAGTGGGATGCTGAATCAGCAAACTGCCTCACGGACAGTGTTCCTTGTTCAAGCTGGGGACAAATGTCATCCAGTCGTTGCTGCAAATCCCTGTATCTCCTCTTCTTGGACGGACGCTTCTGGCCAGCCGCATACCGAACCAACTTGTTTTCGGTGTTGGTCTGTTCTCGTGACAGCAACGACACAATCTCTAAAATGTTTGGATGAGCCTTGCCGACGTATTTCTTCAGGCGTGAATGCCACCCTTCTAGGTGGTTGTTTGTTCTTGGCCCATCTGTGTTGTGGTGGTTCCATTGCGTCATGTGCAGATCTCCCTCCACCCAGAAGTTGGTCATGTTGTCTCCGAGTTGTCGGCAGCGGTCTTCTTCAGTCTTTTGCAGTACATATCCAAGATATCCAGTCTCGTTTTCTCTTGCTGACTATGTACATGAACCCGCCAACAACCAGGTAACGACTGCAGCGAGCTGTAGGCATGAATTTCTGATCGAGCTGTGCATTTGCATTTTCGAAATCGAATGTGAATCCATTGGCCATTCCATAGATATTTATACCAAAGATATGAACAGTGTTCAATATTGGCACTCTGCTAAGTGTTATTGTAAACTTTTCAATCAGTTGGAGGTGATATGTGCGACGAGTTCACCTCATCAAAACATCTAGAGTAGATTATCTGCAACGCTAATTAAGCCTAATCAGAACCCAACCTTCAAAGGAAACCGCAGGTCGACGTCCTGAGACTAGTGAAAAATCGAAAGGTCGGCGTCCTGAGACGACACCGGGCAGGTGTAGGTCATAACCATCACTTGCACTCCAGAAATAAACGGATCACGTCACAATTCTGTGCTCACAGTTTCCTTCTCTATTCAAGGTAAGCAGCTCACTTATCGATGTATACGTGTGTTTTGTTATATGCAACAGACCCGTGAAGATCCGGGGTAGAATAGGTCTTCAGCAACCCATGTGCTTGCCATAAAAAGGCGACTATCTTGTCGTAAGAGGCGACTAACGGGATCGGGTGGTCAGTTTCGCTGACTTGGTTGACACATGTCATCGGTTCCCAATTGCGCAGATCGATGCTCATGCTGTTGATCACTGGATTGTCTGGTCCAGACTCGATTATTTACAGACCGCCGCCATATAGCTGGAATATTGCTGAGTGCGGCGTAAAACTAAACTCACTCACTCACTTATATGCAACACTGCTGTTGTTATTGATTTTATTATAATGTAACATGAGCTTTACTTTAAACAGTGTGTACACGGTGTATTTCCACTACTTAAATCAGTATATACAATGTTTATATGAGTTATGTAAAACTGTTAAACTATATAATTTCAGAGACAAATAGTACTTTAAGAAAGTAATTATTATTGCTCCCTTTGCGACTGGAATGTTAAGACATGGAGTTGTCTCCCTTCGTTACTAGCGACGCATCTAAAAATGATTACCACCCTTTAGAATAAATGTAATGCGTCATATTTGTAGTGTACATATTGTAATGTAGATATTGTAATGTGTTGTTTTATCACGTCGTTAATAGGCAATGTTAAACTATACACTAGGTGCAGCGTATCAAGCAAATTACCTTTTGCATTTGTAAACCTAGAGTTAATTGAGATATTTTGTGGATCATTGCTTTAAGTAGCCCTCGGCCACATTCATAATCTCTTTCCACTACCTGCCCCTTTGTCTACATTGTAGCATTATTTTTCTGTTCTCATGTATAATTAATTTATTGCACATGTGTTTTCATTGTGTCAGTTTATTGTCAATAAGAAAACACGTGACACCGTACTTATTGTAAAATATATTTAAGCCATTACCGTAATAATTCTAAAACATTGAATGTTTAAAATTATTTACTTTGTATGAATATCTTAGATTATCAAACTTCCGTTTCATTTATGTTATATCTTGCAAGAATATTTTATAGAATCTTATCTATTGTTCTGTAACAACCATCACTTGCACTCCAGAAATAAACGGATCGTCACAATTCTGTGCTCACGGTTTCCTTTCTATTCAAGGTTCCCCAACAATACCATTCCCCATTTTAAAGTGAGGTCTCTACTTCTTAACAAGGAAGAGGCCTCACAAAATTATCAACCAGACGAAAGTCGTGTATTAAGACCAGTAACGTCACGATTTCAATACCTCTCGCCGTGATCAATCAATCCACCCATTGTGCTCATTGTGCTGTTCTACTCATTATTCCTTGCTCATCCTCCTGGCTTCGTATATGTAGATCAATCAGGCTTCATTGTTTAACCTTATCTGTAAACATCCATCCGTCATCAAATTAACCCAGTGTATGAAATAAGCCAAAAACCCAGTCAGACATTAGGGCTAGTAACTCTGAAATGTTACCCTCCCCAAATGAATTTAACCAGAACAGACACCAAGATACGGTAAATTTATTCAGATGTATGGAACATGTAAAACAAATTACCGGACCATCGGCTAGCTGTAAATGTAGACCGTTCGTCAGAACTCTAGCCCGTGTAGGGCCGTCGGACGGGCCTTATTTCATACACTGATTAACCTTGTATAAACATCCATTATCCACATGTATATAACCTTCCTAGTTCACATTTCTGCACATCATAATATTATCAACATTGAAAAATAAACGTTTCCAAATACATAGAATGAGCTCTCTTGTTTCCTTTATCAACTCTGTAATACTAACTGAGAAGCTGACACGTTAGTCGCTCTATCAATTCCTAGGTTGATGTCAATTTGCGGCAAAACAGTAGGCAGCCCGTTGAGGGAGCACAACTTGAGGACCAAACGTCCAGCGATGTGTCCATGTGTCAGTCACGCCTTGCGTGGTGTGGACAGCATTTGAGGTTCCCAACATGAGCTTCGGACAACAGACTGTTGTCGTATATCAGTCCATGTTGGACGTTCACTGCTATGATGGACGTACACGAGTCTACAGGCGCCCAGGACAACGTCTTCTGTTTGAGGATGGAAGTGAAATGGAAGTGAAATGGTACACTCAAGGGAGAACACAACACATCTTGGCAGTTTGAATGGCGTACACTACCATTATGTTTACCGTTTGTGCAAATGCAGGATAATATCCGCCCAAATATGGCATGGGTCTTCTACTGACGCCATAATTCCATGTGAAGAGTCGCGTCCCTTGACTCCCTTCTAGGTTTTGCAAAACTGAATTATCTCGAGCTTGAAACTTATCATTTACTGGTTAGCATGAGTACTATAGCATGTTTCTCTTGAGGTTGATTTTTGGCTCTATAATTATACACCAGTTATTATCGTCAATTACTGTAACTAATAGCATCTATGCCTGTGTTGAAACACCCGAGTGAGTACTAATCACAGCTTCGTTCACCTTGAATGTTTGATTAGCTAAGATGGCTACTCCACGGATTTGTGTCCAATGAAACTTTTCTTAAAGGCAACATTTAAAAATCCTTGTTTAAGGACGGACTAAGGAATCGGAGGAGTTCCATTTTCATTAAAAAGTATGTAAAGCACATGAAATAGTATTGGCTTACTGACTTATAACGATAATTGCATTGTAAAAATCTCCCTCCTATCACCCTACTCACTGTACTACTAGCAGGTATTATTTAGACAGGATTTAGCATTATTTATGGTTTGTTCATTTAATTCAATTATATTTGATTCATTAAAAATTTAGTTATCGTCAATTAATATAATTATTAAAGCAACATACTGGTGAGTTTAAATCACATTTGGTTATGAATATTAAAAGTAGTACGTATGTTCACATATTTGTTTGTAAAGCCGATATGTTATCATATTACTGAAGATAGCCCAAAGGGCAGTCAATGTATTATCATGTTCGTTTAATTTCGGAGAGCAAAGATGATGCTTAATGGACCTTACACCTAAAAAGAACAATGTTACAGTTAAGTCATAAAATTCGAGGTGAAACATGCTAACAAAATTAAGGTCACATAACGCAACCAACCATCCTCTTTTAGGATACGGTTTGTGGTTAGTGATGACCCCCTATTTGTTTAAGGACATCAATGTCAATATTGTTGTGATCATGACATTGATCCGTTTGAACTGCGTAAAGTATGTACAAGAGTTTCTTGATGTCAAAGTGTTGCTGACGCTGATTATACACAACCAGTATCACATAATGTCATGTCCTTGACGAAACAAGCGTATTTGGATATATTTGCCATTGCTATATATAGCTTAGAAATGCTCTTTCCAGAGATGAATCTGTATGTGTCCTTGTGATATTGTTAGACTGTCTCTGGTTGGCAGCAACTCCAGGGGATCTGAAACATCAAATTTATCGTTATAATTCATCAAACTACATGTAGAACAAGAACGATGACTTCAGCTTTCCAGTAGTATATCGAGCAATATTCAACCAGCTTGGTATCTACGATCATGTGATTCATGAAGAAAAGGTAAACCTGTGGTCAGAATGATACAATTCACTCAACTTAATGTGAGATATCTGAAAAGGGTTTTGTAGTTTCTATTAACATACAATTCCGGCATTTTTAAAATTAATACGTCATCAATCATTCCTTACCTGCTACATCAGCTGGCACATATCAGGTCTGGTCGGTTCTGGTTTTCCCTGAAAAGGATATCTTCCTCTCAAGACGGTCCTCAATATCCACCTCTTGTTCTCAGATTGATGTTGTGTAATACGATGGGAGTTCAATTCCAGGATCTTCACCAGCAAATCGTATCCCTGTAATATTGCCGTCATTTAGAACTATGAATCAGATAGTGATTAAGTACTATCAGAACAGAATCATCCATGTCCTTTATGGTTTCTCATATCAAATCTCAACCAGCAAGAGTGTCAGCGGGCAAATAAGCAAACAAACATAAATAAAGAATATATTTAACTACATGTAATTAAGTAAATACTTTAAGAAATTTAAAATTAAGAATATATTATCTTAAAAGTATTTTGTTTTGTTTTGGAAACGAATTTTTAAGAAATATAGCTGAGGAAGCTTCGAGTTGACCTGTATTTTGGTCAGAGTATTAATGTGATAATTTTCAATAGCTTTGGGAAAATAGAGATATCAAAATCTTTTATCCCATGTCGGAAGGAAAGTTCATAGAGAGGAAAATTGGGAAACACATTAGAGGCAACACTACACTATGAAAAGATTCCCTTCCCTATGTCATCGTCAAGAGAAGGGCGGCAACGTCTGAGCCTGGCAAAGAGAGCCGTGATAAAGAGAAGATGAAAGGCAAGCGAAAGACGAATGGCACGTTGTTTGTTTAGTTTTAAGTATTTTCAAGGAAAAAAAATCAACATTCCATTATCACAGACCTTTGAAATGAAGAGAGTAACAGTTTGCTGACTTCCAAAACGTGTGGCATATAACACCAACAACATGTCTCATGATTGCCTGGCTCTGTTTGAAGCTGATGCAGAAAAGTATAATTGTGACAAAAGAGGAAACCCCATCTGGGAGAACACTTCAGAGTACCACCACTACTGCTACTAATGACAATGATATGGATCCTTATACTGCGATAAACTCCACACCAAAGTGTGGTCAGAGCGCTGAAAGAGTTCATAGATATATTATTATCCCGGATAACCAATTTTGAAAGCTACCGATATCACCCACCATCAATGAAGACAAGATGTGTTCCATCAGCTCAATCAGTTCGAGATGCCGTGCTTATGGACACCACACCAAGAATGTGACAGTGACTTGGTATACTGTATTATTACGCTGGGTCATATGGAGCTGGGAAAGTGTATCCTCTTCCATCAGGACAATGTAGCAATGCACTCATCAGTCACTTCCATGGCTACAATCCTCTGGTGTGCCCTTGACCTCTTTCACCGTCCACGTATTCACCTTATGTACCTGCAGTAAACTTCAATCTAATCCCAGTGATGTCGGACGCTCCAGCTTGAACCCAGGACTTGAACGGAAGGACTTTGGCGAAACTCTGACAAAATCCCTCAGCATCTTTGGCAAATTTGCCACAACGTTGATAGGTATTTGATGTGCCACGCGCATTTAGGGAGCAAAGATATATTTTGGGAGGGATTAAGGGATTAATTTCTCAAATTATTATGAAACCCCTGCTTTAGAGGGTCAAACTTGCAAAACTGGGAAAATATACCGTACCCCCTTGCAGACAGTATTATACTTACATGTTGAGAGTATTTTAACCCATAACTTCTTCCATTAAACATTGACCTGACCTTGAAATAGACCCAAGGAGACAGCTCCTAGGTTACTTTATGTTCAAACCATTAAGACTGGAGTGTCAGCGGACCTCTGAGTGATGTATGACAGTCGTCCAGGACATGCAACAAAATTTAATCAAAGCAGAAAGTCAGGCCTCAACTCTGCTGACTAGGACTCAAGGTGAACGGATCCTCACTTCACGCTCACATATATATTCTTTATATATTCTTTATTTATCTTCCGCTGGGAGAGTACAAGTACAAGTTGCAAAAGGTAATATTTCCAACACAGTCACATTGTCATGTGACATAGAGTCTCTCAGAAAGCTGGCTGCACTGCTTAGTGCTGTGTGACTTCTCTGCACATCAGATGAATGTATCTTACAGCCACACTGGTAAATGTTCTTTGGTCTCCTGCATTCAGTCCATACTGCGGTCTGCATGATAGAAGACACAACATCATCTCAATGTCTGACAAGTTGTGGAACCATACAGTTGTGGAAGTCCACAGGGCCAATATTGATCAGTTCACCCCACAGCTGATCTCTCACCGAGAGTAAGTTATCACACTGCACGACAGCATGAACACATGGATCACTATATATCCGTCCACACTTATCACACCGGTACACAGTATCTTTGATGTCTTTGATGCTGGAACATAATGGACTTGGACGAGGTTCGGTAACTAAATCAAATTAAAAGACGTTGATAAATTTACTGGAGGCTGGTCGGTCCCTCAGGAGATAGCGTTCACCTGGTCTTGTCTTTTTCTTTGTGGAGTACGTTTTCCAGTTTGAATGACAAGGTTATATAGACAGCTCAGGTGATGCATTAATGTTCTCCCTCCAAACCTCTGATGCTCATATATATACTAATCCATCATTTCCACCTGATTTTTCATTTTTTAGCTTCTTGCACACTGTCTCAACTTCATTATGACAGGGATCAGATGTTGCACAGTTTCCTTATCTCAGAAACCTGACTTTCGATGTTGCTTTTAAAACTTTCATCAAAATGAGGCTTATCTGATGACTGGAAGACAGTTTCAAAGTGAGAAGCCCATTTTTCAAGCACATCATCAGGGTTGCTGTATGTGACCCCTTCTACTTGAATTGGTGTGATCACCTTGTCACCGGACCCTTTCAACCTTCGGTTCACCAGGTGCCAGAAAGCTTTTTGATTCAGTTCAGATGATTTCTCAAGGTCACTCATCCATTAATATATCACATTATTTGCAGCCTGTCGCATCTCTCTCCTATTTTTGTCTTTATTCATCTTGTACTCCTTGAATGATATGTGTTGCATGCCTCTGGGACGTCCCGCTTGCTTCCACCTTGTTCTTGCCATAGTCATGCTCCTGTGGGAGACCTTTACGCAATCTGTCCAGTAGGGCTTTAGATGTTTCTGGAACCGTTTCAGAGGAAGTGTATAAGTAGCAGCATTTATCAAACAGGCGACAATTGTCTCGTAGTATAGGTTTAGTCCCTCTTCACCACAATTAACATCACAGGATATGTGACACAGCAATGTATAATCACGGATGATATCACGACACCATGGAGTTTGACGCCTCGTCCTCTGAGGCTTTTGTCAACCACAGAGAAGTAAAACAGTGCTTAGTACTTGTTCCTGTCCTGTTCTCTTTTTTGTAGGTATGCTGAAGAACACTTTTGAACCCTCGACTATCCAAATCTTCCTAAACACAAGATCAAATGGAAAGCTGTCTCGTCTGTAGACAAAAACTATCCATGTCAACCCCTCATCAGAAATATCCTTTTTCCAGACCACCTGGCTCTGGAAACGTACTCCACAAAGAAAAAGACAAGACCAGGTGAACGCTATCTCCTGAGGGACCGACCAGCCTCCAGTAAATTTATCAACGTCTTTTAATTTGAGTTTGTTTACCAGTTCACCTACCTTGACTCCATCATCTTAGAAAATCTGCCCTTGGAAAGTGAGATCAACACCCACATAAGCATAACATCCACTACCTGTACAAGACAGACGCAGAGAGTGTTGGAGAACAGCAAGCTGACACCCGTAACCAGTCCCATCTACACAAATTTACCTTACATGCATCATAACCACAATGCTGTATTGTAGTTACACTTGGACACTGACCCCTAGACAGGAAAACCCGACTCGTATCCTGAGGCGCTTCCTCGGATAAGCTGAAGTGACAGAGTCACTGACACTGAAGTTCATTTCCCCAAGATAGTAACTGTTCACTCAAATCAAATGACTGCTTCACTACATGCATCTACTTATCTATTCTTTGTACACCTACACATGGTACAGTTCTATCTAAACATATATTTTTCAGCAATGTTGTGTTTACCTGTGTCAGATTGGCACAGAAGGCAGCGTCCATTTCCTGGTAATCACCTAAACGTACATAGAAAGGTGCGAGTTCACAAATGGTTAATTTCTGTTGTTTGACAAGTTCTTCAGCTTTGTCAAAGTCGAAAAACTCCAGAAACAATGTTGGCATATTTTCTTGCATCTTTAAGCCTTTCAGGTGAAATCTGTTGTTGGCTCTTTGTGAGGGTTTGGCCAGATTAGAAACTCCGAGTCTGAGAAGTTGTGGCACCTTGAAATAAAATTATATGGAATCAACACGATTAAATCAAACTATCAAATGCTTCTGCTTTGCAACAAAAACATTATGGAGTCCAATTCAATCAATTCCTCGGGTACAATTATGAGTAGGAACTTTTAACTATTTAGTGTAACAGTACAGAACACTAAGATCCATGTTCGTGAAAATATGTTATATTGTGACCAAATACATAAACACTTCATTGAGACGATATGTATGATCATGAGAGTATTTTCACAAGGATACATTCAAAGACTTCTTTTAAAACATTTTCACATGATTAAGCTGGAATTGTTCCTCAAGATATCTCCTTCACCTTTAGGATGAGCTTCACAGGATGGAAATACTCACCCCAAATGATTCACGCATATTTTTGAAGAGGTACCACAGGAGCCACTGGAGCTGCTCAACAGCATTCGGTGCTTCAATAGTGTCAGTAGGCTGAAAAGGCCACACTTGTGTGATATACGTGTCAATGATAGACTCTCCATATTTTGAAGGAGGGAAATCAGGGAGATCAGAAGCCGAATCCAGCTCAACTTTCTTCCAGGGTAACACGCCTTCACCAACTGTTGTATTCACGTCCTTGACAAGACGAGCGTCTACTTTTCCTCTCTTCCTGGACAGTGTGATCTTGCTGGAGTTGATTGAGATGCCACACGATACACGTAATATTTTTCTAAAGCTTGGCTTCCTGAAATCAGTGTTTACCAATGAGCGTTTACAAGTACACTTTATAAATTCTAGCTTTAGATCATTAAAATATATTTTAATTAAACACTGCAAAATATTCACATTGCATAAGCATTTTGTAGCATGTTGATATGACTGTGGCTCCATCTTCCTTTATTTACTTCTATCTTTATGCTTTATGTTGGCATTGACAGTCATTTGTTTGCAAATCACCCTTACCCACGCTGGGTGTTGATCAGCACTACCAAATTTGGATCTCCCCTGGCATGTTCCACCGTGAACTTTCCTTCTTTGAGGCACTCGGGATCAGTTGTGATGGTCACCCTGTAGTGGTCCATGTACTCAACAATGGTCTGTAACAAATAAAACACTATTGTCTTATATGTTCAGATTATTTTATACTGTCGAGCTTGACATATTTGTTTTGAAATTAATCTTAGCCCTTCTCAGATTTAGAGATATTCTAGTACACATTTCCAAACAATATTATGGTTAAAACATTAAGTTGAATATGATAAATGAAAGATTGAAAGTTAAGGTAGTGAAACACTTGACTTACACGTTGTTTGGAAGAAGGGATTTGGGTGTTTGTTGATTGTACATCTGCCGTTGACATTTCCATTGCTATATGAACAAAAAGTATTTAGGACATGTATTTCAATTCCATTGGAGGTGTGGCATATCTCTCAGCATCAGTGCCATTCACGGGAAATATTTCATTCACATAAGAAATACTTCGGGTATATGCTGCACAACAGTAGTCCGATATGTCATTGTTATGTGGTGGTTGCGTTTCCAAAAGATGTGTTGTCTATGGCAGCAAATGATGAAAACGCTGAAATATAGAATGTTAGGTCCACATATTCACGGAGAATGTGATTAGAGTTACCACTCGTGGTTGAAGGAAGCAAACAGGACGTTAGGCCAGTTTCGTGACAGTTCCTGAACTCAGAAGATTGGCTATACCTATAAAAGGGTGGGCCGTGGTTAAAGAGAATCCGCGAAGAGAATCCGTGAAGAACGAATTGGTGTCCTATCGAAAAACAACAAAATTCCAACACCAATCCAACGTCAAATACGGAGATAGGACTGATTCAAAACATTCATACAACTTACTGGACAGTGAGTGATGAACACATGAGGGGACCTCTTATTCACACACACACACACACGCACACACCACCATCACCACCACTTGCCCCTGATAAAACGTCTACTTTTGTAAATTCATAGTCTATAATATAATGAAGTTGTACCTTCACGTAATCACCCAAAATGGTGTTGAATATAAAACTATTCTAAAATTATTTAAACCACGCAAATGGTAAGTGTTCTAAATTTAAATGCTTACTTTTACTGATTCCCTTAATTCTTGTCATGACATGTTCTCTTGCCTCCATGTCAAATGCTGACGGCTTTGCAATGACTCGTCCTGCTAAGTCACCAACTATACATGGCTTGAGCAACTTGTGAAGAGCATCCGACACTGCATCTGTTCCTTGAGCATATCATGTGGTAATTTTGCAATATCTGAAACCATCTTGCCTATAGCCAAGATTATTATGCAAGCATATTTTTCCGGCTACCTGATTGGTCTAGAGGCGGTCACGTGATCGTCGACAGAAAATCATATTGACTCCAACCCAGGTCCGACCAAAAGTCATATTGACCTGAGTTACTATGACGTCCAGCTATGACGTCATTCACGTCAAGCTATGACGTCATTCTATTGTTAACATGTCACAGCATTGTTGACATAACGTTTGTGGTTTGTAGTGAAAATAAAATTACTTTTTTGGACTAAATGGACATGTTTTGGATTTTAGAAGCTTTTTTCGGTAATTACATAATAAAACAATTATAGACTGGCGAAATTCGGTCATTGCCTGTTTCTATGGACCTGCGAAAAGCAATATTGACCTCGTACCTCGTCATCGGTCAATATTGTTTTTCGCTGGACCATAAAAACAGGTATTGTCCTCATCATCAGTCTATAATTGTATAATATATTGTCAAGAATAACTCACCTTAGAATAAATACATATGTTCACTGAATTCATGCAGAGACAATAAGAATATCGGTGATGAGTTATGAAGATGTTATGGAGTGTAAAGGCAATATATGAACGGACATTAAATATATGTAGTTCAACATGCCCTTCTTCTCAAGTAATCTGCGGTGTTAGTTTATCAAAAGTGATGTGAATAAGGAATCAACTGTTTAATAATCTGGTTAGGGAGCTTGTTGGAGGGTCATATTTCACCCACTGTTTAAAATCATACAAGTACCAATCACAGGGCTTTTTCTTCGTTTACAACACATTTTACCATCCGTATCTCGCGAAATTTTATATCTCTTCATAACATTTGACTCAAAATTAATATTGTTTAGCATAATCACGCAAATCTTGAATATCAAATAAGATAAATCTCTCAAATACAGCAGGTTCAGTTCGTTAACATTTTGTAATCCAATGTTTTACGTTTCAATAAACAATAATCTAAGTACAAGTCTTTTAGAAACAGTCGCAAAGAGGCAAAAATATCATTCCAAAATACGTTTATTCCTATTTCAGTTCATAAAATATGCGAAACATTCGAAAAACCGTTCGCTGCCTTTGATGGGAAATGACAAATGTGGAGCGATTTCGCAACGCAACATGTTGCTGTCCATGTCACATGGTAAACATCCTGATGGTGTTGTGACACATGACAACGATGGCTAATTGACAACAAGGGTTCTTTAAGTAAGGCCTACGAGCTGTCGTTGTTGGTATGAACCTGAGATTCTCACAGGCTGACTTATGTCAGCAGGTGGTTTGAAAATCGGTGTAAACAACTTACTTACTTTCATGCCACATGTGTGTGTCAATCTTTATTTCTTCAATAACATTTTAAATTCTCCCCTCTTCAAATCCTCAACTTCTCACGATATCAAACACTCTGGTCCTTATCATGATTGTAAAATTCCATGACAATTATATTTTATGTCACTTTATTTGAAGAGACCCGTGAAGATCCGAGTCAGAATTGGTCTTCCGCAACCCATGCTTGTAAGAGGCGACTAACGGGATCGGGTGGACAGACTTGCTGACTTGGTTGACACATGTCACGTAGATCTATGCTCATGCTGTTGATCACTGGATCGCCTGGTCCCTACTCTGTTATTCACAGACCGCCGCCATATAGCTGGAATATTGCTGGGTGCGGCGTTAACAACTAACGAACCATCTTTGTTTGAAGCAAGGGAACTGTTCACCCTTGGTATGTGAGCACTGCAGTAAAACATACCATCATGGAGGATTGTGAGCTCGGAGAGTTCCCTTTCTTCACGACCAACTTTCCAGATGAGATATATCATTCCAACCCCAACGTAGGATCCGGAATCAGGGAGACTCCTGGTGAATGTAAGCAGATGGAAAGCAATGGTAAAACTATGACAGGGAGACTCCTGGTGAATGTAAGCAGATGGAAAGCAATGGTATTACTATGACAGGGAGACTCCTGGTGAATGTAAGCAGATGGAAAGCAATGGCAATACTATGACAGGGAAACTTCTCGTGAATGTAATCAAATGGAAAGCAATGATAATACTATGACACGGAGACTCCTGGTGAATGTAAGCAGATGGAAAGCAATGGTAATACTATGACAGGGAGACTCCTGGTGAATGTAAGCAGATGGAAAAGCAATGGTAATACTATGACAGGGAGACTCCTGGTGAATGTAATCAGATGGAAAGCAATGGTAATACTATGACAGGGAAACTTCTCGTGAATGTAAGCAGATGGAAAGCAATGATAATACTATGACAGGGAGACTCCTGGTGAATGTAAGCAGATGGAAAGCAATGGCAATACTATGACAGGGAAACTTCTCGTGAATGTAAGCAGATGGAAAGCAATGGCAATACTATGACAGGGAGACTCCTGGTGAATGTAAGCGGATGGAGAGAAATGGTAATACTATGACAGGGAGACTCCTGGTGAATGTAAGCAGATGGAAAGCAATGGTAATACTATGACAGGGAGACTCCTGGTGAATGTAAGCAGATGAAAGCAATGATAATACTATGACAGGGAGACTCCTGGTGAATTTAAGCAGATCGAAAGCAATAGTAATACTATGACAGGGAGACTCCTGGTGAATGTAAGCAGATGGAAAGCAATGGTAATACTATGTCAGGGAGACTCCTGGTGAATGTAATCAGATGGAAAGCAATGGTAATACTATGACAGGGAGACTCCTGGTGAATGTAACCAGACGGAAAGCAATGGTAATACTATGACAGGGAGACTCCTTGTGAATGTAATCAGATGGAAAGCAATGGTAATACTATGACAGGGAGACTCCTGGTGAATGTAAGCAGATGGAAAGCAATGGTAATACTATGACAGGGAAGCTCCTGGTGAATGTAAGCAGATGGAAAGCAATGGTAATACTATGACAGGGAGACTCCTGGTGAATGTAAGCAGATGGAGAGAAATGGTAATACTATGACAGGGAGACTCCTGGTGAATGTAAGCAGATGAAAAGCAACGGTAATACTATGACAGGGAGACTCCTGGTGAATGTAAGCAGATGGAAAAGCAATGGTAATACTATGACAGGGAGACTCCTGGTGAATGTAATCAGATGGAAAGCAATGGTAATACTATGACAGGGAAACTTCTCGTGAATGTAAGCAGATGGAAAGCAATGATAATACTATGACAGGGAGACTCCTGGTGAATGTAAGCAGATGGAAAGCAATGGCAATACTATGACAGGGAAACTTCTCGTGAATGTAAGCAGATGGAAAGCAATGGCAATACTATGACAGGGAGACTCCTGGTGAATGTAAGCGGATGGAGAGAAATGGTAATACTATGACAGGGAGACTCCTGGTGAATGTAAGCAGATGGAAAGCAATGGTAATACTATGACAGGGAGACTCCTGGTGAATGTAAGCAGATGAAAGCAATGATAATACTATGACAGGGAGACTCCTGGTGAATTTAAGCAGATCGAAAGCAATGGTAATACTATGACAGGGAGACTCCTGGTGAATGTAATCAGATGAAAAGCAATGATAATACTATGACAGGGAGACTCCTGGTGAATGTAAGCGGATGGAGAGAAATGGTAATACTATGTCAGGGAGACTCCTGGTGAATGTAATCAGATGGAAAGCAATGGTAATACTATGACAGGGAGACTCCTGGTGAATGTAACCAGACGGAAAGCAATGGTAATACTATGACAGGGAGACTCCTTGTGAATGTAATCAGATGGAAAGCAATGGTAATACTATGACAGGGAGACTCCTGGTGAATGTAAGCAGATGGAAAGCAATGGTAATACTATGACAGGGAAGCTCCTGGTGAATGTAAGCAGATGGAAAGCAATGGTAATACTATGACAGGGAGACTCCTGGTGAATGTAAGCAGATGGAGAGAAATGGTAATACTATGACAGGGAGACTCCTGGTGAATGTAATCAGATGAAAAGCAATGATAATACTATGACAGGGAGACTCCTGGTGAATGTAAGCGGATGGAGAGAAATGGTAATACTATGACAGGGAGACTCCTGGTGAATGTAAGCAGATGAAAAGCAACGGTAATACTATGACAGGGAGACTCCTGGTGAATGTAAGCAGATGGAAAGCAATGGTAATACTATGACAGGGAGACTCCTGGTGAATGTGTGCAGTTTGAAAGCAATGGTAATACTATGACAGGGAGACTCCTGGTGAATGTAAGCAGATGGAAAGCAATGGTAATACCATGACAGGGAGACTCCTGGTGATGGAAAGCATTGCATATAGTAATACATCTTTGACGGGAGCAAGCGTATAGTTGGACCTGTTGCAGTTAAATAAAGAGACAACTTCGTCAGTATTCAGAACGTTTAAATGCATAAAATGATTTTGATACGTTTTGCAAGGCACCAAATTCGTCAGGTTACGTATTACAATTTAAATATTTAGTATCTGCTAAATGGGTCAATTGTCACAAAATGAATCAAGTTGGTGATAACATTTTGTATTTTGTTATACTCACTCGTGCCCAAGAGATAGTTCTTCTGCTAGGTGAAATCCAAAAACTGTTGGATACATCAACACAGGAATATCAAAGCAAGACTGTAAGAACTCCATCACTGAAGATGCACGTTGGTGCCAGTGGAAGATCTGTGTACCAACGATGCCGTCAGGTCTAAATAAAAGAAAGTGGTAAATGGTTACACCATAAGCTATATGTATTTTAATCTTAAATCCCTGATGTCCAATTTATCATTTAAATACCAGGAAGAATAACAAAAAGAAACATTATGAAAATACATAAGCGAAAATAGTATTGCCCATATGATCTCACCTTTTAAGTCTATCCCTGCAGTATATCAACACCGGTATGAGACCCAGCCAGTCACCTATGTTGGAGGTGTCTATGAAGTCAAAATGAAGATTTTCGGGCAAGCCTGTCTCACAAAGTACAGTTGCCTCTCCTTGCCAGAGGTGGACCTAACACCGAGAGGGTCAATGCTAATGGTTAATACATCAATACCATTATGTGGACAATATAGGTGACACCCAGCTGTGTTGTAAAACGTTTTCTATACTTCTGAGCAGCGTCATCTTTGAATTTTCACACAACGGTTTTCTGGTTGTGTTTACAGACCGCCGCAAGGCAGGAGTACTACTCGGGTGGGGTTGTAAATACGTCTTGGGGGCAAATTGTGTGGCAAATTGTGCGGCAACTGCAGGTACAGCGGGATACGCTTACCCCTTCTAGTGAACACCTCGTGTCATCACCGAAGATTTTCGGGCAATCTTCTTTACACCAAATGGAAACTCTTTCCGAGTATGGTCAGGACTGGGTTTTCTTATGCATTGACTTTTTTATATTATGCTGACAGCTCATGTAACTTTGTAGAAATTTGCTGTAAACGTGTATACATCGACGGATACCTTGATTATGCATCCCTCTTTAATGGCTGCCTGATAACTCTCCACCCACTGCTTCAGTATTGCCAGACACAGAGAAGACATGGTGACAAGCTTACCGTCGTATCTAACAATAGAGCGTGTTAAATGGATTTCAACAGTGCTTATGTAAAAGAGGTTTATAATGAAAAATATGTATGAAAGAAATATATTATGAAACCGATGTACATGACTGGTTACGCGGAATGATAATACATATGGAAACGAATAAGGAAACACGTATTCCTATATTCTTTTCCAGGTTATTTTTTTTATGCTATGTATGGCACTGTTGCTTTCATGTGTTCCCTTATAGTTTTAGACACGTATATGAACAGATGTCAAAATAAACAATATTCGGAGCATAACCATTAGAATGGTCTGTAGCTTTGGGGTTGTATATACCGATAAACATGAAGTCACTGCCTTGTACCTGTCCAGTTGAAGGTCCACATCATAGCACAGCAGTGGACAACAGTTGTCTTCAACTTTCCACATCTGCTCATAACCAGGCCTGAAGAATGTCGTGTTGCCACAGAACCTCTCAATGACACGTTCAGATGACAGCGGAGCTGAGTTGACCCTCGACACACCAGTCACGACAAATTCCCGTATCTCTTGATACAGTCTAAGGATGAAAACAAGGCACACTTACTTGCTTCAAATACCTTGCAAATAATAGAAATTTCTTGTATTGAAAACGTTGACTCGCTCTAATTATTCTGTATATACCATAGTTCTAAAACTGTTTTTCTTCTCAAACATTAATGGACACATCTACTGAATATGGCAACGTAGCCAAAAAAGGGCATGCTCAATACCAAACGTTTCACTGATATTTGCGAAACGGAAACCGCGTTGAACACAAAATGATATGTTGAATCATATTCACACATTGGCGGTTACGAGTGGGAGGTGGCTGATCCTGAGCAGAAAACACGCCAGTTGACGCACATAAAGAGAAAGGCAACCCATGAAAACATGAACCTGTGCTGATTCGATGTTTGACTGCTTGGTTGACACTCATACGCCGGCCATCAACAAAATCGACTCTGACATTTACACCGTGTCCAACATTCTTGGCTTATTTACGAAGACTGTGAAGTGGTTTGTTTTCAACATGAGTTTGGATATGCCTCACAGGAGAATCATCTGGCAAATTATATGTTGGCAAGCGTGTTCATCACACCACGCTCTCCCATTATAACTGATAAATCTAAGCGATTGTGTGAAGAACAAAGGTGATGACATCTGTTGTCTGACATGAATCATCGTGTGAGGCTGTCAATACTCTGAATGTTTTCTTCCGTCCAATCAACAACACTAAAGAATAGAGATGACTCTATTTGCGGTCTTGACTGAAATACGAGCACTCAGTTCTGAACTCCCTATTTTCTGCTGGAGTTTATACGGGATTGTACAAAACGATCTTAGCGCTAAGGTGACCGTAACTCCCATACCTTAACATAGACTTCAGGTAGTCTTAGCGCTAAGGTTGTTTTGTACAACGGCATCCTGGCCTTCTATGAGTTGGTCAATAAATCCAAACGGATGCGCCGTTAACATGAGGCCACGCCCTATAATGTGGATCTAACACATTCACTAGGTCATCTAAATACTTCCTCTTCACATGTTTATCTTGTTCTATTTTTTATCGCAATTTGGCTGCATGTATATAAGCAAAATTATTTTTGCCACAAAATCACAATCAGTTCTTTCAGTAGAATTTGAAGCATTGTTTATAAGCACATCATTACAAACGGTACCTGTCTTTCAGCCGCGGCGTGGACATCAAGTGATCACACAAACGTGTCAGTCTAGACGCGATCCTCTGTACCGCTGTCTCTGGGAAATAGTCTTGGTACATGTTCCTGATGAAGGCTTCTCTCTTGTCACTTGTCAGTCTACCAGTGATTTCAGCATTCATCCAAGACCTCAGTGTTTTTCGGGTGCAGCTTTCCGTTTGTAAGTTTCCAAAATAGACGTCAAAACTGCTTATCGGTACAGTTGACAGTTGTTTCAACACATGCTGCAGTCTCTGGGAGTGATCCTGTGACAAAAGACAGTCGTACCAGATTCCCCACATGAACCTCAAATCCTCATCATTTGCGGGATCGATGGTTCGAACTAGGTATAATAAAATCAAATCTCGTGACAAGACACCATTTTCAACGTCATTCAGATGAATGTTAATGATTTGACCTTCCGACTTCGTGGTGCCATTTCTGTGCAGCACGTGTATGGTGTGTAGGACATTTCTTATGTCACCGCATCCGAGAAACAGCATGTCACATTCCTCAGCAACCTCACAACCATGGGTAATGTCAAGTGACCGTGTGTTCCCCACAGGGTAATACAAATCATGCTCATTGAACCGTATCCGCTCCGACATGTCTTATCTTCTCAAAAACACTGAAACGAGTACATACCATAATAAATATCGTCCATTTGTAAAACTATCAATAGATCATGGGTTAGCTTGACCATTTAACATTGTTTGTTATATGTGAATTAGGTATTGTACAAAACACTGAAACGAGTACATACCACAATAAATATATATCGTCCATGTGTAAAACTATTATAGATTATGGTTAGCTTGACTATTTAACATTTTTTGTTATATGTGAATCAGGTATTGTACAAAACACTGAAACGTGTACATGCCATAATAAATATCGTCCATGTGTAAAACTATCAATAGATTATGGTTAGCTTGACCATTTAGCATTTTTTGCTACATGTGCATCAGGTATTGTACAAAACACTGAAACAAGTACATACCATAATAAATATCGTCCATGTGTAAAACTATTATAGATTATGGGTTAGCTTGACCATTTAACATTTACTGTTTAATGTGAATCAGGTATTGTACAAAACACTGAAACGAGTACATACCACAATAAATATCGTCCATGTGTGAAACTATTATAGATTATGGGTTAGCTTGACCATTTAACATTTACTGTTTAATGGGAATCAGGTATTGTACAAAACACTGAAACGAGTACATACCATAATAAATATCGTCCATGTGTAAAACTATTATAGATTATTAGCTTGACCATTTAACATTTACCGTTTAATGTGAATCAGGTATTGTACAAAACACTGAAACGAGTACATACCACAATAAATATCGTCCATGTGTAAAACTATTATAGATTATGGGTTAGCTTGACCATTTAACATTTTTTTGTTATATGTGAATCAGGTATTGTACAAAACACTGAAACGAGTACATACCACAATAAATATCGTCCATGTGTAAAACTATTATAGATTATGGGTTAGCTTGACCATTTAACATTTTTTTGTTATATGTGAATCAGGTATTGTACAAAACACTGAAACGAGTACATACCACAATAAATATCGTCCATGTGTAAAACTATTATAGATTATGGGTTAGCTTGACCATTTAACATATTTTTGTTACATGTGAATCAGGTATTCCTATTAAGCAACAATAATATTGTAATGACTCGGATGTATCTAATTGGTCAAATGCTATCAACATGGTATGGCGGAGTGTAACATTAAGAACTTTGTATCATCATTGTGTCATCTGTTTCTGCATTAACCTCCTCGGAGCTTGTTGGCCATCCATTCATGACGCATATTTTCATGTATAAAATACGTTTAAACTTTTTAGGTTGAATTTCTCTTAAAGATGAAGAACACTTCACCCAGACCGAAATGCCCTTAAATGAACATTTACATAAAACATGTGTAAAACCTGGACGTATTTATTTACTTACTTACTTACTTGTACTTACTTACTTGTACTTACTTACTTACTTGTACTTACTTACTTACTTACTTGTACTTACTTGTACTTGTACTTACTTACTTACTTGTACTTACTTACTTACTTGTACTTACTTACTTACTTACTTGTACTTACTTACTTGTACTTACTTACTTACTTGTACTTACTTACTTACTTGTACTTACTTACTTGTACTTACTTACTTATTTATTATTTACAAAGGATACATAAAACATTTGTAAGTTGGATTTACGATATTTGCATTGTATTTTATTTATTTACTGCAGTAAAAGCGTTGGACAGTTGGTTGCATACCTCCACAATATCCGGTAATTTTTAATCAGTTGTTCCAAATGTTACGGTTATTTTTGTTGAACATTTTCATTTCAAATCTATGCAGCAAAAAAAAAATGAACCATATTGGAACAGATCATTTTGATAAAATAGTAATTTCGTATAACATGTACCTGATCATTGCAACAAATTTCTGCATAATTTCTGCAACCGTAATGTCTGTTTATAAAACAATGCCTAACAGAAGAAGAAAAAAAACAATTTAAATGGTAAATCTTCATATTAACTGATAATATATCTCTAGCTCAACATTTTATTGACCATGTGTCACCACCCGTTTGTTTACCTGATACCTCCAAAGCGATGCGATAAAGTTCTTCCTGTGCATAATACGATGTTGACTGATGGCCCCACCCTTTCAACTCCTGTACGCTCCAGTTAACAGTTAATAGCCGTCGCTTCACACAGCCCAGCTAGAATTGCGCCTCATAAGCAACTTTTGATAAAAAGCCGATCCAGATTTCAATACCACCAAGCTGCAGTGTTGTTGCCTTGCATTGTATATCTACACTTGTGTTCGATAGAGAGTAAGCTTTCCCGATCACCTCTCTGTTGTTATCAAAAGATAGACATTAAACCAGCCTATGTTTAATACGTGTGTTAACCTGTTTAAATATCACACAATACTTTGCCTTTCACACAAGCCCTGTCTGTCGCAATTCAAATTTGGGTTTGTCGCAGTATTATTTCCCGATATCTGCACATTGTACAGACCACAGATGGTGTGGCTCGTGGTGGCCTCACAGATCATTACATAGTTCTATAATTTATGTAGGCCTATATAATACATGTATGTTATATTACGTATGTATATCATATAATGTGCGTTATATAATGATAACATATGCCTTTTTTGCACCATCGAATCTGTTTCGGTAGATGATCAGGACAATTATTCTCTGCAGTTGACGTTTGAACTAACTCTTAAAGTAGCTCCTTGTGTCGTGACTGAGTGAAGATACACTATCGAACCGGAATTATCGATTTTATTGACAGTGTTAGCAACGCTAGTATCCGTGTCAGTAACGTACAGGGCACAAACCGCAGACACCGAGTATGTAGCATTTCGCTTAAAAAATCGTTTGAGTCTCTTACCTTTTTATCAGACTGTGTACTTATCTGCCGCCCATGACAACAACAACTCTTTTCTAGGAATATGCGTGACAGCTTCCTTGTTTCGTTTTAGATGAATTGAAAAGGGAAATAACTCCATAATGTCACTTCATGGTGCATACAGGCCGCCCTCGGGGCCCAAGTTTACCCTTAGGCCATACTACTACTACTACTACTACTACTACTACTACTACTACTACTACTACTACTACTACTACTACTACTACTACTACTGCTGCTGCTGCTGCTGCTGCTGCTGCTGTTACTACTACTACTACTACAACTCCTACAACTACTACTACTACTGCTACTACTACTACTACTACTACTACTACTACTACTACTGCTGCTGCTGCTGTTGTTACTACTACTGCTGCTACTACCAATACTCCTACTACTACTACTACTACAACAACAACTACTTCTACTGCTACTACTACTTTAACAACAACTACTACTGCTACTACCACTACAACGTCTTTAGCTACTATATCTACAATGTTACATCTGCATTAACTGATACATTTCCGACTGCAATGACTGCGGTCACACATAGGATATTTCCGATCTCTTGTGTGCTTGGCATGGTTCATTAAGGTCAGTTAAATAACATCTGTGACGTCATTCATTGTCTGCTCGCTCCATTACTTTTCAGGAATGGAGCGATGTGTACCAGCTTCAAATTAAAGACTTCATTTTGTCATTTTGACATATAACTTTGATAACAGAAATATTCTCAATACTTTGAATTTTATTTAAGTAGGGTAATATCCTCGTAACTCTCCATTCCTTAAAAACATTATTTTTAAGGAATGGAGAGTTACTCGGACATTACCCTCTACATAATGGTTGATATTAATCGGTACGAGCTGAATGTACGAATATGCGTTTGGCAGTGTGCAATATAAATGATGAAATGGTCCTGGTCAAATGAAATAATGGGATAACACCTTAGTTACTTAGTACAGTTTTACTTCCATAAGTCATCACCATCATGCTGAACAAATCTTGAAGGCATAGTTATATTGAGCTTGTCGCTTTACCAAGAAAGGTATTTCTTAAAACATCATCATTAACTGCTTGTGGAAGAAGATGTAAACCGTTGTCAGGGTAAAGGCAGTTGATCTTCTCGATAAAGAAGTACTTGTTTCACACAATCAATTCTGAATCCCAGTAGTAAATCATTCAATACGTGACAAAAGTTTATGAAGCATATATATAAGTAGAGCATTCTGAAAGCGAGGCTCAGTTGATAATCAGCCAAATATCATTAGGAAATATGTTCCCGAGGTACGATATGACCCATCGGCGCGCATGAGATTAATTAATCCCGGTATGTTCGACCTCGTAGTAATGATTAAATGTATTGTTTTATTTACTAATGCAACATACAGTGTAACATTTGTCGTCAGCCTTTGAATAGTTCGGTTTGTGAGTGAGTGAGATTAGTTTTACGCCGCATTCAGCAATATTCCAGCTATATGGCGGCGGTATGTAAATTATCCAGACAATCCAGTGATCAACAGCATGAGCATCGATCTGCGCAATTGGGAACCGATGACATGTGTCAACCAAGACGGCGAGCCTGACCAACCGATCCTGTTAGTCGCCTCTTACGACAAGCATTGGTTACTGAAGGCTCATTCTCACCCGGACCTTCACGGATCTGTTCGGTTTGTACGTGGACAAGTCATAAGTATACTGAACTTGGTGGCACACTTTCTGTTCTCTCTCGTACATTCGCACTGATGCAGAATTAGTTTACTGAATTATTGAATGTGTGTACTGAACGCTCAATACAATGACAATAAACTTCGTTGTCACGCGAGTAAACAAAACATCGATCGTTATGTCACAGAGAGCATATAAACACTAGTTCAGAGAATCAATAAGAGGAGTTGTTTGAGAAGCGTCTGTATGTGCAGCTTAGGCGGTAACATTATGTAATTGTAACAAAAGTGCAAACTACTTGTGTGAATCAGTAATTACTTTGTTTGTACTTAATCCATTGTGAATCGGTTTTAGTCTCCCGGTTTTATCTGTTTGGGACTTTTAAGAAAGACTAAAGATTTTTCTTTCAGTCCTAAATAAGACCAGCTGTCAGTTTCTACTTGTGAACTTATCTATGCTGATTTCTCACTGGTAAATATGTCATAAATGTTTTCTTTCACATGAATCTTCCCTACAACCGCATACACCAGTGAAGATCTGGGTAAGAATTGGTCTCCAGCATCCCATGCTTGTCATAACAGGCGACTAACGGGACTTGGTTGACACGTCACTGTATCCCAGTTGCATAAATCGATGCTCATGATGTTGATCACTGGGTTATCTGGTCCACACTGGATTATTTACAGACCGCTGCCATATAACTGGAATATTGCTGAGTGCGGCGTTAAACAACAACCCAACCAGCCAACCAGCAAACCAGCAAACCAGCCAGCCAGCCCAGCAACTACGCATACATTATGTTCAGTAACCCAGTGTTTTCTAATTGAGCATCAAGTGCGGGGGATGAAGTACGAGTTCAGTCAGCACATGGTTTGTCGCCTACTGGATGGTGCACGTACAATACAAATGCTTCACAGGGATGTAGGTGAAAAGTGAATCCAACATCGACGAAAGGGTTTGGTTGGATGTCATTCCACGACTAAACATTCTGTCCAGGTGGGAATGGTAAGACATCGGAGGATAGGTGGAGGGTATAATGTCCAGCATCCGTCTCATCCTCTCCCTACTTCCCCTTCAGGTCTTCCTACTCCCACAAGTCCTCAATCTTAGCCGTGAACCTTCACATCCAAGCCCCTAAACCCCCGCACCCTTTCAACAAACGAAGCGCCATTTTGATTTCCATGACGCAAAAACGTAGGACAGAAGTGACTTTATTACATAATTTACAAACATGAAAAATACCAATCAGTTAAACAAAAAACAAGTTTAGTGGTTAAAGTCAGGGCTAAGGATGTGAAGGCAGATCCAGGTGTCCTTATTCTCAGATACATTGAAAGGCGAGCTGTCTGTATATGAAACGTCTCACCATACAATTATGACATACAATTATGTTATGGACATGTTTCTGAGTGTGTTCTTCAGCTATTGTGAACCAAGTCCGAATTTCAACATATTTATTTGAACTCCTCCATATCTAAAATCTCCTAATGGCTAGCTATTGATAGTACAGTTTGAGTCCCTGTCATTGCATTCGCATTTGTGAGACGTGTGGCGTTTACACAGCTACGTATATGAAATACTTACGTTATCTGTCAATGTGATAAACAAGCAGCATCGGCAATTTATTCAGCAATTGAAAATGCGTATTATAATAAATACATAAATTACAGGAATTACCTATATATGTAACTTGCGGGGATTTCATACTACATCCCCAGGACCAAAGTCTGTCCTATTTGGATAGCTGTGTGTCATCATTAACATCAACTACTGGTTTTATCTGACCAAATGCTGCTGAGTTATAGCTGAATGCGGCATGAAGTTATTACAGAATCTACTCATCCACTAATTCATAGATTTTCCTATTGATTACGCTTGATTACAAATGATATCTGATTTTAACATAGTCATGTCACTAACACGTATAAAGTAGGAACACTTATAGACGACAGCCAAATTGTTTCTTAGGAGCTTGTCAGTTGTATGTGATAAATAAGGTGCTGATGCTTAGAGAACAGTTCCTTATTCATTAATTACATATTGCCAGGCAAAACCTAATTGTGCCGATAACAAAAGTGCGAAGTTATTGATCTGTTGTGGGTCCTTACTTAAAACTATTATGTGAACTTTCTCACAACTATGCCTACATGGCTGACATAAACATCTGTAGGCCTGCATATTGCGAAACTGCAGCCCTTTTCAAACGACGGTAGCATCATCTACATTCTAACCTTACACACAGTATCAGTATTGCTTTCAGGTGAAGCTTAAGATGGAATATCGCTTGCGCGTGTGTTGTGGCAGATTCACAGACGTTCCCGTGGACTGTCCAGGCTTTCCTGTTGTTTAATACTCTGCCTCAGTAGAACACCAGGCTGCATCCGGAACACCTTACTGTCTTCTGAGATCTAACACAACTGTCACTAACAGCACCAGAACCAGACATCGCTCCAATGTCCATTTCTCCGGAACAGCTTAAACTACGAAATTATACAGAATTAGGGACTATACTTATTCAAGGTTCATAAGCAAAGCACATGCAGTATACTCAGCAAGTAATAAACTCTTATGCTACGCTTCCTTTATACATGAACTTACAAAGAGAACTAAACATTTCGGGCATGTCTTCCTCGAACTTCAAAGCATATAGTTCCTTGTTAGGATATCTCCCTTTCAGAATGGTTCTTGTCATCCATCTTCTGTCCTCAGGCTGATATTAATTCATTCGAATGGAATTGACTTCTAGAAGCTTCACCAACAAAGCATATCCCTGTCAATGACAAACACACATGCACAATCATCACGGACACGGAGGTTATGACGTTGATGCTATAAATATAAACTTAGTTGTGTAATCCAATGTTCCCAATAATAATATTAGATAGACAGTTATTCTGAACACAAAAATAGTCACTGTTTTCTGGTTTAGACGTATTTAGCGGCTGCTGGCATATAGCTGAGGGAGCATACGCTGAGTATTGTGCAACAATCAAACCGTAGGGAGTAGAATAGGGTACCACAAGTTCCTTTTACATACACTCAACACATATAGCTGGCAGTCTGGTATAATCAGTTAGACTGCAGTATCTCATTTTGTTTATATCAGTAATATTTACCTTGCCGAGATTTGGAGAAGATGATGGGTCCATTTCCACACATGTCTTCTTCGTTTGTTTCCATGGTAAGATTTCTTCATTCGTGATTTTCTCTTGGCTAACCAGATTATCAGCTTTGTCAAAATCGAAAAAACGTCAAAAATAGGGTAGGTTTGTTCTCGTGGATCTTCAGATCTTCCAAACGAAGCATGTTGTTTGCTGTCTTGTCAGGATTTGTGACACTTTGAGCTCTAATCGTGAGGAGTGTTGGCAGCTATGAAGAAAACATGCAAAGGTAAGAATGAAAGTCCAGTATTTCACTTGATATACTATTGCATACACACATGGAAAAATACACCCCCTTGGATAATATTTTACTTTTATCATGAATTCTGTCACTCTTGAGCAGCATATCCTACAGTTAAAACAGACGTAACTGGCATAACTATCCAAAAGAATCGATATTTAATGCACAAACCACCTACCCCAAATGAAAACGGGGCCTTTATCAAGATGAACTCCATAAGAAATCTAAGCTGTTCTTTCGGCGACATGTGGTGTGACAGACTCGCTGGAGACGAGAGGCACATACTTCCAACGTACGTCTCTATTGTTTCTTTACCGCTTTCCGAGAGAGGAAAGTTCGGGAGATCAGCAACAGAGCTTGTGCGGAGCTTGTTCCAGGGCAAAATTCGTTCACCGAGAGTCACATCAGCGTCCTTGACAAGACGAGCTTCAATTTTTCCCCTCTTCCGTGAAAATTTAACGCTGCTTGTGTTCAAAGCGATTCCACATGAAAGACTCAGCGTTTCTCTAAACCTTGATTGCCTGAAACACAAAACGCACTACATTAAGAAAACCTTGGACAAATAGGACTCATTTAAACATTTCCTTCAAAATCCCGCCACCAGGTTAAATCGCCAATGTGGGGGATAATCGAGTCTGACTTTCCTCTGGCACTGACGTTGTACATTTACAGCACATGCGAACATAGTTAAGTATGGGTATACGAACTTCTACCATAATACGCCCTTCTTGCATATAGTAACATTTTAACACGGTGTGGCATGGCATAATCCGCACAGCATGACAATCAAAACCCAATATGGACACTCCAGGCACCTGCTGCACGATTTAGTAGTAGTAAGGCAATTGACAAACAATGTGATAAATATATAAGTATCATTTTGTTGGTTATTTTGGTTTTCGGTACATTTGAAGGTTGCAGTGGTCCGTTAATATAATTTTTGCCACTTATATTTTCCTTTAAGCCCAAATGAATCTGTTTATTGACGTTACGTCTTTTGGACATCTGGTATTTCGTGGAAAACCACTTTGGCTTTTTGTAGGTGTTAAGAAAACAGCTGTATCCCTCTCAAGATATAAAAGGTTGGACACTGCTATTTTCCCGGTTTATTAAGGACAAATACAATACTAATTTACCTCACTCTGTAATTTGAAAAAGTTAAGATGAACGTCTTCAGTCTAAAGCAGTTCAAAGGGATGTGGGGGAAACAGTGGAAAGTCCACACACATTGCAAGTTGTAAGATTTTCGTTTTACTAATGAATAAACTCAAAACAAAATCTCATCCATTGTGGCTGTTATGTAGTTCTATAACATATGGATCTCCATCTACACAATCCATGCTGAATATCCCCTTCTTCAGACATCCTGGGTCGGTTTGGATGGTCACAAGGTAATGATCTGTATACTCAATCAGGCTCTGTAAACAATATAGTGTTCATCTTGGTATATGTAGCCTTCACAATCTAGAGTCTGGTTTTCTTATCAAAAACGACCTGCAATTAGTATGAACTACAGAATCTATTATTGTATGATTAATTTGGATAAAAATATCAAGTGGACGATTGAAAAGCTGTTTCAATAAACACATATATTCTGGCCATCACTCTGATCCCAGCAATTGGATCACTTTGGCTTTCTTCACAAATACTGCTGACACACCGTGAGTAAACCACTTTGCTTGTCGTTGAAAATCAGAGAAAGTTTTTGAGCTTTTAAACATTTGTAATAGGCTTCTTTCTTTGTGAAATATTATGTTTGGTATATGGAACATATTTTCTAATTCTTGCAGGATTGTTGAAATAGCTAGTGTTTGCAAGGGATGATACTATACACCAATGTATATACTACTACCGCTGTCGTATTAGCAACCGCTATTGTATTGGGTGTTGTGAATTACGGCTCTTTAGTGGGTTGACGTGTATTCAACGCAATGACAAAATACTTATCGTTCCAAACAATCTACATGTCATTTTGCAGTGCTTATTGATATACTGCTTGCTAGATCACCTTACTATATTTTGACTGCAAAGGTGATCAGTATCGACCAATACAGAGCAAGAATAGGTAGATTTTCACAACCGAGTGGGACGAAACAGATATCACTTGACCGCCACAGAGAGTATTCACCCACTGTACTGGGGACAGATGTACACTTCAGACTCCAGGTATTTTGCATCTTGTTTAGCCTACATATCTGGGCAACAAACATGATTGTGTACAAATTGCGAAGGACGTTTACTCATATATCTCAAAAGAAAATGATTTTAACGCATTGTCCACAAATGACGTCACTACACTGAAATGTACAAAGTTGTCTCACCAAGCCCGATCTGCAAGTGTTTACGCTTGGGTGACCACACACAAGATTTTATGTTCAAATGATATTGAAATGAACCCCAGTCCAACATCACTAAATGACATAAAGGAATTGATTGTAAAAGAAAAGGAAGTTTTCCTAAAGGAACTACAAAACGTCAAAAATGAACTGAGTGGCAAAATAAACGGCCTAAGCTTCGACGTTGGCAAATTAAGCAAGCAAATGTCTGAGATTGAAGAAAAATTTACAAATCTTCAAAGTGACCTCGACTCACTGCGCCATAACCAGGTCCTTATGTGCGATGACGTTGGGTTACTATCAAGTAAGATGGAGAACGTAGAGAAGAAGATGTCTCAGTTTGACGAGGAGATCGACAAACTTGAAGCATTTAGCAGAAGAGACAATATCATACTCTACAATATCCCAGAGGAAGCTGACGAAGCGACCAACACTTGCAAAACGAAGGTAACAACTATACTGAATGAAAACGTCATCGTTAAAGAATGGCGTTCTAATGACGTTGTACGTGCACATAGACTAGGCGCTCACAAGGACGGCAACTCTAAACCAAGACCACTCATAGTGAAGATGAGTCAAATGACAAAGTGGAGGTGCTAAAGGCCCACGATGCCTTAAAAGCCAAAGGCTACGGTGTGGCCAGCGACCTTACAGTGAGACAACGTCAGCAGCTACAGGGTGCCAAGGATAAAGGTCTTGTGGGATACTTTAAGAATGGGAAATTTCTGACGAAACCAAGACAAAATCAACCGTCGGTCGATCACATGGAGGAGTCACAGGATTCCCGGAGACAACTTAGAAGTGGCGGGAACCGGAGGGGTATTTCTCGGCAACCGGCCCATCATATTACAGTACTGTATTCACAACCAGGTCTCATATTGATATGTTGGAGCAACTTATATGTGACAACCTTAACCATATCTGTAGCAACAAAGTGCTTCTCTGTGGGGACTTATACGCCCGGACAGGATGTAGAAATAACCCGGCGTACGAGGAGCCAGAAAATCTTTCATACACTAATTACGTAGATGTAGATAATGTACCTGTAGCAAACAGATCTTCACAAGACCCTTTTCTCAATAGGTTTGGGAATACTCTCCTACAGCTATGTTATGTGTACAAGTTATTCATTCTCAACGGAAAAGTGGCTGGTGATATGAATGGAGAATATACCTATGTCAGGGAGAACGGATCTAGTGTTGTGGACTACTTTATAACGTCTCTTGAACTCTTTGATTTCATTGACACTTTGACTGTTGGGGATCGTATAGACTGAGATCACTATCCGCTGGAATTGACGTGTACCTTCCCGGCAGAGGCAACTGAAGACAGTGCTTGTCCTGACGTCATAGTTTGGGACAGCTCAAAGGAAGCCATTTTTTAAACTTCATTTTCAACCTGCATAAGGATAGATTGTTCAATACCATTGAAACGAATGTCAATGAAGGAATTGATTCATTTGTGCACATAATGGTAGAAGCGTCGGATTGTATGAAGAGACAACGACGTAACAGAGTCAGACAAGACAAACAATTCCTGAGTCGCGAGTGTAAACTGGCAAGAGGAGATGCACGGAAGGCTTCATGCAAATTCAGATGTCAACGTACAGAGGGCAACAGAAAACAGTACTGTAAATTGCGAAATAACTACAAATCGGCATGTAGGAAATTCAGGCTCGACTGCCAAAACAGAAATATGACTGACCTCTGCAATTCTTAGACCAACCCTGCACAGTTTTGGAAGAAAGTATGTGCGCTACAAAGAAGCAGACAGCCAACACACAATATTACGGAAACCCAGTGGCTGTCCCATTTTAAAACATTATTCTCTTCCAGTGAAACACCAAGTCTTTATGATTGTACAACTATCGACTATGGTGGATTAGCGAGTGATCACTTAAACGATGTGGACGATATTGGAATCCTCTATAACAGAACGTGAAATTCACCATGGGATTGAGCACATGAAAACCGGAAAATCGGCAGGCGTGGATGGAATTCTCTCCGAGATGGTCAAATGTTCATTACCAGAATCAATGCCTTTTCTTACCAGATGTTTCAACAAAATCTTTCAGACAGGTGTATTCCCCATAGTATGCTCTAAATCAATAATTATACCCATTTTCAAGAACGGTAGTGTGAACAATCCAGACAATTACCGAGGAATATCGCTCATCAGCATTTTGGGAAAACTGTTTACAAGCATTATTAACGATAGACTCACACAGTGGTCAAATATGCGGGATTTACTACCAGAGGCTGAAGCTAGATTCCGGAAAGGGTACTCAACATCAGATCACATCTTTACCTTATATGCTGTCGTTCAAAAGTATCTTTCCTTCAACAAACGGAAGCTCTATATCGCTTTTGTAGACTTTCGAAAAGCATTTGACTCAGTGAATAGACAACTTCTCTGGACCTGCCTACAGAAGAATAACCTTAACGGGAAGATGTATGCTATCCTCCGATCTTTGTATCAGAATGTTAAATCATTTGTTCGATGCGACAAAGGCATGACTGATTTCTTCGATTGGCCAATTGGGTTACGCCAAGGATGTGTACTGAGCCCCCCTACTGTTTTCTCTTTTCGTAAACGAATTGTACAATGAAATAATGCTTTCAGGAAAACTTGGAGTTCAACTATTTCCAGATATTTTTTAACTTTTATCACTTCTTTTTTGCGCATGACGTTATCCTAATATCAAGTTCCGTAACAGGTATACAGAATCAGCTAAACATCCTAGCTAAGTACTCGGACGAATGGAAGCTAACGGTTAATCTGGATAAGACGAACATTGTCATATTCAGGAAAGGCGGTCGAGTCGCAGCAAAGGAGAGATGGACATATAAAGGTGTCAGAATCAACGTAGTAAAAGAGTACAAGTATCTTGGTATCAGGTTTACACAAACCTTAAACCTGAGTAAATCTGTACAGCAACTAGCAACCAGAGCGAAGAAGGCATTTTGTCAACTTCAATCAATTTTATATAAAGTTGATGTCATAACACCCCAAATATTTTCTAAACTATTCGACGTCCAAATTCAACCTATTTTACTCTACGGCTCCGACATTTGGGGATGTCACTGTTTTCAATCAATAAATGTTGGACTCACAACTCCTAATAACATGGTGTACGCTGAGTGTGGACGCTGCCCGTTGTACATCGAATCTTACACAAGATGCTTACGCTACTGGATTAAACTGATTCATATGTCAGCCCATAGCTTACCGCAGAAAGCGTATAACATGCTTTACCACCGAAACGAAATCGGCAAAAACAGTGGGCTTCATCAATACGGAACTTACTATTCACCTATGGATTCGGACTCGTATGGACTTCACAAACAGTTGGAGACTGTCTTTCCTTTCAGAAAATATTTCGTACTCGCGCCACTGACGTGTTCAAACAGGATTGGCATTCATGTCTGGAGGAGAGCTCAAGATACGACACATATTGCATTATAAAATCGATCTTTGAAACTGAAACCTATCTCCACAACATTAAACCTAAGTCTCTTCGAAATATCCTTATACAATTCAGACTTGGTCTCAGTGAATTGGAAGTGAACAAAGGACATCACGGCATCGAGAAATCAGCCCGACTTTTTAAAATATGTAATAATGGCGTTGAAAACGAGTACCATTTCTTGTAAGTCTGCCCCATCTATGCTCAACTAAGATCTAAGTATGTACCTCCATATAACTTCATGTCTATATATAGTCTTAAGAAGTTGTTATCCTGCAATAACCCTACAATTCAATTCCAAATTGCTCTGTTTATACACCATGCTTTAATGTTACGCAAAACATCCTATTGTTAACAACATTGTATTTTTGTTCTGCTTCAGAAATATATGTAACTCAAATGTATATGGGCCTATGGCCTTTGGTACAATAAAGCATTGATTGATTGATTGTAAATACCGCCGTTGTTGTATTTACCACCGCTATTGTATATACCACCGGTGTTGTATTAACCAACGCTATTGTATATACCACTGTTGTTGTATTTACCAACGCTATTGTATATACCACCGCTGTTGTATTTACCACCGCTATTGTATATACCACCGCTGTTGTATTTACCACCGCTATTGTAGATACCACCGTTGTTGTATCTACCACCGCTATTGTATATACCACCGTTGTTGTATACCACAGTTGTTGTATCTCCCACCACTATTGTATATACCACCGTTGTTGTATTTACCATTGTTGTTGTATTTCCAACTGCTATTGTATATACCACAGTTGTTGTATCTCCCACCGCTATTATATTTACCACCGCTATTGTATATACCACAATTGTTGTATCTCCCACCACTATTGTATATACCACCGCTATTGTATATACCACAGTTGTTGTATCTCCCACCGCTATTGTATATACCACCGCTATTGTATATACCACAATTGTTGTATCTCCCACCACTATTGTATATACCACCGCTATTGTATATACCACAGTTGTTGTATCTCCCACCGCTATTGTATATATCACCGTTGTTGTATTTGCAACTGCTATTGTATATACCACCGTTGTTGTATCTCCCACCGCTATTATAGTTACCACTGCAATTGTATATACCACCGCTATTGTATCTCCCACCGCTATTGTAGATACCACCGTTGTTGTATTTACCACCGCTATTGTATATACCATTGTTGTTGTATTTACCAACGCTATTGTAGATACCACTGCAATTGTATATACCACTGCAATTGTATATACCACCGCTATAGTATATACCGCCGCTATTGTATATACCACCGTTGTTGTATTTGCAACTGCTATTGTATATACCACAGTTGTCGTATCTCACACCGCTATTATATATACCACCGCAATTGTATATACCATCGTTGTTGTATTTACCACTGGTATTGTATAAACCACCGTTGTTTCATCTACCACAGCTATTGTATCTACCACCGCTGCTGTATATACCACCGCTAGTGTATATATACCACCGCTAGTGTATATATCACCGTTGTTTCATCTACCACCGCTGCCGTATTTACCACCGCTAGTGTATATATCACCGCTATTGTATCTTCCACTGCTATTGTATCTTCCACCACTATTGTATCTTCCATCGTTATTTCATATATAACACTATTGTATATACCACAGTTGTTGTATCTCCCACCGCTATTGTATATACCACCGCTATTGTATATACCACAATTGTTGTATCTCCCACCACTATTGTATATACCACCGCTATTGTATATACCACAGTTGTTGTATCTCCCACCGCTATTGTATATATCACCGTTGTTGTATTTGCAACTGCTATTGTATATACCACAGTTCTTGTATCTCCCACCGCTATTGTAGATACCACCGTTGTTGTATATACCACCGCTATTGTATATACCATTGTTGTTGTATTTACCAACGCTATTGTAGATACCACCGTTGTTGTATCTCCCACCGCTATTGTATATACCACTGCAATTGTATATACCACCGCTAGTGTATATATACCACCGCTAGTGTATATATCACCGTTGTTTCATCTACCACCGCTGCCGTATTTACCACCGCTAGTGTATATATCACCGCTATTGTATCTTCCACTGCTATTGTATCTTCCACCACTATTGTATCTTCCATCGTTATTTCATATACAACACTATTGTATATACCGTCACTTTTGTATATACCATCGCTATTGTATTTACTACGACCCTTTTCTGTGCTGGCATTGTAATTACTTCTCATCTCATAATGTGTATGTTTATGTAAACCTAGATATTTTCAAAATACAATTGTTAATTTCATAACATTCGTTGCATTTCCGTGTTTGTTGTTCATTGTTACAGATTTGATCGCTAACTATTACTTCTATTGAGAAATCAACACGTAACAATCATAATCATGTAAAATGTACTTACATTGCTTTTCGTCGGGGCTGTGGGTTGAATTCACAGGTTGGCATCAGATGTTTGTTTTTATGTGAAGTATAAACAATACAATTCATTAGACTATGCTATACCATAATATATATACAATTGTAACTGATGAATACACACACGACTTGTTTAATCTGAAGCACAAAACCTCTGAGAAAACAGCACGAAGTCAGTGATTTCGTTGTATGCATAAGCAGCACAGTTCCGCCCATTCTGTGTTGAACTACACAGGAATCAGCAACCCCTCAGTGGGCGTGGCGTACATGTCTTTCGGTTCATGAATAAATTATTGGGTGGGTTAGCCAATCAGCTGCCACGAAATCGCTTGCATCTAAGTATATCGCGTCGAATGAAATTGCAGATATTATGGGTATTCACGTTGAATAAGTGATTAATGAAGGCCAATATTATTTCTAACAACTAAGAGTTTGTCACTACTTATTTCATTGAATACAATCTGAGAATAGGAGTGATATTACTGATAGTTATTTTAGTTTGTATATTTAAACTGTTATCTCATGAAATGAAACATATTTATCACTTCAAACGTAAACACACTTGAATCTTTACAACACTTATGTGTGTTTGAACTGATATCTTTACACATATTGTTTCTCTTTACGGATGAGTATTACCATCATCACTAAGAGTGAGTGAGTGAGTTTAGTTTGTTTTATTCCGCAGTCAACAACATGACTAAGAAAATGGATGGTTGTTTACAACTGCAGGTTTTTAAACAATTAAAATCGAAATATAAGATGGGAAGAGTAGATCTCGTCGTTTCAGCAATGAATAAGAAAAAAGAGAAAGATTAAAGGGCAATTTACAAATGAGAAGCTTGACAGTTTTGTTGTGGTTTCACGTTTTCTCTGTCTGAAAAAATGGCTGAAATATTGTCAATTGACAGGATTACATTAGGAATCGGTTCTGAATTTGTGTAGACATTTGAGAAAGATGGATGGAAACCTTTAGGCGAGTTTCCGACAACGAAACATACCTTGTAAACATTTAAGGACAGCATTTTGACAAATAAAAATCAGGTGTTTGTTTCCATAACGACGCTAGAGTTACCTTTAGCAATATTCTGAACCCTTTGCTGAATATTTTCCGTCGCTCTTTTGTCTAAACCAGGACATGTTTTCACCTTTTCAAGTGCTGCTGACACTGCGTCTGATGCTGAAATATAAACATACCAAAGCAAATACAGGAAAACAAAACCGGTATCGTGGTAGAGGTGAAAAACTGGGATTATTGGAGGGGAATATATGTTCCCGAGACTAATTACTTCTCATGATTTACAATACGGCAAATAGAGTTTTATATTCAAGCTGCACGTTCTGTAAGATAATTCTAAGGGTCTTACATAGAAAACCAAATATAGCGTAAAACGTATTAGTGAACTGGAACAGGGCAAACGACAACATCGTCCCCCAACATCACCCAAACCCTCCCCAACACCATCCTTCTCCACGTCCCCCAACGCCTTCCCCGAACACTGTCACCAAACATCTTCACCTCACATCGCCCCATCCTCAGAAAAATGTGGACGTCAATTGTATGTCTACTCTGGCGAACGTTTTGCCATTGACTATGACTAGATTTATGTATACATACGCATTATATGGTTCTTTCAAATGTTAGGACCATGATTGAGAGATGTTGACTTCAACGGAGAGGTATGTTAGATAAAATGTCTCAGGATCACATACCTTTTTCATCAAGAGTCAAAGCTGTTAGATTTTTCTGCTCCCGAGCTATTTTCCATTTCAAGGTCAACTTTGTACGTACGTAGCGACACTGAGTTGGTGGGAGACACCTGGGCAGTGAAGAGACAGGGTACTTGTTCATGGTCAATTTGTGTCAAAGTCCTGCACTCACGGATCATAGGCAACAACAGTTACACCAATTAACTATAGACAAAGTGGATTCTGTCTCCGCGGATAATCGAGACTAGTTATTCTAAGTTTACATTTTAAGTGAAGTACGTTGGTGAACACATATGTTCAATTTGTCAATTTCAATTTGTCAATTTGTGCAAACATGAAGTTTGGAATCATGATGTGTATTTCCTACATTTGTCTGGTAACACAGTAATGCCGGGTACTTACTCATGTCCAAGAGAGAGTTCTTCAGCTAGGTGTAAACCAAACACTGTCGGATACATCAACACTGGCACATCAATGCAGCCAGAAAGATACCTTTCCACTGAAACGATGCCTTCCAATCTTGTGAAGTCAAAACTCTCTGTCCTCAGCACTCCGTTAGGCCTGAACAATAACATATTAAGCAGGTTAACTTGAGTGATTGAGTTAGTGAATGTAACGTCACTACGAACTGTGTGTCGGTTATTGTAAGTGGGTCTTAGATCGAACCCCTTGCAGGTTTTAGCCTGCACCACCGAGCGAAACGCATGATGAGGGTGATCGGGAAAAATCGGGACTTGAACCGATGACTTTGTGGCACGGATGGGAGACAATATTCTGCAGAGAGAAATGTGGCCCCATGAGATCTTTCGATACATTCTCTCCCATTTCTTTTCAATAATGCTTGGTACTACGGTGTTCTGAAAAGACATTTGATTTGGTCTGGCAACATTAATTGGGATACTTGCTGTTTCAGTCTGTCGCGAGAACAACTCAGCACAGAGACCAGACCAATTCTATCTGCCAAATTGGATGTATCGATGAAGTCAAACCGGAGACTTTCCGGCAGGTCCTTCTCGCACACTTCGGCTGCCTCTCCCAGCCACATGTAGATCTACAAAACAATACACCATTAACAGTGAAAATAACAAATATATTAACATTACACTATATGGGACACATTAGGAGGTTTTAAAGAACGTTTTCAAACGTTTGTTTTGACTATGGAATGTGTGTGTGTGTGTATGTGTGTGTGGGCGTGTGTGCATGCGTGCGTGCGAGGAGGATGGTGGAAAATGAGATCGGAAATACTGCCGCTTCTTGTTTCAACATAAATCTTGTTAACCTTTCATTCAGTATAGCGTCTGTACCTTAAGAACACAGCCATCTTCCATTGCTGCCTGGAAACATTCAACCCACTTCTTTAGCGTATCCATGCAGAGGGAGGCGAGAGTCACCTTACACCCATCGTACCTAGGTGTGACCATAGTCCACGTGAGCATACAAAAATATGTAGCAACGAGAACTTTGTATGCACGACAGGAAAATGCACAGAAATAAGTCTCTCTGAACATATTTTCCATTTTGTGTGAAAGCAAAATAACTCTTACACTTACACTAGGCAACTTTAATAATGTGTCTATACCTGTGGAGTTCCAGGTCGATGTCGTGAGATAGGTATGGACAGCAGTCGTCAGAGACAGCCCATGTATTACATCCAGGTCTCAACAGGGTCATGTTGCCACTGAAGCTATCCACCACCCGTTTAGACGAGAGCGATTGTAAATTGACCCTCGTCACTCCAGTTGTGATATAGTCGCGGATCTCCTGATGGTATCTGATCATATTAAAGAAACATATTAAACATAGTCAGTGAGGGAGTTTAGCTTTACGCTGCATCTAGCAATATTTCAGCAATATCACGGCGGGCGACACCAGAAATGGGCTTCACACATTGTGCCTTGAAACGATGGTGAATCGAACCGGGCGACGGGCGAACGCCTTAACCACTAGGCTACCCTACGCCCCTTAAACAAACAGACGAGTCGCAGCAAGGACATTGTCTTGGTGTCGAACATATACAATATTTAGCTTTTTTCTCCTGCTCCTCCTGAAAGGATCCCATACCCAGAACAACTGATTTACCATTTGCAGTTATACAAGCCTATTGATGGGGTAATATTAGTCCTCTTTTGAGGATTTGGGGTACGGTCTATTAAATTATTGTCGATTTATTGATATTTCTTTCTTCACACAAAAAGATACTGTAACTGTATTATGTCAAGAGAAATAGGCACTGACGCTTGTCAATAACTCGAAGTCATATAAACCAAGTGTACTCAGTATATGTATATATATGTTTAACACAAGTAATTATGTGTATTACATTACTTTGCCTAAGTCATGTCTTCTCGCAGTCTTTAGTACGTGGCAACTGATTAATGTTTCCATATCCAAGAAACTGTAGGATATGACATATGTAGATATGGCAATTATCCCAACATACAGACAAAGGTGAAGGTCACCTTACAGCTGTCGCACCATCGACTTAAAACTTTAAAGCCCATTAGATTAAATTTGCTGAAGACGTAGTATGTTGTACAAGGATGGCAGCAATATAGAATTAATGCTCTCTGCCATTATTTACTTTGATGTGTTTACTTCGATTGAAGTTTTTGCACATGTTGCTATTCAATTATGGAATCAATCAGTACGGAAAAAGATAGAATAGAATACATTTAATAAACATATAGACATATGATTGGAGAGGAAAACCACTGTCGTATGTGTATGTTACTCTGATGTCACAGCTGATGGCTAGATGAATACATGGATGCATGGTTCGCATGGTAATAACTTATAATAAGTAGGTGGCATACCTGTCCTTGAGTCGCTGTACTTTGTCAAGGCGACCACACTGGGCACTCACTTTCTGTGTAACCCAGTCTACTGCTGTCTGGGGTAGGTCGACTTTAGGACTGACCAATTGTCCTGTTGTCCAGTCTATGGTTAACTTTGGCATGCCTTCTCTGTACAGACAGTTTAGGAATTTCCATCTTGTATCTGTCATTTGTTTACCATTCATTTCAGATTTCTCTATACCTAGAAGAGCCCTTTTGATGGAGACTTCACTTTTCATATTTCCAAAATGCACTCCATTATTGCCTGACTGGACTAACGCCACTTCCTTCATCACTTGCTTCAGCCTCTTCTTCCGAGTTATTTGGATCAATTGTTCCAGCGAGGTACAGCAAAATCAGATCGCGTCCCAAGATACTGTCTTCAATGTCATTGAGGTGGATGTTGATTGTCTGATCTTTTGATTTTGTGGTTCCTCTTGTCTGAAGCTCGTGAATGGTGTGTAGGACGTTCCTGACATCTCCACACCCAAGTAACAGCATGTCACACTCCTTGTCAACCTGACATCCAAGTGTCACATCAACTGACCTCGTGTTTCCAATAGGATAATAGGACATTGCATTGTGGGTAGTCGTCGCCATATTGCTGTAACATATACAGTATAAACCAACAGGGGAGCTTCCAAAGTGGCTGTAGTGATTGCTGAGAGAGTGAGTTTAAATTTCCAGCTGCGCTGTCGTGATTGTTTGTACAAAGATTATTAGATACCGATGCGGCATAAAGATTTTACAGTATAGGTCCGTCTCCTATTCTCGCGGGTTTCCTATTCTCGAGGTAAACACGTTTTCTAACGAAATCGCCAATGCGTGACACTTAGCGGTAGTTTAGATCACCGACTGGTAACTAGGAAGTGGACCAAGTCTGTGAGCGATCAAAATCTTGCAGTGTCACGAATATTGGGGAGTTTATACCAACTTGGACATATCATTACTTTTTCCCGCCCTTTCCGGCAGGATTGCCCTTACACACACTCAATAACGTTAATTCCTGGTAATACCGCGAGAATGGGAGAAGCCTCGTTTCGTCAGTGGCGGATGGCATTGTTTATCACCGGGCTAACGAGTGGTAATTCACCTGATGGATCTTAGCAGCTGATAGATGTAGATGTTAGAGGAGAAGGCCCTTCATTTTAAAACAACAAGCATTCATTCGATAAGAATTGTTTGTGTTATTTTTTCAGCCGATATCCCTAAGTACCGCGAGAATAGGAAACGCCTTCCTACTTAGTAAACATTTGTTTACTCAGTAAACAATATGTGACATGATGGATTACTTCATAGGTAACGTCTTTGGGAATTTCAAGATAAGAAGTAGAAGACGAAGACATCTCAAAGGGCGCCAATTGTCTTCCCCTTGCGCTGAACCTTTTCCCTATGCTAGAGACCCGATATTGTAATCATAATGCTACATACTCGGTGTCCGCGGGTTTTGCCCTATACGTTACAGACACGGATACTAGCGTTGTTAACACTGTCAGTAAAATCGATAATTCCGATTCGATGGTGTATCTTCACTCAGTCACGACGCTTGAAGCTACTTTAAGAGTTAGGTCAAAACGTCAACTGCAGAGAATACTTTTTCTGATTATGTGCCGAAACAGATTCAATGGCATCAGAAATGCATATGTTATATAATTATATCATTACATACCGCACATCATGTAATGTACATATTCTATATAACTATGTAATAATCAGTGATCCCACCACGACTTTGAGCCACACTATCTATGGTCTGTACGATGTGCATATATCGGGGAATAATATGGCTACAAGCCCAAATTTGATTATGCGACAAACAGCCGGCTTGTGTGAAGGGCTGGTTATTATGTGATAGTTAAACAGGGTTAACACACGTATTGTGCAGAGGATGTTTACTTTTTGATAACAGAAAGGTCATAGCAAAGCTAATTCTCTATAGATCTTACCTTTCCCGATGAAAAAACACGTACAGTGAAACCTGCCAACACCGGCACCTGTCTAATCCGGCACACTGTCAAAACCAACAGACCTTTTTACCAGACTGTGTACTTATCTGCCGCCCATGACAATAACAATTCTGGGAATGTGCGTGACAGCTTCAGTTTCGTTTAAGATCAATGGAAAGGGGAAATAACTCCACAATGTCTAATTCATAACGAATGGGCGCAAACAGACCGCCCTCAGGGTTCAAGTTTGGCCTTTAACCACACTACTGTTACTACTACTACTACTACTACTACTACTACTACTACTACTACTACTACTACAACCACTACTACTACTACTACTACTACTAGTACTACTACTAGTAGTGCTACTACTGCTACTGCATTTCTTGCTACAACTTCTTTAGCTTCTACGCCAACAGTGGTACATCTGTATTAACTTATACATTGTCGAATGTATACCGGTTGGTTGGTTGTTGTTTAACGCCGCACTCAGCAATGTTAAAACTATATTGCGGCTATCAGATCTGGACCAGACAATCCAATGACAAACAGTATGAGCATCGATGTAGACAAGTGGGATGTGTCAACCAAGTCAGCGAGCCTGACCACCCGATTCCGTTAGTCGCCCCTTACAACAAGCATGGGTTGCTGAAGACCAATTCTAACCAGGATCTTCACGGGTAGGTTTGAACAAAGACAAGTCATAAGTATATTGATCATAGGCGGCAGTCTGATTTCCCTAGTACATTGACACTGGTGCAGAAATTATGTATGTATGTATGTATGTATGTATGTATGTATGTATGTATGTATGTATGTATGTATGTATGTATGTATGTATGTATGTATGTATGTATGTATGTATGTATGTATTTAAGTATGTGGGTATGTGTGTGTTTGTGTATATTTGAGTGTGTATGTGTGTACATGTGTGTGTGAATATTAAAAAAGAAACCTCACCTTTCAAAAACAAATGCAAAATTTTGTTCTTACAAGATGGTGTTTTTATTACGATTGTACCGTTTTCTTAACATGTTTTTTACTCCGCCGTGTGTGTTCCCCGCCGTGATATTGCTGGAATATTGCTAAAAGCGGTGTAAAACCATAGTCACTCACTCTTCCAAATTGACAGTTATTACCAACATCAGTGCGTTTCTTCAGATAAAAAAAAACATATCGACCAAACACACCTAAAAAGGCAGACGTGGAAAAAGGTTTCGTATAACATTCGTGAAAATGAAAATGCACGTGCATATCGCGACAACCCTACCTATGACAGCGAGTCCCTAACTCGCCTGAAAACATTCTTGTTTTAACCTAATCGTCATGCCACGACTTGCGAGTGATTAGAGGAACCAAGCCTTGGGATGATTGCAAATTGGCCAGACTGCAGGGAGGGTAGCCATCATTTCAATGTCCATGTTAGGACAATCTACCGACTGCAGTAGCGGTACCAGGCTACTAACAGCATCTAAGACCGTCCACGCAGTGGACGACCTTCACTCACATCACAACGTCAAGTCCGACAAATTGTGTCAACTATCTGCAGGATCGCTTCACCAGAACGACGGAAACAGCACGCCAGACCATCGGGACTCACAACAGACCCATCAGTGCCAATACAGTGCGTTGACGTTTTTGCGGAAGAAACCTCTGCTGTCACATACCATATCGTGGTCCTGTCCTCCCACCAAAACCGACTGTGTTATCGACAATGAAGAACTGTGGGTTTTTCTGATGAAAGCAGATATTGTGTTTCGACAGCCGATGGCAGAGTGAGAGTATGGCGAAGGCGTGGGGAACGGTTTTCCAATGGGTGTATTGCTGAAAGAGACTTGTGGGGTATTTCGCAGAGTATGGACCGGCCAGTTCATTCCATGTACACACGATTCAACGCCGCCATCGATGCCCATGGAGGTCACACACGATACTGATTTTGAGGTATCCTAATGGTGCCAGTTTTGGTGATTTTGTTTGTGTGAACTATACATGTGATTTCCGAAAATGTGTTAACCATAATTGTCAAGTTTGAACTTAATCCTCCGTTTTGATTGTTAATTAGAGCGGAATAAAGTGTTTTCTATAAGGAAAGTCAATCGATGTGGCGTTTCTTTTGCGGTTCAGTATATAATTGTTTTAAGTTAACCTTAAAACGAACTTTCATATAACTCGTATATATTTCGTTTTTATTGATTAATGTTGTTGTTTACTGTTATTATCGTTATAGTAGAACATTTTATTGATAAGCAAGAATCTCCTCATCGCTTATATCATTTGTCAGTTCATGGATTCCGGGAATATACAGCTGTTTTGAAATAGTATCAGATAAAAACTGGTAACTGGGGTTCCCCGTTACCAAGAGACACATAACCTACACGCAACACAGTATACAAGGCATCTGGACAGTGCTTCACTCCTGACATGAGGACCCACGTGGAACGTGCACTGCCAGTAGAATGGCGATTTTTCCGTCCACTCTGTCATTCAGTTTACACATAAACACAGAGAAAAACGTGTAAACAAGACCAAGTTACCAAGTATAACATTGGGGGATCTAGTGAACTCATCATTTGCTACCCACTGATTGGGAAGACTCGTAAAATCGAAATTTGGAAATATCCACCACATGTGATATCCTACCCATTGTTCTGTTCAGGGTTTTCTAATTTCAGAAAGTACCTGTTCTCATTCAACTTGAATGACGGGAGCGGCTTTGAAGTTTTACATTACCCAGAAGATCTGCCTTGACGTTTCACTTCGTGATTTTAGTCTCCCGGTTATATCTGTTTTGAACTTCTAAGAAAGACCAAAGGATTTACTTTAAGTCCTATATAAGGCCAGCTGTCAGTTTCTACTTGCTGTTATTGTCGTTATAGTGGAACATTTTCTTGATTAATTTTGTTGTTTGCTGTTATTGTCGTTATAGTGGAACATTCTATTGAGTAATGTTGTTGTTTGCTGTTATTGTCGTTATAGTGGAATATTTTTTATTGTTTTGTTGTTGTTAGCTGTTATTGTCGTTATAGTGGATCATTTTATTGATTAATGTTGTTGTTTGCTGTTATTATCGTTATAGTGGAACATTCTATTGAGTAATTTTGTTGTTTGCTGTTATTGTCGTTATAGTGGATCATTTTATTGATTAATGTTGTTGTTTGCTGTTATTATCGTTATAGTGGAACATTTTATTGATTAATGTTGTTGTTTGCTGTTATTGTCGTTATAGTGGAACATTTTATTGATTAATGTTGTTGTTTGCTGTTATTGTCGTTATAGTGGAACATTTTATTGATAAGCAAGAATCTCCTCATCGCTTATATCATTTGTCAGTTCATGGATTCCGGGAATATACAGCTGTTTTGAAATAGTATCAGATAAAGACTGGTAACTGGGGTTCCCCGTTACCAAGAGACACATAACCTACACGCAATACAGTATACAAGGCATCTGGACAGTGCTTCACTCCTGACATGAGGACCCACGTGGAACGTGCACTGCCAGTAGAATGGCGATTTTTCCGTCCACTCTGTCATTCAGTTTATACATAAACGCAGAGAAAAACGTGTAAACAAGACCAAGTTACCAAGTATAACATTGGGGGATCTAGTGAACTCATCATTTGCTACCCACTGATTGGGAAGACTCGTAAAATCGAAATTGGAAATATCCACCACATGTGATATCCTACCCATTGTTCTGTTCAGGGTTTTCTAATTTCAGAAAGTACCTGTTCTCATTGAACTTGAATGACGGGAGCGGCTTTGAAGTTTTACATTACCCAGAAGATCTGCCTTGACGTTTCACTTCGTGATTTTAGTCTCCCGGTTATATCTGTTTTGAACTTCTAAGAAAGACCAAAGGATTTACTTTAAGTCCTATATAAGGCCAGCTGTCAGTATCTACTTGCTGTTATTGTCGTTATAGTGGAACATTTTCTTGATTAATTTTGTTGTTTGCTGTTATTGTCGTTATAGTGGAACATTCTATTGAGTAATGTTGTTGTTTGCTGTTATTGTCGTTATAGTGGAATATTTTTTATTGTTTTGTTGTTGTTAGCTGTTATTGTCGTTATAGTGGATCATTTTATTGATTAATGTTGTTGTTTGCTGTTATTATCGTTATAGTGGAACATTCTATTGAGTAATTTTGTTGTTTGCTGTTATTGTCGTTATAGTGGATCATTTTATTGATTAATGTTGTTGTTTGCTGTTATTATCGTTATAGTGGAACATTTTATTGATTAATGTTGTTGTTTGCTGTTATTGTCGTTATAGTGGAACATTTTATTGATTAATGTTGTTGTTTGCTGTTATTGTCGTTATAGTGGAACATTTTATTGATAAGCAAGAATCTCCTCATCGCTTATATCATTTGTCAGTTCATGGATTCCGGGAATATACAGCTGTTTTGAAATAGTATCAGATAAAGACTGGTAACTGGGGTTCCCCGTTACCAAGAGACACATAACCTACACGCAACACGGTATACAAGGCATCTGGACAGTGCTTCACTCCTGACATGAGGACCCACGTGGAACGTGCACTGCCAGTAGAATGGCGATTAATCCGTCCACTCTGTCATTCAGTTTATACATAAACACAGAGAAAAACGTGTAAACAAGACCAAGTTACCAAGTATAACATTGGGGGATCTAGTGAACTCATCATTTGCTACCCACTGATTGGGAAGACTCGTAAAATCGAAATTTGGAAATATCCACCACATGTGATATCCTACCCATTGTTCTGTTCAGGGTTTTCTAATTTCAGAAAGTACCTGTTCTCATTCAACTTGAATGACGGGAGCGGCTTTGAAATTTTACATTTCCCAGAAGACCTGCCTTGACGTTTCACTTCGTGATTTTAGTCGCCCGGTTATATCTGTTTTGAACTTCTAGGATTTACTTTCAGTCCTATATAAGACCAGCTGTCAGTTTCTACTTGTGAACTTATCTATGCTGATTTCTCATTAGTGAAATGCCAAATGAAAGTTTTCTTTCACATGAATCTCCCCTTCAATGTTTCACCCGTGAAGATCTGGGTGATAATTGGTCTTCAGCAACCCATGCTTGTCATAAGAGGCGACTCACGGGTCGGGTGATCAGGCTCGCTGACTTGGTTGACACATGTCATCGGTTCCCAATTGCGTAGATCGATGCTCGTGATGTTGATCACTGGATTGTCTGGTCCAGACTGGATTATTTACTTATTCAACTTAGGATAAAAGTTGTTTAACAGAGGATCATAGATTCAAGTCGCTATAATTGGTTTGTTATACAAGGGAGTAAACGTAGTAATTGGAACAGTGATACAAATGCACGTGCAGTACGGGATGAGCGTTAACTTAGACCAACCCTACTTGTTCTCGGTGTTTCATTTAATGTGCATACTCCCTTGTAATACAAACCAATAATAGCGATCTGAAACTATGATCGTTTATTAAACAACTTTTATCCTAAGCTGAATAAAATTCTGAGATTTAAATGTTCAATTGGCAAGGTAAAATTATGAGGATTCGCACTTCTAATTTCACTTTATTTGATTTACGTTTTTGATTAAAGTGAAATTCATCGGTACGTTTTCACTCCAAACAGACTATAACTAAAGAAGTTTGAGCTGAATCCAATATGTCAGATTCATACGCGTATCGACAAAAGGGTTTGAGTTATAAGTCATTCCACGACTAAACATTCTGTCTAGGTAAAACCTCGGAGGATAGGGTATAGTGTCCAGAAGCAGTCTCATCCTTCCTTCCCCTGCACGTCTGCCTACTCCCATAAGTCCTCAGTCTTAGCCGTGAACCTTCAAATCCCGGCCCTCTTAAACCCCACACCGCTCCCGCACCCCTTCAACTTCGCGTGATAGAACAAACTAAGCACCATTTTAAATTCCATAAGACAAAAACGAAATCTATAAGAGATTTTATTACACAAAATTACAGCCATGATGTTTTTGGATGTTTGGCCTGCCCCCATACCAACATTATCATAACATCTAGATGATCTAACACCTCTCTAGCAGCAAAGGGTACATCAATATCACATATGCCGTTGGACCGAAATTCAACATATTTATTTCAACGTCCCCATATCTAAAATGTCTTCATGGCTAGCTGGCCAAACATTCCGAGAGTTACCACCCTTGTATTACAATCGTATATGAACACTTACTATTGCTGAACTGCATTTAATTGGCGTTCAATTGGAAATGCGTATTATGATAAATACATAAATTACATAGATTACAAATATATGTAAACTACTGGGATTTCATACTACATCCCCAGGACCAGAGTCTGTCGTATTTGGATAGTTGTGTGTCATCGTAAACATCAACTACTGGGCTTATCTGACCAAATTCTGCTGAATTATAGCTGAATACAGCATGACATTATTATAGAATCCACTAATCTTCCACCATAGATTTTCCTTTTGATATTGCATTATTACAAATTATATATGATTTTAGAATAATGATATCACTTGCACGTATAGAGTAGGAGCAGTTATAGACGACGAGGCTAAATGAACCAGTATGCACAGAGGTAACATGATTGTCAGTCATCTTGCCGGGTGGTTGGGTTTTTTTCTCAATTGCCCGTGTTTTACATTTAAAAACCCAGCCAAATTGTTTGATAGGAGATTGTCAGCTTTATGTGATAATATAATTTGCTGATGCTTAGAAAACATATAAATCCTATTTAAGAATGATTTATAGCAAGACTATGTCAATGGTAAATGTGTTGTAGGTCCTTACTTAAACTATTATCTGAACTTTCCCAAAACTATGCCAAGATGAATGACATCTGTAGGTCTGCATTTAGCCCCTTTCAGACGACGGTAGCACATCTACATTCTAACCTTACACACAGTATCACTATTGCTTTCAGGTGAAACTCAAGATGGAATACGCCGACGCATGTGTTGAGGCAGATTTACAGACGTTCCCGTGGACTGTCCAGGCTTTCCTATTTTATTTTCTGCCTCAGTAGAACACCCGACTGCACCCCGAACACCTTACAGTCTTCTGAGATCTACCACAACTGTCACAAACTGCACCAGGGCTTGGCGGGTAAAGAACCAGATTCCGCGCCAATGTCCTCATGTACCTTTTTTCTGGAACACCTTAAACTACGAAATTATAAAGAATTAGGAACTATACTTTTGTAAGGCCCATAAGGAAAGCACATGCAATGTACTCAGTAAGTAATATACCCCCATACTACCTTTCCAATATACCTCCTGAGAGGGTACAAAGGTCCCAAAGTCAATTTAGCGCTAAAGACTTTTTTAATTGTAGAATATTTGTTGTTTTAATATGGCTAAATATCAGTACAATCGCCAAATGGCTGAAGGGATGGTATAAATCCAGCTAGGGTCCATGCAGGTATCAAAGTCCTGTAAGTCCCCATGGTCCCTAGAGTGGTGATCTACCTTCAGTTGTTGGCGATCCTCAGCCTATTATTATATTGTATTGTCCTAATCTTGTTTTTAGAGATATATGCTAGTTTCATTTCTTGATACCGTGATATACTAGTTAGTTTTACTAGCCTTCGTCGACAGGTTTTTTATAATTTTTGCATTTATCATGAATTTATAACTAGTTTAAATCACGATATGGCTGAAATAATGCGGCCGTGACAATACAGTTCAACTCACTCACTCACTTTCCAATATACTTACTAAACATTTCAGCCAGGTCTTCCTCCTACTTCAAAGCATGTAGTTCCTTGTAAGGATATCTCCCTCTCAGAATGGTTCTTGTCATCCATCTTCTGTCCTCAGGCTGATCTTGAATCATTCGGATGGAGTTGACTTCTAGAAGCTTCACCAATAAAGCATATCCCTGTCAATGACAAGCATACATGCACAATCATCATGGGCACGAAGGTTATGACGATGATGCTATAAATATAAACTTAGTTGTGTAATCCAATGAAAATATTAGATAAAATTTGAATTGTCACATATTTTCTCTACCTTTACCGCGCAAGAAGACAAAGTGGGCGGTTATTCTGAACACCAATCAATCACCGGATGGTCTAGTTTAGATGCATTTACAGCTGGCATATAGCTGAGGGAGCATACGGTGAGTATTGCGCAACAAGCAAACCAGGGAGCAGATTAGGTTACCACAAGTACATCCACTTGTCAACGCGTAGATATGCGTCAACTGGGCAATTAGCTCATGTTTAAGATGAAGTGTACGTACAGTGCGTTGACAAGACGAACGAATACGTTGAGCTCAAACTTCTTTAGTTACATGTCAACAAATACACAAGACATAAATGAGGTGAGCGGTGTACCTGCTCAACCCAAGGGCGTTCGTACGAGCGGCATTCTCCTGCCCGTGGTCGTCCCTACAGACAGTCGGAATACCGGACTCGTACTCTGTTTTTCAATCTACATGTAGATGTGAGCTTATATATACAGTTTTTGACAACAATGGATAGGTGACGACTCAACAATGGACAGATAGAAAAACAATAACACTTCATTGACCAGTAAATGGGATGGCAGACACGGCTAAGGGGGATGACCAATTAGGGCAATAAATGTCATATACAATAATTAATGACAAAGACAGAGTGGTTCAGGGTGGCTGACAAGACAATGTACACTGTGGTAGTGATAAGAATTAAGATTGCAGATTGAATAATTACCATTAACTCTCATATTTCTTGGCTACATAGTTTTTGGACTTTTTAAATATTTGGACGATGGCTGTCCTGAATTTGTCAGCAGTCTGGTATAATCAGTTAGACTGCAGTATCTCATTTTTCTATATCAGTAATGTTTACCTTGCTAAGATTTGGAGAAGATGAGGGGTCCAGTTCCACACATGTCTTCTTCGTTTGTTTCCATGGTAAGATTTCTTCATTCGTGATTTTCTTTTGGCTAACCAGACTAGCAGCTTTGTCAAAATCGAAAAACGTCAAAAATAGGGTAGGTTTGTTCTCGTGGATCTTCAGATCTTCCAAACGAAGCATGTTGTTTGCTCTCTTGTCATGAATTGTGACACTTTGAGCTCTAATCGTGATGAGTGTTGGAAGCTATGAAGAAAACATGTAAAGGCAAGAATGAAAGTCCAGTATTTCACTTGATATACCAGTGCATACACAGATGGAAAATATATCCTCTTTAGTAATATTTTACTTTTACCATGAATTCTGTCAATTTGTAGCAACAAATCCCACAGTTGAATTGGCTATTATTTCGCAAGTAAATGACATAACTATCCAAAAGTTTCTAAAATGTATTGTGCTTATTTCATCAGATCACTGTATGATACAAATAACAAACCAGATCATTGTTCAGTACAATATTACAGAAAAAGACGAACAAACAAGAAGGTGATATCTGGCACGCCCAAAGCTGCATGTTTTAACAAGACTCGTTAATATACTCACCAACATTGAAAACGCACCACTGACAAAAGTTCAGATTATTAAAAGCATGTGCGTTTTCAATGTTGGTGAGTTATAGATACACAAAGCACCTACCCCGAATGAAAACGGGGCCTTTATCAAGATGAACGCCATAAGAAATCTAAGCTGTTCTTTCGGCGACATGTGGTGTGACAGACTCGCTGGAGACGAGAGGCACATGCTTCCAACGTACGTCTCTATTGTTTCTTTACCGCTTTCCGAGAGAGGAAAGTTCCGGAGATCAGCAACAGAGCTTGTGGTGAGCTTGTTCCAGGGCAAAACTCGTTCACCGAGAGTCACGTCAGCATCCTTGACAAGATGAGCTTCAATTCTCCCCCTCTTCCTTGACACTTTAACTTTGCTTGTCTTCAAAGCGATGCCACATGAAAGACTTAGCGTTTCTCTAAAGCTTGATTGGCTGAAGCACGAAAAGTACCACATTAAGAAAACCTTGGATAGATAGGAATCATTCAAAACCTGCATCATTTCCTTCAACCAGAGACCATATAATATGGTCTCTGCTTCAACACCCCGCCACCACCATAGCATAAAACAGGTGAAATGATCAATGCTTTGGAGAATAATCGAGACTGGCTTACCTCTGGCACTGACGTTATACATTTACAGCACATCTGAATATAGTTAAGTATGGATACACGAACTGTTTTTGAACGTCTAAAACAGTTCCATACCTACGCCCATCTTGCATATAGTAACGTTTTAACACATTATAGCATGATATAATCCACACAGCATAACAATTAACAATGGACACCCAGTATGGACATTCCGGGCAACAGCTGCACGATTTAGTACATAAAAATCCCAACAATATGGTGAATACAATAGCATCAGTTTGTTGGTCATTTGGTTTTAGGTATATTTGAAGGTTACAGTGGTCCGTTTATATAATTTTTACCACTTATTTATCCTTTATATCCAAATGAATCTGTTTGTAAGAATGACTATTCAATTGACGTTACGTCGTTTGGACATCTGCTATTTCGGGGAAAAAACAATTTCAAATTTTTGTAGGTGTTAAGAAAACATCTATATCCCTGTCAAGAGTCGTATCGGTATAAAAACTTGGACCATGCTATTTTTCCCTGTTTAATGAGGACAAATAGAACAATAACTTACCTCACCTTGCACCTTGAAAAGCTTAAAATCAACGTGTTCAGTCATCTAAAGGAGTTCAAAGGGATGTGGAGAAACAGTGGAAAGTCCAAACACATTGCAAGTTGTAAGATTTTCGTTTTACTAATGATTAGACTCAAAACAAAAACTCACCCATTGTGGCTGTTCTGTAGAACTATAACATATGGATCTCCATCTACACAATCCATGCTGAATATCCCCTTCTTCAAACATTCTGGGTCGGTTTGGATGGTCACAAGGTAATGATCTTTGTACTCAACCAGGGTCTGTAAACAGTGTACACCTTGGTATATGTAGCGTTAACAATCTCTTGTTTTTAAATTAAAAACGACCTGGGATTATTATAAACAGAATCGATTTTTGTTTGATGAAGCAAGATAAAAATATCAAGAGGACGATTGAAAAGCTGTTTCAATAAACACATATATTCTGCTCACCACTCTGATCCCAGGAATTGGATCACTTTGGCTTTGTTCACAAATACTGCTGACACACCATGAGTAAACCACTTTGCATGTCGTTGTAAAGCGGAGAATGTTTTTGAGCTTTTAAACTTGCTGTAATAGTCCTATTTCTTTCTGTCATATTATTTTTGGTACATGGAACATATTTTCTAATTCTTGCAGGATTGTTGAAATAGCTAGTTTGTGCAAAAGATGATAATATACAACGTCAATGCTAGTTTGTGCAAAGGATGTTACGTCAATGTATATACCACTGCTGCTGTATATACCACCGAGTTTGTATATACCACCGTTGTTGTATCTACCACCGTTATTGTATATACCAATGATATTGCAGTAATATGCATTGATATGTATAACTAGATATTTTCCAAATACAAATCGTTAATTTCATAACATTCGTTGCATTTCCGTGTTTGTTGTTCACTGTGACAGATTTAAGTGCTAACTATTACTTCTATTGAGAAATCAACAAATCAATAATCATAATCATGTAAAATGTACTTACATTGCTTTTCGTCGTGGCTGTGGGTTGAGTTCACAGGTTGGCATCAGATGTTTGTTGTTATGTAAAGGTATAAACAATACAATTCATTAGACTATGTTATACCATTATATATATACAATTGTAACTGATGAATACACGCGTACGACTTGTTTAATCTGAAGCACAAAACCTCTGAGATAACAGCACGAAGTCAGTAGTATCGTTCTATGCATAAGCAGCACAGTCCCGCCCATTCTGTGTTGAGCTATACACGAATCAGCAACCCCTCAGTGGGCGTGGCGTACATGTCTTTCGGTTCATGAATAAATTATTGGGCGGTTTGCCAATCAGTTGCCACGGAATCGCTTGCAATTCATTCACATCATTATATCACGTCGATTGAAATTACAGATATTGTGGGTATTCACGATACTTCAGAAACTCGAAGACACAACCTTAAAAAGGTGATTATTTCAAACATGTAAGAGTGTTGTAAATAGTTTGTTCATTGTACACAATCTGTGAATAGGAGTGATAATTAATACTGATAGGTATGTTAAGGTGTATATTTAAACTGGTATCTCATTAAATGGCAGACAGACAAAATATTTATACAGTAAAGAGGCCCTCGCCCATAATGCAATCAGATTGACACAGTGTCATAAAATGAAACATATTTATCACTTCAAACGTAAACACACTTGAATCCTCACAACACTCATGTATTTGAACTGATTTCTTTACACATATTGCGTCTCTTTACGGATGAGTATCAACATCATGACTAAGGTGAGTGAGTGAGTTTGGTCTTACGCCGCACTCAAGACTAAGAAAATTGATGGTTGCTTATAAGTGCAGGTTTTAAAACGATTAAAATCGAACTATGAAATGGGAAGAGTGGATCTCGTCGTTACAGCAATAAATAAGAAAAGAAAGAGTTTAAGCGCTATTTACATGTGAGAAGTTTCAGTTTTGTTGGAAGCAGTTTAAGGACAAAAATATGATTATTTAAAAGAAAGGACTGAATTATTGTCAATTGACAACATTACATAGGGAATAAGATCTAAATATGTAGAGACATTTAAGAAAGATGGATGGAAACCTTTGATCGACTTTCAGACGACGTTGTATACCTTTGAGGACAGCATTTCTTTTGACAAATAGAAACCAGGAGTTTGTTTCCATAACGACGCTAGAGTTACCTTTAGCAAAATTCTGAACCCTTTGCAGAATATTTTCCGTTGCACTTTTGACACACGCCTTTATGATATGTCCTAAGTGACCTTGACCGTCTAAACCAGGACATGTTTTCACCTTTTCAAGTGCTGCAGATACTGCGTCTGATGCTGAAATATATACCAATCAATAATCGTTTTTATGTTTTACAATACGGCAAATAGTTTTATATTCATCCTGCATGTTCTGAAAACTGATTTTAAGGGCCTTACATATAAAATCAAACATAGTTTAAAACATATGATGGAACTGGAACAGGGGAAACAACAACATTGTCCCAAACATCACCCCTTAACATCGTCTCCTAACAACTCACCGTCGTCACTCAACATCATGTCTCCAAACCGTTCTCCCGCGTCATCCCCAGCACCATCCCCCACATCGCCCTGAAACATCGTCACCCAAAATCGACCCCATCCCCACATCGGCCTCAAACATCGTCACCCAACATCGACCCCATCCCCCACATCGACATCAAACATCGTCACCCAGCATCGACCCCATCCCTCACATCGCACTCAAACACCGTAACACAACATCGACCCCATCCCCCACATCGACCTCAAACATAGTCATCCAACATCGACATCCCCAAACATCGTCCGCTAACATCGACCACATCCCCCACATCGCCTCCAAACATATCGTCACCCAAAACGACTCCATTCCCCACATCGCCCTCAAACATCGTCACTCAACATCGACCCCATCCCCCACATCGGCCTCAAACATTGTCACCCAACATCGACCCCATCCCCCACATCGGCCTCAAACATCGTCACTCAACATCGACCCCATCCCCACATCGGCCTCAAACATCGTCCCCAACATCGACACCTCCCCCACAAACATCGTCCCCATCCCCCACATCGATCTCAAATATCGTCACCCAGCATCGACCCATCCCCCCATCGACCTCAAACATCGACCCCATCCCCAACATCGACCTCAAACATCGTCGCCCAACATCGACCCCCTACCCCCACATCGACCTGACACATCGACCCTCCCCAACATCGCCCTCAAACATCGTCACCTAACATCGACCCCTCCCACATCGACCTCATACATCAACCCCATCCCCCACATCGACTCTCAAACATCGTCACCAAACATCGTCACCCAACATCGACACAGACATAGTCCCCTAACATCGACCCCCATCCCCCACATCGACCTCCTCAAACATCGTCACCCAACATCGACCCCCTCCCCCACATCGACCTCAAACATTGTCACCCAACATCGACCCCTCCCCCACATCGCTCCTCAATCATTTTTGTCACCCAACATCGACCCCATCCACCACATTGACCTCAAACCTCAACCCCTGAACATCGACCCCATCCACCACATTGACCTCAAACATCAACCCCTGAACATCGACCCATCCACCACATCGACCTCAAATATCGTCACCCAATATTGACCCCCTCCCCCACATCGCCCTCAAATATCGTCACCGACATCGACCCCGTCCCGCACATCGCCCTCAAACATCGTCACACAACATCGACCCCATCCAGCACATCGCCCTCAAACATAGTCACACAACATCGATCCCATCCACCACATCGCCCTCAAACATAGTCACACAACATCGATCCCATCCACCACATCGACCTCAAACATTGTCACCCAACATCGACCCCTCCTCAGAAAAATGTTGACGTCAATCGTATGTCTGACAAACGTTTTGTCGTTGACTATTCATAGATAGATTTATGTATATATAAGCAGTACGGAGAAATATTTTAGATTAATCGTCTTGGGTCACATACCTTTTTCATCAAGTGTAATAGCTGTTAGATTTTTCTGTTCCCGAGCTGTTTTCCATTTCAAGGTCAACTTTGTACGTAGGGGAAACTGAGTAGGCGGGAGACTCCTGGTCAATGAAGTGACAGGGTACTTGGTCATGGTCAATTTGTTTCACGAATCATAACCAACAACATTTACAGCAATTAACTATAATTTTTTTTTTTTTTTTTTAATATATTTTTAATGGTTCCCAAGATTACAATATTGCAGATATACCAAGCCGTGATACGTACGGCTTAAAGTAATATGGCTACATGATGTACAGGTGAGATAATTTTGTACTAATATATTTATAAACATGCATAATTCATTAAATAGATAATGTACAGATGTACAGGTGAGATATTTTTGTATTAATATATGTATAAACATGCATAATTCATTAAATAGATAATGTACAGATAATGTCAGGTACAAGTCAACACAGTTTGAGTCATCTAAGTACTGGGGAGAGAAGGCTCCATTTATGATGTAAATTATTTATTTTATTATTTTTTGCTGATATATGTTTTTCCACAAAGAATATTTCTTTCAGAGTTTTTATTTAGAAAGTTAGATTTGGAAGCATATTTTTAATACAGCATAAGTGAATATGTCTCTTTGCAGCAATGATGATGTGATTTAGTAATCTATTTTCATGTTGAGTACCAAACCAAATCATGTTTTTTGATAATTTCAATGGATGTGGATAATAATTGTTAAGCCAAATTTGTAGGTTTATCCACATTGTTTGAGTCTCCTGACATTCCCAGTACACATGACACAAACTCTCATTTACATCTTTGCAAAAACAACACAAACTGTTGTCAATTTTTTTCATTTTGACCAATTCCTTTTTTTGTGTAAATAATACCTTGTAGAAATCTATATTGAAAGTCTATAAGCTTTGTATCTTGCAATCCCTTTCTATATAATGTAAATATATTTTTCCAATCAAAGTCAGTTTCAGGAAATAAAAGCTGCCATTTATTACAAATGTTTGGATATTTATCATTACAAATAAGTTTATCGCCTTTGGATGCATTTACTAAATGTATCTGGCATTGGTTCACATTCAAATTACTGACTGGAATAGAGAGACAGTGCTTTAAAGTATATTTCCAAGATTCAGGTAATATGTTCATTAAATGTCTGAAATCTAAAAACGTGCCTTTGATATGATAATTTTCTTTTAAAGATTTTATTAATAGTAATCCATTCTCATCACATATATCCCTAATATTCATAATCCCTTTCTCTGCCCAATTCTTTATAAAATATGTAGAATTTTTGAAGCTGTGATTGAACCATAGTGGTTGGGATAGAATTTCATTAATGTTGTTTTGGTCAACATAATGTTGTTTGTGAAATAGTTTCCATGCTTTTAGCACATCATGCCAAAAAGGGTTTTCAATCTCAAGAAAACTTTCAGAATTAGCTCCAAAGTTAAATATGTCTTTGAAAGGTATATTGCATGGATTTCTATTTGTACTTTTTTAAAAATATAATCTTAAGGTTGATAATTTCAAAGCATCAATAACTCTACTTGTATCAATCATTCTAAATCCCCCATCTTCATATCTACTTTTTATTACACTCCTCTTTATTTTATCATTTTTATCATTCCAAATGAATTTAAAAAATAGTTTTTCAAGCGAAGTAATAAATTCTGCTGGAGGGTTGGGCAAGGAATTGAAAATATGAACTAGTTTGGAGATTGCTAGGGTTTTTATTACTGTTATTTTACCAATAAATGTTAAATGTCTTTTTCTCCAAGATGCTAAGAGTCTATTAATTTCTTCCAGTCTCTTTCTGGTGTTGATTACCCATAGGTTTTCAAGATCTGGACTAAATTTAATACCTAATACATCGAATTCACCCGTTACCCATTCAATTTTCAGGTGATTGCATATTTTATCAGTAGATTTAGCTTTTGATCCAATCTAGATTGCTTTTGATTTATCTAAATTTATTTTCAAACCTGACATTTTATAAAATGCATTAATTGTGTCGATAGCACGATATAAACACTCCTCCGTTCCATCAAGAAATAGTTCGGTATCATCAGCGTATTGATCCAGTTTATATTCCTTATCATTGATGATAATACCTTTAATGTTTTCATTGTTTCTTATCATACAACCAAGAATCTCAGCTACAAAAAGAAAAAATGTAAGGGGAAAATGGGTCTCCCTGTCTACATCCTCGTTCATTAGCAAAAAATTCAGACAGATTACCATGTTGGATGACACAAAATGTTGTTTCAAAAGTCAATATATTTATCCATATTATCATTTCGGGGCCAAATTCAAATTTATGTAAAACTAGGATGATAATTTAGAAACAGTGTCAAATGCTTTTTCAAAATCAATCAGAATTAGCAAGCCAGGAATGTTTTGTTTCTTTGTTTCGAACATTATGTCATATAGCAGTCTTGTATTTTCGCTAATAGTCCCACCTGGTATAAAACCAGTTTGATTACAATGAATAAGATCATCTAAAGTAGTTTTTAATCTATGTGCAATACAGGAGCTGATAATTTTATAAATAGTATTGAGTAAAGTGATCAGCCTCCAGTTTTTAAGTAATCTTCTGTCTTTAATTGATTAATTATAATTAACTATAATTGATAGAATCATATTTGACACTTTTTATTCTCAATTTAGGTTTCAAGTGAAGTGGCGTTGGTGAACACAGGTGTTCTTTAGACATGGCACCATGTGTTCGACCGTATGTTCCGTCAATTTGTGCAAACATGATCTGTATTAATTGTCCTACATTTGTGCTGTAACAAAGCAATCTCGGGTACTTACTCATGTCCAAGAGAGAGTTCTTCAGCTAGGTGTAAACCAAACACTGTCGGATACATCAACACTGGCACATCAATGCAGCCAGAAAGATACCTTTCCACTGAAACGACGCCTTTTAATCTTGTGTAGTCAAAACTCTCTGTCCTCAGCACTCCGTTAGGCCTGAACAGTAACATATTAAGCAGATTAACATGAATGATTGAGTTAGTGGACGTAACGCTACTACGAACTGTGCTTTTGCTATGTGAGGCGGGTCTGCCAGGGAACCTCCTGCAGGTTTTACCCTGCACCACTGAAACGCATGACGAGGTTGATCGGGAAGAAAGGGGTTCGAACCGATGACTGTGTGGCACGACTGAGAGACAAAATTCTACAAAGAGTACTGTGGCCCCATGACATCTTTCGATACATTGTCTCCCCTTTCTTTTCATTAATGGTTGGTACTATAGTGTTCTGACATCATATTTGATTTGGTCAGGCAACATTAATTGGGATACTTGCTGTTTCAGTCTGTCGCGAGAACAACTCAGCACAGAGACCAGACCGATTTTATCTGCCAAATTGGATGTATCGATGAAATCAAATCGGAGACTTTCTGGCAGGTCCTTCTCGCACACTTCGGTTGCCTCTCCCAGCCACATGTAGATCTACAAAACAGTACACCATTAAATGTGAGTTAGTGAGTGAGTGAGTTTAGTTTTACGCCGCTCTCAGCAATATTCCAGCGATATGGCAGCGGTCTGTAAATAATCGAGTCTGGACTAGACAATCCAGGGATCAACAGCATGAACATCAATCTACGCAACTGGAATACGATGACATGTGGCAACCCAGTCAGCAAGCCTAAACACCTGATCCCGTTAGTCATAAGACAAGCATGGGTTACTGAAGATCAATATTCTAACCCGGACCTTCACGGGTTACCATTGACAGTACAAATAACAAATGTATTAACAATGTACTATGTGGGATACATTAGGAGCTTTTAAACAACGTTTTGAAACGTTTGTTTTAGCGACGGAATGTGCGTGTGTGCGCCGGTGCGTGCGTGCGTGCGAGGATATCTATGAATGACGTCGAAAATACTACTGTTTCTTGTTTCAACCTAAATCGTGTTATACTTCCATTCTGTATAGCGTCTGTACCTTGAGAATACAGCTATCTTCCATTGCTGCCTGGAAACATTCCACCCACTTCTTTAGCATCTCCATGCAGAGGGAGGCGAGAGTCACCTTACACCCATCGTACCTAGGTTTGACCACAGTCCACGTGAGCATACAAAAATATAAAGCAACGACAACTTTATATGCACGACCGCGTAAATGCATAGAAATAATCTCTCTGAACATATTTGCTGTGTGAAAACAAAATAACTCTTTAATAATGTGTCTATACCTGTGGAGTTCCAGGTCGATGTCATGAGATAGGTATGGACAGCAGTCGTCAGGGACAACCCATATATTCCATCCTGGTTTCAACATGGTCATGTTGCCACTGAAGCTATCCACCACCCGTTTAGACGAGAGCGATTGTAAATTGACCCTCGTAACTCCGGTTGTGATATAGTCGCGGATCTCCTGATGGTATCTGATCATATTAAAGAAACATATTAAACAAACAGAGTGAGAGATTTTAGTTTTACGCTGCATTTAGCAATATTTCAGCAATATCACGGCGGGCGACACCAGAAATGGGCTTCACACATTGTGCCTTGAAACGATGGTGAATCGAACCCGAGTCTTCGGCTTGACCTACCCTACGCCCCTTAAACAAACAGATGAGTCGCAGCAAGGACATTGTCTTGGTGTCGAACATATACAATATTTAGCTATTTCCTCCTGCTCCTCCTGAAAGGATCCCATACCCAGAACAACTGATTTGTCATTTGCAGTTACACAAGCCTATTGATGGGGTAATATTAGGCCTTTTTTGAGGATTTGGGGAACGATCTATTAAATTATTGTGGATTTATTGATATATTTTTTCTTCACACACACAAAAAGATACTGTCTTATGTCAAGAGAAATAGGCACTGACGCTTGTCAATAACTCAATGTCATATGAAACAACTGTTCTCAGTATATATTTTTAGTAAATATGTCTGTTACATTAATTTGCCTAAATCATGCCTTCTGGCAGTCTTTAGTACGTAGGGAATGATTATGTCTTTAAATGCCAAAAAACTGTCGGATATGACATGCGTAGATATGGCAATTATCCTAACATACAGACAAAGGTGAAGGTCACCTTACATCTGTCGCACCATCGCAATTATAACATTGAGACGGACTTCTCTTGAATTTTAAAGCCCATTAGATTAAATTTGCTAGTATGTTGTACAGGGATGGCAGCGATATAGAATTAATGCGCTCTGTCATTGTTTACATTTTTATTTATTTCCGGTCGTTCTCAAGGAATCCATTGATTTGATCAATTACGGAATCAATCGATATGGAAAAGGATAGAATAAAATAAATATATAGAGATATGATTGAAGCGATGTTTGAAATAACGGAAAATCACTGTCGTATGTGTATGCTACTCTGCTGTCCCACCTGACTGCTAGATGAACATATGGAGACGTGGTTCGTATGCTAATAAGTAGGTGACATACCTGTCCTTGAGTCGCTGTACTTTGTCAAGGCGACCACACTGGGCACTCACTCTCTGTGTAATCCTATCTACTGCTGTCTGGGGTAGGTCTACTTTAGGACGGACCAGTTGTCCTGTTGTCCAGTCCATGATTAACTTTGGCACGTCAGCTCTGTACAGATAGTTTAGGAATTTCCATCTTGTATCTGTCATTTGTTTACCATTCATTTCAGATTTCTCCATACCTAGAAGAGCCCTTTTGATGGAGACTTCACTTTTCATATTTCCAAAATAGACTCCATTATTGCCTGACTGGACTAACGACACTTCCTTCATCACTTGCTTCAGCCTCTGTAGATGTTCCTGTGACAACAAGACATCATACCAGACTCCCCAAAGAAACTTCAAATCATCCGAGTTATTTGGATCAATTGTTCCAGCGAGGTAGAGCAAAATCAGATCGCGTCCCAAGATACTGTCTTCAATGTCATTGAGGTGGATGTTGATTGTCTGATCTTTTGATTTTGTGGTTCCTCTTGTCTGAAGCTCGTGAATGGTGTGTAGGACGTTCCTGACATCCCCACACCCAAGCAACAGCAGGTCACACTCCTTGTCAACCTGACATCCAAGCGTCACATCAACTGACCTCGTGTTTCCAATAGGATAATAGGACATTACAATGTGGGGGTGTCGTCCCCATATTGCTGTAACATATACAGTATAAACCAACAGGGGAGGTTCCAAAACTGGCTGTAGTGAGTGAATAAGTTTATATTTCCAGCCGCGCTGTCGTGATTGTTTGTACAGATTATTAGATACCGAATGCGTCATAAAGATTTTACAACACGTTGTAAACATCGTCTGTTTACTTAATAAACAATAAGTGACATGTTTTTTACTTCACAGGTAACGTCTTGTGAATTTAAAGCAGAAGTAGACATTTCAAAGGGCGGAAATTGATGTTTTCTGTATGCATCTAAATCTATGCATCTAAATGACACGGGGAGGTGGGGTAGCCAAGTGGGTAAAGCTCGTCACGCCAAAGACCCGAGTTCGATTCCCCACATGGGCACAATGTGTGAAGCCCATTTCTGGTGTCCCTCTCCGTGATGTTGCTGGAATATTGCTAAAAGCGGCGTATAACCAAACTCGCTCGCTCTAAAGGACACAGTTATGCCCACTATCATTATTTCAACTGCTAGCAAGAATTGTTATGAAATATGAACACTTGATATAAAGAAGAAAATGCCTTTTGAGTATTTGTTTGAATAAGATAGACTTAGTGACGTCTATGACGTCCAATAATTCGTCTATTCCCACTGAGATGACATTCAAAAACTGATCTCAGTTTCAGGTATGCGTGTACGTACTCTTGTGACATGTGTGTTCCTAAATGTGTTCAAAAGACGTAGCCCAACGTAGAAGATACATCCCTTCTTGGCATATATCGCATCGCCATTGTTTTCAGTTTTCAATGCTGTATTCGATTTTCTACAGTTAGCTAACTATACAAGGAAGCTGTAAAAAGTGTATATCTGGATGCATTGTAATGATATAGTACAACCAGAAATTATTGAGAATTTAAGATTGTAATTTTTTTTTTTCACTCATTACTCACGTATTAAATGTGAATATTAGCAGAACATAACTCCAGATTCAAAGACAGGTGAACAGTTAGTATTTTGTCATGTCACCATGGGCAGCAATGCAGGCTTCAATGCGGCGGGGCATACTACTGATCAAAGAAGTTAGAAAGTCGTGGTCCATGCTGACCCAATATCGGACCACCTCTTCTTTCATTTCAGCAATATTTGTCAGATTTTTCTTATTGACATTTTCATTCATAAGTCCCCAAACATTTTCTATTGGATTTAGGTCAGGGCTATAGCTTGGCCTATCTAATAATGTCATAATTTTGGTCCGGAACCAGGAATGTAAATGCTTTGAACGATGATTTGGGTCGTTGTCCAGCTGGAAAATCCAGAAAATGTCCATAGAACACGTGAGCAGATGGAAGTAAATGTCCCTCGAGAATATCTGTGTACCGCTCACTGTTCATATTCCCTTCAAATACACAGAGGGGCGTTGCCCCTAACACAGATATGCCACCCCACACGTTAAATTTCGGACTGTACTTTGGGCGCTGATACAAAGGTTTTTCAGTTTGTTTGGTCCAGAATTTCAGTGTATTAGGAAACAGCCACACAGAACTTTCATCTGAGAAAATCAAATTGTCCCAGTTAAAATTTCTATGCTGTAAGCACCAGTTCAACCTTCGCTCCTTTTGTTCAGGTTTCATGATCGGTGATGGAATTCCTCGACTTTTCTGCCAACCCATTGCATGCAGCTCAGTTCTAATTGTCTCCTTACAGACAGCCACAGTTCCTCTATCAATCATATCCAGCCTTAAGTTTTCTAAACTCCTTCCTTTGTTTTTAGAAACAAGAATACCAAGCCGCCTCCTGTCACCGACAGTCAATTTTCTGGGCCTACCTGCGCCTCCCTGGTGCTCAATGTCATATCCATTTGCAATATTTTTTAAAACACGATAAACAGTGGACAAAGGGATGCCTGTTCTACTTGAAATCACTTTAGCTTATCTGATGTCCTTGTAATAATACTCTAAAATCAACTTCCTCTTCTCCAAATCATCCATACTGAGGATCACTGAAAATGTCGTCTGCTAGCAAGTAAACAAAGGGGGATAACTCTTCACAAACGAATGAAAAAGGATTAACGGAGTTGTCTCTCTTGAATGAAACCAAGCACTTGATAGCTGGTCAAGGTTGTTTATACTAGAAATCCAATTAAACATATTCCTAAAATTCTCAATAATTTCTGGTCATACTATATTCTGTTTTTGACCACCCCCAGTGATACATCGGCTCTACCGCTTGAGGTCAGTATGTCCTCCCTTACTAAACACCTTTGCTAAATACGTGAATAAAATCTAAATGTATGATCAAATATTATGTAACGTGTGCAACATATTCATTCGGAACCTGAATGTCTGTGTATCACATTTCATCACGATATTGTCTCAATCTGGTCTTACCTTGATTCTGAACAACACAATACCCCTACAGTCAAAGGTCGGTGAATAGATAAAATACAACGCCGCCCTAATAACATATGCTTCTGGGAAGCCACCCGTTGGCGAGGACTGGACTACTTTCGTTTCAGCATTCTGACTAAAGGGATATAACCCGAGCTGTGTTTATATCTTCAGACATCAGCAGTCCAGATGGATTTATATACGAACAAATTACTGATTTTAAGATATGAATGTTGATCGGATCATATCTTTAAATTTATACCCTCGCGTCATGGGTTTCCGTGGTATTAAGAAATTTACGACTATGAATATGATCGCTCATATTGCCAAGTCATATAAACATAATATAGTGTTAGACGACATACCTTTGTATCAATGAATGTCAATAAAACACTTTTGTCATCCTGAAGTTCATTGTTGTCCGTATCGGACGACAGGCGGCCCTTGTGCACAAACTCTGGTGACGTCATATGTTTCCGTGGTATTTCCTTCAGATCAAATTACGGGCGCACAGCACATGTCACAATCTCACACGTTGTCAACAGCCAATCCGAAGTGTCAATGTAGGTTTACAGTAATATCGAAGTTGATAAATTGCAATACAGAAAACGATTTTGTAGAATCAACACAATAGTCACATTTCTTCAGCATAAATTTCCAGTTCATAAAATATGTAGAGTTGATACGGGATCCGGGAAATGAAAAGTGAAAAAAACAACTTAAGAGATGACCCTATCGGGCTTCTATAGTTTAAAACATAGAGCTGGGATTCCCCCCTTATGTCACGTGATTGTTTTTATTGATGACATCAGCTAGCAGACGAGCGATGTTTGGAAAAGTTTGAAGCTGAGTAAGTTTATAGAAAATGTTTGCAAAGATCACGCAAAAAATGCATTACGTGCTAGACATAAAGTTGATTTAGTTTTTAATAGTAGATGAC